TGCGTCGACACACGCACAGTGAGACGGTTGAGAGGTACACAAAAGCTCGTGGCATCAGGTGTTATGCATTTACTAGTTATAATGCAATATTTGTCGTCTGGAGTCTGATCAGACTCCAATGGAGTAATTTCTTTCAAAGCTTCCTCGGAACTGTTTTCCCTGCGTTTCGCAGTAACCGTTCCTCGACGTTTCCTGCAGTTTGTTTTGAACCATTATCGCGCCGAGAGATAAATCTTTCCACGGGAACACAATTTTATCGCGCCGCTGTGCAAATTATTTATTTACTAGACGCTATTGACAATGATTCATAAAATACAGAAAAGTTGCTAGCGACGTGGTAAATAACTGACGTATTTCCGGGCATATTTTTCAAAGCTAGTCGTTTAAAAAGTTAAGAAATCTTATATTTATCGGTGCCACCGTTTTGTCGCGAGACGTGGAACGTTCTTTCTTTCATCGTGTCCGTGATTTTTCTCTCAAAGTGTCGTGAAGTTATCCCCGCCGCTTCCTGAAACTCACTGGCTCGAACCGAGCCCCGGTATTATCTCCGACACGCTACCGGCGGTGTCTCGGATTACTAATGAGTTACAGAAGCAGGATAGCGAGCTGTCTGTATCTCTGATTTAATCGTTACGCCCACGCAAAGGACATTTCTTGACCCTTCACGGTCCCAGACTCGATGTAGAATTTTTAAAAACTGATCCAAACGAATAAAATCCAAAAACGATCCAGCCTCGACCGTTGCAACGGTTTGGACGGTTTCGAACGAACCGCTGGCCGTTGCTCGAGCGAGCGTTGGGCGGGGCAGCCGAAAGGAAGCGTAACGCGTCCAAGGTTTTCGAAAATTCGTCGCGGTCGCTTCCCGTTCGGCGTCTACGGCCGGCAGGCCGGAAGCTGTAAACGTTCACGCGTCGATCCGACCCTCTCACGATTTCTGCTCGGCTGGCTCGGAATTGATAAAAATTCAACGTCGCGCGCAGGACGAACGAGGGCCCGGCGTTAATACGGCAAAGGGAGGCGTGGCGGCGCGGCGTTAATAACGAAATTTATAAATTCACCAGAAGAGAGAGCAGGCTTCCCCCCTAGGTCTTTTTTCCCCCCTCTTTCTCCCCCTCGAAAACTCGAGCGGTTTCGCTCGCGCCGCGCGATCATTCAAGGTCGGCGGTAACAATCGCTCAAGGTCGCCGTCTAGATCCCGCCGTTAACGTACCCCCTCGACGCCGCGGGGTCGACGTACGGATTACTCAAGGTCAACGGCCGCGTCGCTCCGGGTCAACGGCCCGAACGCCCCGCGCCGACGTTCGGGATTATTCGAGGTCGGCCAGAGGAGACCGCAAGACGCGAGTCGGCATCCACGCCGCTGGATGCGTCGATCGATTTCGCGAACGCGTCGACGGTGTCCTTTCGATGGTGTTTTCTCTACACCCCCCGCGCGGCGCCCCGCCCCGCGACGACGGGAAAGGCGAACACGCCCGACGGTGGAACGATCGTGAAAACGTATCGAAATCCCGACGCCGCGAGACGTCGAAGGTCGAATCCGTTAAAACCGGGGCGTAAAATCGTTTTCAAAGCGGCGCGCGACCTTCCGCGGCCGACCATAGAAAACGCCGCCAGACGAGACAGAGACGTCGAACGCCCGATAACAATTGGAAACCGGGATGAAAGAACGCGGCGAAAGGGGTCCGGGGGGGAGGGTTAGGTGACACGTTCGTCGAGAAACGGAGGAAGTTCCAGACATCGGGAAGAAGCGAGGTTAAGAAGAGATCGGTGAACGAAGAAACGACGCCGCGGAGAAAAAGACACGCGGAGGACGGGAAGACGTAACAGAGAGGAGGAGAAGGAGGAAATAATAACGACCCCGACGTCGCAGTGCCGCAGAAAGGTTGACGACCCGATGCCAGGCGACGCCCTCTCCTCCCCTTACCGCCCTGCCATCCCTTCTCCGGCGTCCTCTGCAACCACCATCCCCCGTTTTCCAGCTACCACCACCGCCATCGGCGTACCCCCAGCCATTCCCGCTCGCCCGAGCCACCCACCTGGCACTGCACGTCGTAAGCGCATAGCGTACGTACGCCAGAGCCACCCCCCGCCCACCCCCGTCATCCCTCTCTCTACGTCGCCGCCACCACCGTCACCCCACGACCGTCTGGCCAGGGTCGGGGTCATTGAACGTCTATAAAGATTTTGACTCCGCGTTACTGCTGCTGCTGCTGCTGCTGCTGCTGTGCCGCCGACGCCGACGCCGCCGCTGCGGATGCAGGAAGCGACGACCTCCGCGCGGGGTACGCCCTTTTGTAAGGTGTGCAATGCAATTCGCTGCCCGGTAAGAACACGCCAGGCCCTTTGTCGTAATTTCACCGACGGGTGATCGATATCGAAATTATCGCCGCCGACCCTCGGTGGCACTGCACGATTCGCAGTACCAATTTTAATTTTCATTTTTTTACCAACGAAATCTTTATACCGGACCCTCTAGATATGTTCCGTTTGATAGAAAAACAATCTCTGCAAAGGGTAAAGTCAATCGAACGATCAAAAAAGGGTTAGGTTGGTAATGTTAGTCCAGTGCCATCTGTGACTCTATTTTGAAAGTTTTATTGAAGAAGTTATCTATCTAATAAAAATGTTATTTAGTAACAATGTTTATCTATCAGATTCGATCATTTATGTTTGTGCATGGAAGACTTTTTTACGTGCATAGATCTGCCAAACAAATTTTTTTACTCTGAAGAAATATAGGTTATGTACCTTTCCTTGTCGTGAAAATAAGAATCTAATTCAGAATAATATAAAATTATTATTTAATCTTACATCTATTGCTGAAAATATGGGAACGATCCTCGCTTCAAAAGTGTAATATAAATCGACCTAACCTTAAAACCTTGACTTAATCATATTACATTATAAGACAACAGGAATCAGAAAATAGTCGAGTCCAGCTCGACAAAGGACCGCAAAGGGTTAAGGTAAAGGACCTCTAACGCGGAGTGTGGCCGCGTCGAGGAGAGGAGAGGGGTCGGAGACTAATTAAATTTTACAAAATACCGGCAACGTCCGAGCGCCGTGCGTGACCGCGGTAAAGGGAGTTCGACCAAAAGCTTTGGAAACGCGCCACGTCGAACGAGTCTGTAGCGACGAACGACTATCGAACCGGCTGGGTTCGCGTACGTACACACCCCTGGTAAGGATAAGAACATTTTCTCGAAGACGTCACGTCGGCACGGGGAAGACAAAGGAAACCGGCGGGGTAAACGTTTGCTCGACTCCGAAGGAAATTTTCGTCGCCCTCCCCCGCAGCGAGGCGGGCGCGAGGGAGGGGAGGGCGAGGATTGGCGCGTCTTGCCAGGGTCAGAGGTCGTTGAACGTCGGTAAAGATTTCGACTCCGGCGATGCTGTTCCGCAGTAAATAGGCGTGCGTAGCGCTCATGCTCTCTCCCACCGACCTCCTGGGCGACCAGACCGGGAGTGCACGGGCGAACAGAGGCCAGAGATACGAGACACCCTCTTGCCGATACACACCCTTGCCCGCGTGATCCCTGCGCCGTTACCGGTCGCGGTAAACCGCGAAACAGAAGCAAAAGTAACGAGATTCGCTCGGCTATACACTTACGGACAAAAGTTTAGAAAACAACGTAGCCGTTTGGAAATTACTGTACATTCTTCGTCTTTCGAGATGCACGCGGCGACTGCCAAAAGTTTCTGGCTGAACTGCAACGATGCTCGGGTTGGCTACGAGTCGTTTTTCATTGGTCAAGTGGAACGGTCATCCACGCTACTGAGCAGGGACTCCCCTTGACCCGCGTAGTGTAATCTGATACGAGCTCGAATATCGACGAAGCCTGTTTACTTTTGTTTTGCTTCTGCCAATGTATATCTAAGACTTTTTCCGATTAAAGTGACTTTAACGAGATGTAATATGAATAATATGTACCTATTAGTATCAATTGTCTATGTCCCACTGATAAAACAAAAAAATAAATGTTTTACATTGCGTTATTATTATCTATTCGTCAAGATACAAAGCCAAACCTTGTAGCTCGATTTGTGCCTTCCCCCGAAATTTAAAATTAACCTTACTTTTGTAACTACGAGACTTCGATCTCTGATTTTTTTCACGAGACACTACATATCAGTTTACGATAGTACATATAATAGATATTAAACAAAAGAAATCATACGAAATAATTCCAACGTTTCGGAAAGCTATTTTCCACCAATGCATAGAACTAGAGTTTAAGGTTATGTAAGAACATTTTTAAAAAAACCGAAGACAAGATGGAGGTTATGTTATTGAACGATTTAAACGACTTTGACGATATCTAAGAGTGTCGAACGAGAAATGCCTCCTGCGTAAACGTGGGCCCCGTTTACGCAAGTGGTGACACAAGTACATCGGACGTAGTCGTTCGCACACAGTCTCGCACGTACAGGCACGTGCTTCGCATTAATATGTATGTTAGAAGCTGGTGGCAACGAGGTCCGTGCCACTAAGAAACGCCTCAAGAAGCTTTCTTTTTTACGTTGCTTGATTTTATTCTCAAACGACGTCGGGAATGGGCGACGAGTATATCGTTTACCGCGAAAGAATTAGCTCTCGAATGTTCTAGAAACTCGATAATTTCCCTTCTACACGCTCACTTTATATTATACGTCTGCACCGATAAACAATATATAACAATATGCCCCTAACGAACAGTTTTGCAATAAGAAGATAGAGCTACGCTGTACGTTATTTTGTCACTTAATGTGCCACATTGCGCAAGCTGATGATTAAAATTCACACGGAAAAAGTTATCGTTTGTTAGCCCCGCCCCGTTGCATCGATGTGAATAAAAATATACAGTTCTAGTAACTTCTTTGAAATGTACAATTATCGACCTCGTAAATCAATCATCGCTCCGTGATCAGTCCAAGAAGCATCTTTCTCAGGGACACGTTATATGCACCGATCGCATCCATTGTTGTTCTCATGCAGTTAGAAAAGAGAAGCTAAGACTCACCTTGCTGAAGTAGCCGACCGTGTGACAACCTTCCGCGTCGCCAATCGTCATCACGTAGAAGAGGAAAGGCTCCACGTCGTAGTACAACGTTTTGTGGTCCAGAAAAAACTTGGCTAGCAAACAAAGATTCTGACAGTACTGCTTGTAACGCTTCCCGTCGACTTCCCACACGCCTATCTTGTCTTTCCTGCGCCACAAACATGAGCAAAATTTATATTAAATTAGCCTTTTTGCCTGGGAACATGGACAAGAATTTTGCATCTATTTACCGACCTGTATACTTCGTGACCAGGTGGATGCCTCCACAAGCATTTCTCTCGATGCCTCCTGAGCACCTGACGACTCTTCGCGTATCGCAAACAGTACTCGCATAAATACAGTTTCGGGGCCCGACTAAATTCCTCGGGATACGGGCTCTGATACCACACCTCCATCTCCCATTTCCCCATTTCGATGACCCGCGTGCCGCCGCCGTTTCTGCTCTCGCCATCGTAATCCAATTCCTTCAATTCTTTCTCCTACAACGAACCGTATAAATGTTTTTAAGCGTGCAAAATAAGAAGATACAATGTCCAAGCTTCAACTTACAATCTTCTCGCTGGCGATAGCTTGCGCTTCCATAAATAATTTCAGGTCGTAATCCGGCGTGAGATTCGTCAACCTCGGTTGACGATCCTTCTCGTTCCCTTGAAGCTCGCTACCGCTGTCGCTTTCATTCCCATCTCCAGTACTTCCTTTCCATTTACTCCTCGAGTCTCTCACTTTCAGCTGATAGTTGCGCTGATCCGACGTCTGGTGCACACCCTTTGGAGACTTCTTGGCCAGGCAGCCTACAGCTTTCTTCCGCTCCTCCTCGCGTTTCTTCCTCTCCTTGCAAAACTCTCTGCAAAGAACCCATAGCTAACCCATTCGCTCAAGTATACCCAGTGCTTAATGCAAAAGCATGCAGGTAGATCCTCTCGTTGCACAACCTTGGGGATAGATAGATAGATGTTAACTTACATGCAAGCTTGCGGCGTCGTGTTATGATACAAGGGGCAAGCCTCCAGGGTGAAGTGTGACTCGAGTTTCCCGGACAGGTGACCCCGAGAGTCGCACGTTGGCGCCAGAGGGCATTCTCTTTCCTTGGTGACGCGTGCTCGACTGTAATTTCCTTGGCCGGATCTTCCGCCGCTGGCGTTCGTGGTGCCGCTGTTTTGCGGTACACGGTTGGCACCGGAAGCGTGTCTGGCGGCTGTGCTAGGTCCGGCGCGTTTAACAGGCGATTTGCTCGTGCTCCTCTTGCTCTCGGCTACTCTCGATAAATCACACCGGATCAGCGGAATTTGCAGGATACGCTTACACGCTACCGTTTTCGTACCTGAGAACCATACTGCCGCCGTAAGCAAAAAGACTGTATCTGCATCTTAGGACACCTTGGACACATGCTTTTTTCTATACGAAATTGTTTGTCCCATCGACCACTGGATTCCTACGAGCCACATATATAAATATATACATGTCCAATCCATCCATCCAGAACCGCAAATACTGCTTTTTTGTGTTAAGGAGGCAGCATAGAGTCCTAAATCCACCGCCTGCAGATAATTCTCTAACCGCCTCTTTTCAAAACTCTATTCAACGCTACTTCCGAATCGTATCTTTATTTTTGCTTTATTCCCGATCGATAAGAACGTGTCTAGAGACATTTACTACGAGAGAACGGCGGTACTACGAATAAACTATTCTCCTATAGCGTAAACACTTGATAGGTGTTGTGTTGCAGCGAAAGGTCGACAGGAGGGACTGAACTTATTGGAAGTGAAGTATGAAAAACAACTGATTAGTGCTATCTAACTTTTAAAACAACGTCGTTCAAACTTACGAAAAGAATAAAACCAATGAAAGTAAGAAATTCACACCAAGGACATGACCAAACGATGCAAATCAAACAGAATATAAACGTGTTACTGGTAATTGTACAGGATGACGGAATGGGTAAAGAGCAAAAGTTAAAAAGAAATATTCAAACAACATACTTTGAACAAAAACTCAACACACAAGGAGATGGACAAGGTGTAGCAGATTAATTAGTAATGGGATTCGCACGCTGTGATGTCTCGTTTGCTTACCTGTGTCCGACTCCGAGTCACTGCCTGCCTTCGTTTGAAGCTGAAGCAACTTGCTCCCTTTTCGCGTTTGCAGCTTTCGTTTGCCTTTGGTCGTTGCTTTCGAAACACCCGTTGTCTCCCCGTGTTCGTCCATTTCTTTCTCGCTCGCGGACGCGTCGGCTTCGTCCTCCGTTTTTACCGTGTCTAAATAACGAAACGAAATTTCACATAGAATATTCGAAAATTCCATGAAGTACAATTATACGTTGTAATTTTTATGTTTTTACTTTGTCGTTTTGTGCATTTCTGTGGCTTCACAGGCGCAACAGTCGCAGACGGCCGCTTAGGCGGAATATTCGCGATAGCGTTTACCGCCGTACTTTGTGGAGCATCTTTCTTCTTCGTCCGAGGCTGAGGACTCGCCACACTTTCCGACGACTCGGAATCGCTGCTGCTATTCGAGGAGCCAGAAGAGCCTGATCCTATCGAGCAACTCTTCGAACTCGCAGAACTGTCCGATTTTTGTGGCTGTGCAGACTTTGCTAATAAACCTAATAAAACAAGGCTATTATTTTAACATACCTTAACAATATCTGGAACGCGAGAAAAAGAATCTTCTGCTACTTACTAGACCTGATCGGAGTAACAGTCTTCGGTTTCGCGTCGTTTGACTTCACCTTAGGTTGCTGACTCTTCGTAAATTTAGCAGGATTGTTCGCTGGCTTCGGTACACTAGTCTTAGCTGGGATGCTGCTGTCGCTTTCGCTGCTGTTCTCTGGGCTGAATATACTTTTCTTCTTGAATTTTTTCTGTACAGGCTCGGATGTTGTTTTTGCAGATTTATCTTGTCCTTTTCCATTGGTACTCGTGGACGCTGTTGAACAGAAAATACGGATCAGCAACGAAGAGACACGATTGCAAGAAGCTTTGTAAAATTAGGTTTACCGGTAGATTTGTTTGACTTGTTACCGGCGGGTTTAGAATTTGGTGGGTTCTTTTGCTGTCCAGTGGCAGTCGCCGACTTCGCTGACGGTCTTTGCTGTTTAATGACCGGGGCGACCGTGGCTGTAGCTTTGGGTTTGGCCGGCGGTTTTCTTTTCGCTGATTTCACTTTGTTGGGCGAGCCTTCCGATTCTGACGAATATTCCGCAGATCTAGACTTGGGCGGTATTTTCTCTTTGTTTTTATTCTCAGAGGGGGGGACAATAACTGCATCAGTTTTAGTCTTGCCATGGTGGCCGGCAGGAAATGGCGGTTTCTTTTTTGTTCTTTCTGTGTCCGATGCTTTTTGACTATTGACAGAGCTACTAGAGCTCTCTGAATCGGATGAGCTGGATTCGCTGCCCGAGCTCGAAGAATTGCTGGACGATGAACCACAGCTAGTTGTCGAAGTAGATTCTGAGCTGGTGGTCTGTTGATCATCAATTATATTTATTAGTTCACCAAATTTATCTAATGCTCAAACTGATTAAAAATGTGGACAAAGGTGGTATAGGCATAGCATGCAATTCAAACACTTATATCTACTGGAATAAATTTAGCAGTAGTTCCTTTTCCTTTTCTGCCTATGTTTCTTGTTTTTTGAAAATTCACTGCATAGTGTTGACCAAAGTGACTACCAAGATGATCTTTGATAATCCTTGTAGGTAAACTACATGTTTACACATTTTTATTTATCACATATTATGTAGTTTGATTACATAGCTCTGTTGTGGTATATAAACAAGTAAGACGTTATAAATAAACGTACACGCAACAAACATTTATATAAACAATCGGTTCGGTAGTTATTTATAAGTGTTTGTATGTAAAATTGCACGATGTGCCTATACCTCTATCCACCACTGTACTATTGCATGGATATTGTCCTTTGCTAGCATTTTCTATTTACGCTTATCATTATCGAGCTTGCTGATAAGCCAAAATATAAACGACATTCTTACGATTCTATAACCTGTACAAAATGCACGTACCTTCCGTTTCGGAGTCATTTCTACGGTGCTATCTCTTAAGCGAAGAAAAAATATCGTTTAGTATCATTTCTGCGATAATTCCTGTGTTCCTCCAAGGCATGTATGTTGAGGGTATCATTTACAACGTTCTATTTTTTTTAAAGCAACAAACGTCCCATCTTAAACTCGTCTCTGACTTACAACTACAAAACAATACACTAATTCATGTTACGAAACATCGTGGCATATTGTAGCATACTGCGCACGAGTGACATGACTTTAAGGCAATGTTACCAGACGCCAGTGCCCAGAGAAAACTACCCCCCTGCTTGGAATGCTTTAAGGCTAGTTTGGAAACAGCATAAAATAATTCTTTGCTTCGGAAGAAACCTTATCATATTTCATTAATAATTATCAAAATATTTGTTATTTAATATCGACTGATATGTAACTGAAATGTACATGTAACATTAGATCAATGTATAAGAATGAGAAAATAAAAGACAACACACCCTACAAAGAGAACTTTCGAAAATTTCCAAAGCAATTTGCAGAGCATTCTCTTCATTCGTACAATCTTCAAAGACTTTTTTAATTTTAATTCTACTACAATATAATAGTAACTATCACTCGTTACTATACTAAATTACTGTACATATTTGAACCAGCCTTTGCTATAACTCATTGTTACTGACTTATGCTCACTAATGTACGTATTTATTGACGGAGGAAAGCCGGTGAATTTGTAGGTTTTATCCATTAAGAAAAGACGTGAATTCGAAACGTAATAATGACAGCATTCGAGGGTAAATATTATTAATTATATAAAAGAAAAAAGAGTGTAATTAAAAATATATTTTTTTTGGTGCAATGACAGGGGTATCAAAACATTTTTCTTACCACTAATGTTTTCTTTTAGAAATGGGTGTTTTGCCCGAAATCGGAAAGGCGGTCGATGAAATGGAATGGATGTAAATAGAGCATAATTATTTTATAGACTGCTGACAGATCATTTTAAATTAACAATTCTATACACTGTCTTATATTTTAAACTACAGGTTACCAACAGATGTGCAAGCCGAAGCCATTCCTTTAATTTTAGGTGGTGGTGATGTATTAATGGCTGCTGAAACTGGCAGTGGAAAGACCGGTGCATTTTGTTTACCGGTTTTGCAAATTGTATGGGAAACCTTAAAGGACTTTGAATCTGGCAAAACTAAGAGTTCAACTGGACATGTTCAAGCTTGTATGTTTCTTTCAAATTTAATAACAACATGTTCTCCTCACAAAATTATTACCGTAATTGTTTGCAGCTACTCATTGGCTGCTCAGTTTATTTGATAGAGGTAAAGCTCTAGCAGTAACTCCAGATGGCTTGAGATGCCAAAGTAGAGAGCCTAAAGAGTGGCATGGTTGTAGAGCAAATAGAGGCATCAGTGGCAATGAAAAGTTTTTCTATGAAGCTACTGTAACCGATGAAGGATTATGCCGTGTTGGCTGGTCTATGTCTCAAGTAAATTGCCTTGATTCCCTATCAATGGTTTGTACTCGATAATTAAGAAATTGTAACCACCATATGTTTGCAAAATAGGCCTCACTGGATTTAGGAACGGACAAATTTGGCTTTGGTTTTGGTGGAACTGGTAAAAAATCAAATGCAAAACAATTTGATAGTTATGGAGAGGCATTTGGGATGCACAATGTAATTGGATGTTACTTGGATTTATCAAGGGGTGAAATCAGCTTTTCAAAGGATGGTGTACACTTGGGTGTGGCATTCACTCTAAACGCGCAACAAAAGTCTCAAACATTTTATCCAGCTGTTGTATTGAAAAACGCGGAAATGTCTTTTAATTTCGGAGCACAGCCATTTAAACATCCGCCTCCAAACGATTACAAAGGTCTCGCTTCGGTTCCTAAAGAATTGGTAAAAGAAAATCCAATAAATAGCAGTCAGACTCAAAGTAAAGAAGATGGTAAACCAAAATGCAATGCTCCTCAAGCTATAATCATAGAACCCTCTCGAGAGCTTGCTGAACAAACCTTTAATCAAATCCAAAAAGTAAGCTTGCAATAGTTACTATTCATATCGAAATAATTAGTCTTGCTTTAAAGGTATACATTAAATATTTCTATTTAGTTTAAAAAAGATTTGAAAGATCCAGTCATTAAGGAATTATTAGTTATTGGCGGTGTGAGCGTGAAAGAACAAATTTCTGTACTAAATTCTGGCGTGGATATTGTGGTTGGAACACCAGGACGTTTAGAGGATTTAATACAAGGCGGATATTTGGCATTAACGCATTGCAGGTACATAATTTTTACTTTACATACTGTGTACTGATTTTGTCGCGGTCAATCATCGTATAACGCATTTTCAGATTTTTCATTTTGGATGAAGCAGATGGTCTATTGAAACAAGGTTACACGGAATTAATTGATCGTTTGCACAGACAAATACCTAAAATTACATCAGACGGGAAACGATTACAGATGATAGTATGTTCGGCCACGTTGCATGCGTTTGAAGTGAAAAAAATGGCTGTAAGTATTTATAATTATAGTTTACATGTGTCTTATATAGAAAGATTTATAAAAAAAACTTGCATGCTGTATAGGAACGGTTGATGCACTTTCCAACATGGGTAGATTTGAAAGGGGAGGATGCAGTACCTGAAACAGTACATCATGTTGTTGTGATAGTGGATCCACAGAAAGATACTACTTGGACTAATATGAGAAAATATATACAAACCGATGGCGTACACAGCAGAGACGATATAAGACCTGGAAGCAACAATCCCGGTGTGTTATAAGATATATAATATCTTTGTACATAGTTTCATTGCTCGTATAACTAAAATTTATTTTCTAGAGACACTTTCGGAAGCTGTGAAGATATTAAAGGGTGAATACTGTGTTCGTGCTATCAAAGAGCACAATATGGACAGAGCTCTTATTTTCTGCAGAACCAAAATGGACTGCGATAATTTGGAACGGTATTTGAAACAGACCGGTGGTAATCAATTCTCGTGCGTGTGTTTGCACGGTGATCGAAAGCCCCCGGAACGTAAATCGAACTTGGAAAAATTCAAGAAGCAAGAAGTGAAGTTCTTAATTTGCACCGACGTTGCAGCCAGAGGATTGGATATCTCAGGATTACCTTTCAGTATGTGAATTTAATTTAAATTTAACACATGTATGCATAACTTTTCCATACAACTGATCGTGCAACTTCCTTTCTAGTGATCAATATAACTCTACCCGATGAAAAATCGAACTACGTGCATCGCATTGGTAGAGTCGGTAGGGCCGAAAGAATGGGTCTGGCTATTTCTTTGGTCAGCAAGGTGCCAGAAAAAGTATGGTATCACGGTGAATGGTGTCCTATGCGCGGGAGGAATTGTCAGAATACTAATCTTACTAATCAGGGTGGTTGCTGTGTCTGGTACAATGAACCAAACGTAAGTTTCAATGGAATGCAAGTTCCATGGTCGATATCTTTATGAATTTGTTCTTTCTTAGTATTTAGCCGAGATCGAGGATCATCTGAACGTCACGATTCAGCAAGTTGGGACAGACATAAAAGTTCCACTAAATGATTTCGATGGGAAAGTCACTTATGGACAAAAGAAAAGGAGCATGGGTACGTATTTTCTGCATTTTTATACAGCGATCGGTATATTAATATTTGTGAATTTATAGGCTCCGATTATCAGAATCATGTTCAACAAATGGCACCCTACGTATCCCAATTATCTTCGTTAGAATCGAAAACGCAACTCATGTACTTGAAAAGACATATGGCTGCTGGAGCAAACTAAAATACTACGTCGTACGAAATACCAGACCTGCCGAAGCTTTTCGCAAATTAACCGTTTAATATGTTATTTTAGTTCCTGATAATCTCTCAATATTTATAAACAGCGTGTACTTTCAACTATGAATTTGTTACAAATAATATAAACTGAATCAACTTGTAAGAAAAATTACTCGAATTTCTTCTATAGAAAAGAACGTGTATGATTTATGTAAATAGTATTTGCTTGTGTGTATATAAGACATACGGCAAGTGTTTATTGTATCATTATAATCTTCATAATTGTACCATCGCTATTCCAGTTACACAAATGTATAATACAGTGGCCTTGCAGTGTTTGGTTTTGTAATTTTCGCAATCTTTTCTTACTCATTTTTTTTTCCTCTGTTTTGTTGTATATGTGCATGTGCACGCACACGCGCACATTATGATCAGAATTTTGTATAATATACCATACTCTTAGAATTTACTAAATGACTTTTGTTTAATTACACATAATAATTTATACACATTTCTTGAAATCAATGGTAAACGGCTAAGTTATACAGTGTACAAATCATACCGTTTCTTCCCTGCACTCGGATATATCAGTGTACGTTTACGCGTTATCTCTCTTTTCTTAAACAGTGTGTACGGATTCGCGTGTCCAAAGGGTCTCGTCTTCTTCACGCGATCAGTACAACTTGTCGAGCGTGTTCAATTATCCGCCGATCGAATCGATTCGATCAGCACGGATCCGCGAAAACGTTTTCTTTCGTTTTTCCCCATCATATTCAGACAATCATCACAGAACGAGAATGAAATATTTTTCCTTTTTTTTATCTTTTGTAGTCTAAAAACACATCGACAGTCGTACGTAGTCATTCTCTCTCCGCGACACACGTTCGGCTCACATATACGCGTAGTCATTCAATCGCATTAACTCGGTGAATTATATTTATATATAATATATATAATATATATAACATATATATAATATATATATTTATTTATGTATTTATATGTATATCAGTTTATCATGTACACTACACGTCCACCCCACGATTCTCGCTTAAATAGCCTCGGCAACTGAAACGATCTCGGGCGATCAATATCCCCTCGCCTATTTATTCGTATGGTAACCGTATCATTTCATTTGATTGCATCGTACGCAACGTGTTCGACTTTGTATCTTTTATTGTGCAGTTTTGTTCATGAATATTCGTTAGTCTAGATCTTAGAACACAAGAGAAATCGTCACGCCGTTAACGACGGGAGATCATGGGGTGGACAACATTAATTTCATTTCCTAACGAATTTCTCGTGTAATCATTTTTTCATTTACATCACGCGTGTATAGTTTCCCGTTTCTCTTTTGTTCGACGTGTTTAATTCGTATAATCAGCGCTTATCGAATGCGTTTTACTGTTCAACGGTTACTCCTTACTTTCTGCATTTTGATGATTATTCATCCTTTAAGTTTTCGCCTAAACATATTTCCTAAGAGACACGCAACAACGAATTCATTAAGAATTATTAGGAGAGAAAACACGGGTTTTCGGGAAATGGGGTTAGGGGGCAGGAGGGAGGACGTAATTATCGACGAGTTTGGTAACTCTTCCACCTTAGTTTCTTTTCTCTCGTCCATTATTACGTGAAAGTACACCTAACGCACGAACAGTTTTAATGAATGTGATCCTGTCGTTCTTTTCATTATCTAGGATTTACGATAAATTCATTCCTCCTTTCGATCGATTTCCAGTGTCCGTTCAAATATCTTTTTCTACCTATAAAGTGTTCGCCAGTCTCCAATTCGAATTGGATTATATCCCCCGTTAAGTAAACCTTCTATTTATATCTAACGAGATGAGGTTACTACCTGAATGAGCACTTCTCAGATGGAAACGGATTAAAAATATGGGAGCTAACGAGCATACGTAAACTCGAGAATATTAAGCCACTAATGGCCGGCCATTCGTGTTTGCAAAAATCGATTTGTGAATGATACGATTATCTAAGATACCCTAGAATGTGTTTATACATATCGAGTCCTACATTTTAAGTTCGGTTCCACTCGGGATATGCTGATCTAGATGGCGAGCTCCCTCCCTAACATCGATTTGGATCCCAGCAAACAGTATACGAAGAAGACTAGAAAAAAGTTTCGATTTCGAATAGTACCTATGATCGATCACCGTGCACGCATAGATAGTTTCTCATAAAAATTACTACGACAGATTAACGTGACACGAGTCGATTTCGCGTGGTTCCACTTTTTCCCTCTATTCGCCGCTCGAGGCACAAGCAGCTTCCTCCTCTTGTTTAACCTAAAAAGACAACCGCGGTCTTTACGTTGGGAATATTGTCCATGACCCAGCTATAGAATTAAAGGTCACGCCGTGCCTCGTTCTAATCAATGACAAATCGACCGGTACGCAACGTAAGATCCGCTCTCGCGTTTCTAAATTTCCTAATAAAGCAAACATTCTCGAGTACCAACGAAGTACGAAGAACCAACAAAACGGTCGAGAGAAAACTGTACAGAACAGCACGATCCACAATCGTGAAACGTCCATAACCACGATAACACAAACGATCGCGAATGTTACAGATTGAAAATACTAATCGTGTATGTTTTTTATTGCCTGTTCGCGACTCGAGAGTGACAAGGACACGATGCTAAGGGCTAGTCTTTAAGAAAATTGCTTTCTCTCTTTTGGCGTTGCATTTCGCGATACTTGGGCACAATTGTCGCCAAAGGAAATATTCTGAACAATTATGACCGTTTTAAGGCAACGAAAACGATGAAATTCACAATTTCTGATCGATCGATACGAATCCGTAGCTCGTGCTCGAGTCGTCCGAAAGAGATAAGAATTGCGCGGGAAGTGCATTGATATTTATTAAAGCGAACTGGTTGACTCTTTGTACGTCCGCGCGTGCGTCATTGATTTAACGATTCTATTGGTTCTCGGGCCAATGTAATAAGATATACTTTGTTCGTAAATAACGTTAAAAAATTCTTCCCTCGCAAATTATTGCATCAACTACACGCCATCGCGCGTGACCACGATCCGGGCTCTGACGAACTCGCACCGTAGAAACGAAAAACCTTTCATTTTTTTCGTTCGTTAACGCAGAAAATAGACGTTTCATATATTTTTTTTTGTTTTCAACATAAATGACTACGTTTACGAAAGACGAACACTTTTCTATTATTTAAAAGACAACCACAGTTGAAATACAAATGTTACAATGTTCACGTTGGTTCACATCTGCACTGATCGTGGTCGTTTAAATAAATACATGTATATATATGGATATGTGTATGTACATACGCATAAATACACACACACATATATATAAACATATAGTATATATGTGGCTAGATCATAATATTATTAGATGTATCTAATTTTCCCCGAACGTAGCTTTTTAACAATGATTGCAGCAGTAATCGCTAATCACAATGACAATGATGATATTAATAATAACGACAATAATGACGATGACGATGAGGCGATGATGATGATGATGATGATGATGATGATGATGATGATGATGATGATGATGATGATGATGATGATGATAATGACGATGACGATGACAATGACGATGACAATGACGATGACGACGATGATAATAATAATATAACTACATCATCCGCTTCAATAAAATCTGACTGTGTAAAGACAATTTTTTATCGAATAACAGTGTAACGATAAGACGATCACAATAAATGACTCTGTATTCTTAACATAAACGCGAACATAGCGCAAAACGCGTATTTGTTTATCTACTTCGCAGACGTTCTCTGGCTTCGTCAGAAAAACGCGTAACGAATCGAAATTTATAAAATTCCCGAAATGTGTACGATTCACTTATTCCGTAGGCTAGATAATCGTCGCTCAGCGATTTATAAATTTGTTTTTCTTTACTCTTATCCGCGAACCAACCGAGCAGGTTCGATGTAAATTAATTCTCGTTCAATTTGGACGTTGCTTAGTTTGCAAATCTTCATCGACAATTATCGCCAGCGACGTTTGCGTCAACGCACGGGATCTCGCGTTATTGTTGTTTCGTTACGCCGATTCCAACCACACCCAGTCGTCTACTTTGACTTTCGCTTATATTTTTTTTATCTTTTTTCTTTCCTTTTTTTTTGGTTACTTTTAATCATTTTTTTCTTAAGGCAATGCTCTCAGCAACGTGGTCCACAAAGAGTATCGCGAAACGCGACGGAACGGCGAGCTTCGTGGACGACGATGCTGCACCGTGCTCTCATCGACGATTTTTCTTTTTCCATTCGTGCAACGAGATCGTAATCGCAGAGAACGGAAAGTAAAAAGAGAACGATATATCTATCATCTAAAATTACGACTGGGCCCGCTCGAATCTCTCGCAAGCGTCGAGGAGAACGAAAATTTTCATTTATAATTTCAACGTGGCTACGGCCGAGACAACTTTCGAGAGGTTATATTAAATGCAAAACTTGCTTCGGCGTCGTGTGTTCGCGCGATCGATTAAAAACCGACGCGATGAAAAAATATTAAGAATACTGATCGGGCTTGTACGTTTCAAATTGCTATGTGAATCGATCAACACCATGAGCACAGCGACGTTTAAGCATTCTGCTAGAGTGTTTTTTTTTTTTAATAAAATTTCTCTCTGTTCTTTCGTAGAACAGAAAGCTTGAAATTTCAACAAACAAAATGGCGGAGAATTCAGATCGATATCGAGACTAATATTCGTACGATATACTCGTGACACTAATACGAATGGTATCGTAACTGTGCTCAAAGTATTAATATTCTTTATACAAATAGGTGTCCGATCGTACGGCGTACATACGATTTTATTCGATCGCGAGACGCACGCGTAATTTTGTAATCAGCTTCGTCAAAGTATCGATACGTCATTGCTTTGTGTCCATACGAACCTGCCGTTATTGTATTTACAAATAATAATAATAATAATAATAGTAATAATAATAATAATTACTTGCACCGCTTAGTTTTTACATGTACATATTCACATGCCTGGTACATTGTACGTACAATAAAAGAAAAAAAAAACTTGTGCGATCCGGCGTATGTATACAATATGTATATGTATATCGGTAATAATCGTGGCCACGTAAATTGTTTATTAATTCGGTATCCGTTTTGTTTCGCTTGCGTACGCGCACACAACAGTCGATTAATAATTACATTTACGAATTTCGTTCACATTCAACAAGTAAAATACCAAGTACCGTTTTCATTCGTGTGTTTCTGTTCGTATGTGTATGTGTGTTATTGCATTGCGGCTGGTCGAAAAACGGACAATCGAGTTTTACGTGACTTTGACCATTTTACGCGCAGCTTTTTTTTTTTTTTCAACGGGTTAAATCCAACCGTATATTTTTTTTTTCTTGTTTTTTCCTTTCGGTTGTCCGACGCCGCTGGATAAAGCAGTCGAAATTAGGACGAACGCGTTTGTCTATATATATGTATATATATTTATAAAAGGGAGAGAAACGAAAGAAAGTATATGAATACTCGCGACAATACTAATTACACAATTATTCGTTCGTACTCGCTAGCATACATGAAACGATGATACGCATTCATTCGTCCTTTGTGCCGGGTGAACGATTAAAGTTTCACGGAAGTTTCGACAGTTAATACTCGCTCAAAGACAGGCTCTCTCTCTCTCGCTTCCTTTCTCTCCCTCGCATCCTTACACTCTCTCGCATCTGTCGTTACAGATTTACAGTAAAAATAACACTTCGTAAAGTTATAAATACCGTTTTACAAACTATGGCTTGTCAGTTATGTAATTAGTACGATAGGTATACATATATACGTATGCACACGGACCCATATACATTGATATTACACGAGAGTACATTTACGAGGAAGTGGGCTTGTGTCAGTATGTACGGAGTAACCGTTATGCAATTTCCGGAATTTCTATCCTCATTGTTTCGACGGCCGAATCCCGCGAAACACGATCGGACAAAGTTATCGTTGAGCGAACTAAAAAACTGTATTATACTCAGGCTTACTGGATAAAACGAAGAACACAATTGACGACGCAAACGAGCGAAAAGGAGAACTTAAAAGAGGAGACGAGATGGCGTTAGTTTTTTTTTCACGAAACGTTTTGCGAGTACGCTTCTCCCCCACTCTGCAGAAACCAAATAAATAATAGTTTGAAAGTGAACGAATTTATTAAAAAATGTCCGGAACATTCGCGATAATAAGGATAGCAATACCAGCTGCCCCAATGTAGTACGGTCGCGTTATATGAACCTTTGGGAACGCGGCTTACTCGTATATTCTTATTTTACTCGGTTTAATTTGACGTTAAACTCTCGTTTACCTATTATAAAAGTAGACGTTACATAGATCGGTAATCCGCGGTTGATCCAGCAACACGAGAGTGCATGTACGTGGATGAACGCGCTGCGAGGAAGAAGAGCGTTGCGTTACAGATGAATTATTTCTTTTTTTTCCCTTTTCTTGTTAACATGTATTAATTCATTAATTTATATACGTATAATAGCGTGTATATACACACACCCATACACACACATCTGTACTTTTGAAGCAGTTCGCACACGCGTACAAGCACTTTGTCCTCTGGATACGGTGTGTCGAATGATAAAAGGAAACAAAACGGTTAAGATTAAAACGAAAACGATAGGAGATTTTTTTTTACCATATACAGGGTGTCCAGATAGCGTCGTCGAATAGAATTTAATTGCAAAGACACGTGAGATAAGAAATATTCGCACATCGCACTTTGGTTCAGAACCATTTACATCCTAACGAGTTCCGATGGCAAAACTGATTACCGGATGCTCGGATCAAAATTTGTACACGCGATCGTATATAATATATATCCTCAGGACATGAAGCATCGTTCGGAAATGAGACGCGGGAGCTTGACATTACGTAGTCGAATAAATAAGCAACATATTATATCTCTGTATGTTTATAACGTTTACATTGACATACTTTGATTGTAAAGTTTTGAGCCTAACGCTAGTCAAAAACGTGTACGTGTAAAACGAATTTTTCCAACGTGGCACATCTCTTGCACAGTTCAGGATTTACATACGTAGACGACACTCTAGCTACAACGACAGTGTGTGCCTAAGTACACGAATTAAAAGTATCTCGAATGGAACGAAAAGAATCGGTAAAAAACGATATCGGTGAGGAATCTCGATCCATTAGGAAACGCACATAAAAACATGAATCCGTGGACGGTCACCCTGTACATATTTGATACATAGTTATACAATTAAAACGCTCTTCGAAATACTGTAAAATCTCACAAAATACTCTTCTTGTAAAAAGGTGCGGCTGAGACTTCTACGGGTCGGGCCGATGTGATTTAAAAATCGAGATTCGGAAGTCGAAGAAAACAATTAATTTTCAACAAAAAAAAAAAAAAGAAAAAAAAAATAGAGAAATAAAATAAAACACGGAGATCGTAATTAAATTGTCGGGGCAAGGAAAAACAGAGATTCAAAAAAAATGAGTAAAAGAAAACGTTCAACAGCAAGAACATTATCGGAGAAATCACCTAAGTCTTAGGAAAACGTTCTTAACGCTAAATCCGATAATGATTAATTTTAAACCTGCGACGAGTGTGCCGGACGAGAACAGCCGTTACTTCATAACATCGCGGCCCGAGACGTTAAAACATTCGTTCGCTCTCTTATCAACGAATTGATGCGTAATAAGAATAAAATTAACGAGGTAATCGGTAAAATTGCACGTGTTTCTCAGCAACGAACATTCATCATTTTTTCTCCGTCTCTCCCGAAAAAGTCGCCGTTCGGCACACCCTCGTCGAACCTAAATGGGAGTAGTCGAGTAACGATCGGAAAATGCCCGGGTGATTATTTTTTTCCGTCGAAAACGATTGTTGCGAGAGTAGAATGCGCGGGGGGCGTAATCAATCTGCTTGTACACCAAACGAGACATTAGTAAGCGATTCTGTGCAAAAAGAGACGTCTGGATTCTCAGTTGCGAGACAGATTTATTTCCGGTTAAACCCCCCCTAGAGACACCCGACTGCTGGCGCGACGATATTTATCCTCGAGCCCACCGCCGAGGAAGAACAAGATCGGCGCGCAGTCGTCGATATATCTAGCGCGCGCGTTTCCTTTGCGCGCGGATTCCGTCGACGCGTTTCGATTTCTGAACGGATCGTCGGTTTTCAGAGACGCGACGAGGACCACCGCGCGCCGTCGCCGTACATCGCGATACATTTATTCAGATCGGCCGCTGTACGACTCGCCTCGCGCCCTCGATCGGATCGAGGCGGAGCGTGATCGTGATTCTGATGCGAACGGATGACAGGACACGTCGGCAGGAACGAAGTCACAAGAGCTCGTATTGGCGCAAGTGCATCCGCTGAATAATGTCCCGGCAATCGTTGAACACTCGTTTGATGTTCTCCGTGTCGACGGCGCATGTGAAGTGCGGATAACAATAGTGCTTGCCGTCGCCGCTCGCTGTGCTTATACGCTGCAAAGGGAAATTTCGAACGGAACGTTAACGCGTCCCCCGTTGAACGGGCGAGAACGTCTAATCACGAGTACGACTCCACTTACGAGAAATTCATCCCTAATGAAGTACTTGGCCCTTATAACGTCAGGTGGTTCCGAGGGATCCACAACCACGCCGGGTTCGGACGGCGTCTGGTATCGCGCAAACTCTGGAAAATAGTCCTCTAATTTGTGCTTCGCTGCTTTTATTTTTTCCGCCAATAGATCCTGTTTGTTTAAAAATAAAATTACGGAAATTGTGCGGAGCCACCTACAAAGGAAACACACCAGTGATGTACCGCCCAACTTTCTCGCTTTGTTCTCGCGTGTTCCACGCCGAGATGAAAAAATGAAAAAAAAAAAAAGAAAAAAAAAAAAAAAAGACATTAGCGTTCGTACCGATTGTTCCAAATGCTTTTGAAGAGATCGAGACTCTCTCTGAGTCTGAGCTTCGTCGGATCCTCCCTGAGTACCATGTTATAACTACTGCACGCCGTTACAAATATGATTGCCGTTACGTCGTTAAAGCACTGTATCCATTTTCTCCTCTCGTCCCGCTGACCGCCGACGTCGAACATACTGTAAAAGTAATCGAAAGTTGCTTTACAATGTTCGTGTACGGAATGATAGATCGATACGATACGTTTTACGTAACATTAGACCGACGAACGATTGAAATTCTCTGATCGTACCGCGGGGAACGGGAATATCTTTTTTAATGTTTCTCGACGGTTGAATTTTGGTAACTACTGTTGCAATACGATTTTAAAAAATATAGAGGCTTCGACGTGTAATTTTTATTTTCCTCTCGTCGTTATTGTGGAATCGCAGTTTCGATCCGCAATTTATTCGCACTGGATGAAATTCCAACGGGGACCAATAAATACCGTCCCGTAAAAGACAATGTGGAGCAGAGGATCGGAGGTCCGTAGAGCGGATGCAAAAAGGGGGGAAATATAATAAAGTTGCGGAGGCGTTAACGCGGCTAACGGATTTCGCTGCGCGTGCAACGTAAGTCGGTGTTCTGTAATACACGCCGGGATGAGATGCGCGTCGCTGCTTCGCGTTATATTTACCGTCGGCCGATGTTACTGTAATACGTCGACTATATATAGTTAGACGACACTGGAGCAAAGCGATGTGGTATCGGTCGGGACTTACTGAAAGTTTACTTTGTCGACTTGAAACCGCGTTTCGAAGATACCGGACGTGAGGACTCGACACCTGAGGATGTCCTGTAACAGGTTGAAAAGAATCCCGTCAGTGAACGGCGACCAAACTCGTTATATTCAACACTATATTGTGCAATAAGTCCGTTCGCGTTTGTTTCCAAGAATATTACAAGAATATTAACACTATGATGAAGTGGTGAAAGTTTGTGATGAATAGACTGCGGATGTTTATGCATTTAATATGCAAAAATATAAGAAATACTTAAAGTAAGATACGAATTATTGTATTTAGGGGTTGAGACAGCCCTCTGCGAAGCTTCCGTTTCATTAATTCTATTAATAAAAATGTGAATTTGCATAAAGATCCGCAGTCTAGTGACGAGGTATCCACCATCGACGAGAAAGGACTTATCGCGCTAGCAGTTGGAAATAACTTAGACGATTACCTGTTCCGTGGGGGTGTAATCCGGTTGCTTAACAATGGCTACCTTATCTAGAAAACTGAAACAGAGAAAAGAACGGACGGAATAAGTACCGCGTAAAGGGAATCTATCAAGATGATTCGAGACTTTCAAGAGTTAAAACGGGTATTCCTGCTTCTTCCTCGATCCAGGAACGATATCGCGACAAGCTTGTTATGACTACTATTGGTTCGATCGTAATAGGTTATCTGTGTGTCGTCGAATTCTCGGTCCAAAACGAAAGCTGTAGAATATCTAAAGACGAGAAGCAGTGCCATCGAAAGCGTCGCGATAACACGTACGATGGAGAGCGGAAGTGGTTGGTGGAAAAGGGTGGGCCGTCGAGGGCAATGAAGGGAGAGAACTCTCCGTTCCTGGCTCCCTTGCACCCTCCGTTCTCTCTTTCTCTCTTTCTCTCATCCAAGACCCTCCCCGCCTGGTGTCTAGGGTGGATAGAGCGCACGAAGAGGGAAAATCGATCCTCGTCGGTGTCCTATCCTAACCCCAACTCCTCGCCCTCTCGGCCTCGCCGGGTATGCCTCCTCTTTGGCACCCAGTTTCCAATCCGGGTCATGGGTCACTGCCACCGCTCTGCTCGCCATCAATCGTACGTGCGGACTTGGCCTGCCCGTGTGTGTAACGGAGGCTCGTACAGGTGTGTACGTGCGAGGGCCTGCAGGGGTGGGTCTTTTCGCTTTGACAACGGCATGCAACCTTCCACAGTCGGTTGACGGCGATCGTACAGGGTGCCCCGATAGAAACAGGCCAACTTGAATATCCGCACTATTTTAAGAGGACCGAGCCCCGCGCGCTGGCTAACCAAAATTAATATTTGTTAACAGCGGCTGAAGTTTTGAGCCGAGACTGTTGAGCGAAGCGAGAGGCGGCCACGATTCGTAGGTCGCGCGGGTCTCAAGAGCAATTAGGCTCCGTTCGTTGCCCCCTCTCCAGACGAGCGGGCGCAAGTAACCCTTAAATTGGCTCCTCGAATAAATTTGAGAAACCACAAATCGACGGAATTGATTTTCGGGGCAAAGTGCTTCACACGCAACACACACACGTACGGGGCAAACAGGACACGTGTACGTGTGTGTGTGTGTGTGTGTGTGTAGGCTTGCGAGAAGGTAGGTCATGAAATTGGCGCGCTCAGACAGAAATGAGGTTATCGACCTCCGGAGAATTGAAAGAGGAAGGAGGTCGTGACCCACTGGCTACAGCAGAACGATTTTCTCGTTATCGCGGCATGTAACTCCGCCCGACCTTGGGGTCAACTGTGACAATGTTATTTCTAACGATACGAGTACGCACCACGGGAATGACGCAGGTGTCGCGTTCTCCAAAACCATCGTAACCCGCCAGGTATCCCGACAATTTCATCCAAACGATCATCTAACAGGCGTACAACAACAGCGACGGAACTTTGAACCGAAATTATATTCTAACTACAAAACATAATCTGGTGGTTGTTTTACTCATCTTTTGAATATCACGATGTTTGCTTTGACACCTAACACGGTCTCGAAAGAAAAACTGTCATGGCGTCGCCTGTATCATAAATACAGCTTACCAATTTGGAATAAAACAGCAAATCTGTTTCTAGAAACGCCCAGCTATGTATCGTAGAGCAGAAAAGAGATTTTAATTCGTTGGACAGTGATCGTCGGTCGTACGTGAAAAGTTTCGTCGAGTAAAAAGTTGAAGACATTCAGAGACGTGTCAAAGACTTCGGCGAACGACACCATTGATTTTTCACGCGTTATATTTAGACCGCCGTCGAAAGTTACTGACGACGATAAAAAAAAAAAAAAAGAAGAAAAAAATTAGCTCGTTTTTATCCGACGTTACCACGCCACGGGAAGAATATTGTTATCGACCTAAACATTCATGAACTACGTGTGCCAGCATCACTGATCCCGGCATCTATATATAGCGACACGTGTTTCCTTTTTTAAGGTGTGTCGAGGTAGTCCATCGTGTAATTGGCGCGTTACACGGCTCTAACAGCGTGCAATCCTCGTTTTTTTCTTTTCCATTTTCGTCCGAAAACGATTCGATTTCGTAACGGAGATCGACTTTCGCGGTACCCGAAATATCGATACCTTTACAATAACAGTATTATTTCGGTATCCCGATTATGCAAGCTGTCAGTTTGACGAGTCTTTCGCGCTTTGGTCACCGAATTGGACAACCGATCTTCGTTTATTTCTATTCCACTTCCTCTTCGTTACCAAGCCTATCCCGTTTTAGAATATATCGTCGAAATTATTTTCATTTCGGCGCGAGACACTGACAATATAATAGACTCGCTTAAAAATGATCTTAATGATAGCGTCTCGAGACACTGACAATATAATAGACTCGCTTAAAAATGATCTTAATGATAGCGTCTCGAGACTGTTCGCCTGAACATTATCGCACGAAATACAACCATTGTTTCGTCCAGGAAATGACTATGACCGAACCAACGATCAATGATCGCCGTTGTATCGCGATCTCTCGTTCTCGCCAAACAAATATTTATCCACCGCGCACACAATGACTCAAATTCGAGATATTTCGGGGAGCACCGTCGGGCCGCCATGTTTGTTTTATCGCGCGATACAAGAACGCTACTCGACGACTAAAACAATTGTGATTTCATTCAATATCGATCATCGATACGATAAAATTATATAAAATAAAGTGAAACGAAGATTCCATATACTGTAATTTTTATTATTACGAAACGAGTAACCAAACAGCAGGCATCATCGTTGTTTTTGGTAAAATGATGGAGGTACAGAGATGCACGAAAATTATAGCGAAAATAGAGCCACGTGACGACGATACAAGTCACGACATGGTTATACAACCAAATTGGAGCAAACGGTATCGAAAATAGCTGTAAAAATTTGTGAGCGTTAATAGATAACCTGTTGATGGCGTTATATTTAACCTAATAGCGTCCGATCGTGTTCTATAGAAAATAATAGGGTGTGTCTCGGGTTTCCGACGGATTTGTATAGAAATAATAATCCTAAATACAGAATCGAGGCCAGTTTACAGGGAACAAATTACAATGGAGACAATTTACGAATATCTGTTTCAATTCCTGGAAACGCTTAGAGGCTCGTTCGTTCTTCCTGATCCTGGTGGCGAGTATTTTCTGGCCCGGATCGCGTTAAAATCGCGTTTAACGAACGCGACTGGACGAGATTACAACCGATCTCGCGTCTCTCTGGTCAGCGCGCGAATGACACCGTTATATACGAAGCGGTGCTTCCCAAAAATACGGCGCGCTATTTTTATCGAAAGGTTCCTCTCGCTGCACATGGGGACGAGAAAGAATCGAAGGGAAAAAAAGTGAACTTTAAAAAATTCACACAAACACCGACGAGATGCAGTAACCCGGAACGTGACCGGGTTATTCTCGAATATTCTTCCAACGGCGAAAATTATTGTCGGGAGTTCGGGTCGCGATGCTCGTATGAAAACACGAAATTATTTGATCGACGAATACCAAATGTCGGATTTCCCGTGCTTTTATACACAGCGGCCCGGATGTGCGAATATAATTACATTCTCATTGCTTTTGTCACGTTGTATAACATTTTTTTTCATTTGGTTCCCATTATTGGGAGGTCCTCGTGAAAATTACCGAAAGTGCTTAAACGTATACCGAATATATTGACCAATATGAATTTAATATTCACTCGATAGTTTCTCCGGAAAAAATAGACAAAAGTAAAGTGTAGCTACGTCATACACTTGGCATCCACGACTCGAATTTATATAAATTGATTCAATTCGTCGATTTCTAACAGTCTAGACATCAATCGAACGTAATTTATTTCTGTTTCCTTTAGATTCTCTTGTCTTATTCGTTTCGACGGTTCTCGTGGAAAGCAGTCTCCAATCGTGTTGCCATCAATTCTCTTCTATCAATAAATCTGTTTGGAAACCTTGAAGAGCAGTAAAAAGTCCCTCGACAGATTATTCGACAACTCGATTTAAAAAAAATACAATAAAATCAAGATAATCGAAATAATTTGTAAATTTGTGTGTTTAAATTAAGAAGCGAGATGGTGGGTTTTCTAAAAGTAGCCGCGTGTTAAATGTTTCATGTTGAATAAAGTAATCGAAATCTCGGTAAAGGTGATAATCTATTGGTGAAATATTTGAGCGAGGAAATGCCTCCAAACTGTAAATTCAAAATTGTTTACAACATAGCTTTTTGCGTCTTTTTGCAACAATAAAGATCCTTTCCCGTTCACGAGAGCAGGAAGCTTTTGTTTAAGTTTCTTTTCGAACTCGTCAATGGATTACACTACACTTATTTATATTCTGTTTAAGTTACATATTTCAGGTCTCTATCGTTACTTCTCGATCGAGTTTACGTTTGTAAAACGAAGCGAAGCAAATTTTCACATATTTTTTATGAACACAAAAAAAGTATTAAACAACTTTTCTGTAGAGCGTTAAACAAAATAACTAAAAAACTTAGAAAACGAATTTCTGAGAAAAGTCGACAGGCAGTAAAAAGTGTCTAAATTTTTAGAAACTATCCACTAAATTAGTATTGATGGGCATATAGAAAGGTATTAAACATTTTCGTAGAGAATCAGACAAAAAAATCAAAATCGAATTTTTGAGAAAAATCGACAGGGGGTAGGTGCCTAATTTTTCGCAAAAAAAAAAAAATTTCAAATCGTCCTAAAAAAATTATTTTCTGTCACAGGGATCAATATCAATAATTTTTGGTGAAGACATGCCCCCGAAATCTCACACATTTTCGAGAAAAAAATTCGAGAAAAAAATTCGAGAAGGTGTGAAATTTTTCGGCGAAAAAAAAAATTTCAAATCGTTCTAAAAAAATTATTTTCGGTTGCGGGGGTCAATTGCAATCATTTTTGGTGAATAGAGATACCCCCGAAATCTCACGCATTTTCGAGAAAAAAATTCGAGAAGGTGCGAAATTTTTCGGCGAAAAAAAAAATTTCAAATCGTTCTAAAAAAATTATTTTCGGTTGCGGGGGTCAATTGCAATCATTTTTGGTGAATAGAGATACCCCCGAAATCTCACGCATTTTCGAGAAAAAAATTCGAGAAGGTGCGAAATTTTTCGGCGAAAAAAAAAATTTCAAATCGTTCTAAAAAAATTATTTTCAGTTGCAGGGGTCAGTAACAATCATTTTTGGTGAATGGACATATCCCCGAAATCCTACGCATTTTCGAGAAAAAAATTCGAGAAGGTGTGAAATTTTTCGCTGAAAAAAAAAATTTCCAATCGTTTTAAAAAAATTATTTTCGGTTGCGGGGGTCAATTGCAATCATTTTTGGTGAATAGAGATACCCCCGAAATCTCACGCATTTTCGAGAAAAAAATTCGAGAAGGTGTGAAATTTTTCACCAAAAAAAAAAATTTCAAATCGTTTTAAAAAAATTATTTTCGGTTGCAGGGGTCAATTGCAATCATTTTTGGTGAATGGACATACCCCCGAAATCCTACGTGCTTTCGAGAAAAAAATTCATTGCCGAAATTATAATAACTAAACTGAATAAAAAAATCTTCGATAAATCTACCTATTTGCACACTGATTCTAAGATCTTAGAATAATGTGATTAAATTATTTTTAGTTCGTTTCATCTCTCAATTAATTATGCCTTATTTGTTATTTTTACCGAGAGTTTGAAATATAAAGGTTTAATGGTTCACGATATGATGGAGTTTTATTATTTCCCCATCCTCTGCTGTAATTTGTTATGCATCTTGAACGAGCTGGTATTCGAAATATGCTGCACTTCCTCTAATATAATTTTAAACCGTACCTCATATTAAGGTTATACGGAAATATCATCGGATGGTTGCGACGAGATGATCTCATTTTATATATTCAAGCTCATCGTATTACCGTTTCACCGATCGTTGAATTCAATGGGAACAGAAATAATTGATAGCGATTGTTCGTCGAATTAAACGGAGTTTTCGTTTGTCCGCCACGTACGGAGTAATGACATCATGGCTGTTACGCTCGAAGATCGCCGGCAACGTTACCGGTGTGGCGAAATATAAAAGCCGGTTTTTCTCTAATTAAAGTGTTTGACGAATTGATAGACGGTAAACGAAGTCACATGTTCCGGTTTGTTGGCTTAGCGGATAAGTTTCGTGTTTACACTCGAGATTTACGCCCCTTTGCCCACGATCCAGTGCAACAACCTGTGCCTCGCCTATGTAATTTTCAAAGGGACACGTTTAAAGTGACCTGCTGGACCGGGGACGATCCGCGTCGGCCAGTTTTTTCTGCTGATTTATATAAATTTATCGGGTCCGTTGGCCGTTATAAAGTTACGTGTTTGAAAGGGGGAACACACCGGCGGCGAAAATATCGAACGGAATCTCGATTTTCGGGACACAGGCAGCCTCGATTCCGGTACCGCCGAATCGACGCCATTAGAAACAGCCCCGATAAATACCAACGACCCACGAAAACCTGTCTCTGAAAGATAATATCGAAACACTGGAAAAGAAAGTAAAACGAGCTCGAATACGAACGTTTGTTCATAATCGTACCGAGCTATTACGAAACACAAATTTACACGGTGCTATACACGCGAATATTACGGTTCCGAAAACAGCACGACGTTTATTCTATCGCGAAGCTTTTAACCCTCTCCCAGCGGGCTCGAGGGGTCCATTTTGATCCATGTTTATTCCAGAGTCGTGAAAGTTCTGGTTTACGTTACCGAAAATATAACACCGCCGCAGCCGTTGACTTGCTCTCTTCCGCGAGATTACTATTTTCTGTACGCGCGAAATTTAAGGAACCATCGCGGTGAAACTCGCCAAGACATTCGAGACGTACCAAGCCTCGAAACATGTTCGAATCGATTCGAACGATTCGCGTATCGCGGTGAAACTCGCTGGTCCCTGCCATTATCGTCGCGTAAACGCTATCGTTCGTGCTTCTTATCGTGATCGCGATATCAACCCCAACGGGGCAGATTAGAATAGCCATAGCTCGCGCCCGAGCACAGGAGCATCTAACGCGACCGAGCCAGGTAATAACTTTACCCTCTTATTTTTATCAAAGACCCGCGTCAACGGCTGCCCTGCTACTTTGTATCGCGTGTATTCTTGGTTACACTTAACGTTATAATAATTTCTAAGTTGTCCTCGTGCAGGATGCATCGTTATTACCGTAACGGGCATGATTTCAAGGGTGAATTCAACACGGTGAAACGAGGGAAAAAAGTTCGCATAAATACGGGACCGGTTCGACCTCGTTTCCGAGTTAGAACTGGAACGAATGGCACCGGAGCACGGCAACACGCGAATATTAAAAACGAAATTTCGAATTTCGATCAACAATTTTTGAATCTTTGCTATGCAATTGTACAACAATTTTTTACTTTAACTTTGAAACGGTAATTTTACCGTCGAGCTCGATGCAAAGGAAAACACGCGTTTGCACGTTGGCTCCTCGTCAAGGAAGCGACTTTTCCGACGCAAATACTTATTGGCGGCGGTGGTACGAAAAAATGTCACTTACTATTTGGCGCAGTCGATTAGTTGGTACTCGTTACTCCTCTCGAAACTCTGCTGAACGCCCCGGTCCTTCCAAAGGGTTTCAACGATTTCGTAGAACTCCTGGAAGCAAACGATCGCGAGTACCTGTTAGTAAATCGTTCGAACACCGCGGCAGAAGGTTTCGAGAATATCGGGACGCGCGATACTCGAATGGGAAATAAATCATCGTTTCGAGAGTCTCGTGGGTGGATGACTCGCAAGATAAGCGTACGATTTGGCGCGCACCACTGTCGCGGCTCGTTAATTATCAAAAAAAAAAACGCAAATATTTGGCTCGAACTTTGCTTCCGTGACGACGGAAATATCGAAAGGAAATTAACTTTTTTTTTTCTATGGAAAACAGCACAATTTTCTGTGTTTAATAACGATTGATTAGTCGTGAGAGAATTATAAACGAGCGGACTTTGTCGCAATTCGATTCCTACGGACGTCGATGGACAACTGGTAACGGAAATTAATTAATATCGTTGTTGCTGGCATCAAAGCGCGCCCGATCGGGTGTCCTTTGGAAACTTCCTGGAAACTATGGATTTTTGTTCGTCGAAAGGACCAGTTTCCGAGCGTTCTCGATTTCAAAGCAAATTGGACGAACTTTACGAACTTGGACGTCCCCGGTTCTTCGATCTCTCCGTTACGAGGCACGAGTTAAATGTGCGACGTGCGATCGTAAACAATAGCAAAACGTAAACACAAGGAAAATTTCATCGTTAGATTTATTTTATTCGTAATTGTTAAAGTTATATCAATAAACGTGGTTTGATAGTAATAAATGAAGATGAGCCCGTACAGCTACAGAGAAACTCACTCTACGCGTTTTTCTTTTATTACTTCAATTTGCAATAATAGAGATTCGATGAATTTCATTTGGAAAAGTTGTTCCCGATGATGGAAGATGGATTATCGTGAACAGAGTCCCAACCTTCGCACGTCCAACCGTGCAAGCTCGTCTCGCGACGGGGCTGTGGTCGAATTCGGTTCAGAATTCGCTCGAAATAAACTTCCGTATCGTCGACAAGCGGCGCCCAGATATGCAGCAAAAAGCCGAACGACCGTGACAAATTGGACACAGACTGTCGAACGACGCGAACGAAACGAGCAAAAAGGTACGTACGACCCGCCATTGTGCAGCATCCCTCTATCTGACCGCGAAGACGCGTGAAAAATCGCGCTCACCTTGTCAAAATTTAAAGGTAATTACTCTTAAAAAATAGTAACAAGTCTCCAGATATTAAGTTTTAAATAAAATTAGAAAGACAAAACGATTTCAAGGTAGATACGGCTTTAAATTCACTATGAATTGGGAAAGTGGCCGGAAAGGAGAAATATTTCAGAGTAGCCAATGGTCCGTCGAGTCCACGGGCGGTTAGTGTAGCGCTTAGAACGATGTACAAGCGATTCGATTTAATTAATTCGGATGCATCGTTCCGGACGGTTCGCGGTGCAGAGCGACGCGCAACAAACAAGGGGCAACGATAATTCGCGCACGCGGGGGCCAGGCACAAAGATACATATACGTACCCACGTAAGTACGTATGCACGCACGCACGAACGTATCGCCAACTGCCAGTGAATGACGCAAAACACACGGATTATTTTGTCGCGACGACTTTATTTCGAGACGCGGCGTATCGCTACTTCGAAACCGCTCGTTTCGCTTTCAAGCTCGCGCGAAATCTCGGATGTTCCTTTTTGGCACGCGAGAAATCCTTGCTCCACCGACGCGACCAAACTTTCTGTAATTGCCTTGACTCCTCAACGCCTTATAAATCTAATTTTTCAACGGTCAAAATATTTGCTCGTCGCTGACAACGTGTAACGAATAAATAATCATCGATCCTGTGGGGGCCGGACATTGTGCACCACTGTACCAGATAATTCATTACGACTACGGTCGGTAAACTGAGAACAGTTGTAGATAATTGGATATAGATTCCTTTGAACGAACGACGCTCGCCGATAAAGACGAACGACTGCTGGAAATTTGTCTGGCGACGCGCAACGCGAATAAAAAGACGCCGATATCGATCCATCATTCTCCCCCGTACTTTTATTTTAAAATTCGAAACACCTTCGCGCGCAGAAGTTAACACGCTCGTAAACGATCGAACATCTGGATCAACATAATCCCTGGGTCTCTGGTTCTCGAAAGAGAGAAGATCGATTATACAATAGCGGGCAAAAGTTTAACGCGATGAATTTTAATTTGAGCTTCTTGATCTGTCAAGTATAAACATTGAACTTTTGACCATCTGGATGTTACGTATATTTTTTATAATATAGAAAATTGTATTGTGCTTTTCATATTAAACGAATCGTTTCCTTTTTATTTCTATTTGATCTTGAAAAATTAATCGGTTACGGATGCTATAGCGAAGACCTCGCTCATTTCGCGCGCCACCGGGCGTCCATGTTTGCTTTCTTCATTTTGGAAAGATAAAACTCCGTCGTGTCATTGCTCCAAGTTATATAAGCGAATGTCGACGGGCTCGAGAAAGCGTCACTAATACACGACAAATCGGGAGATCTTTAAGGGATAAATCGTGCTGCCGAGTTCAGCGCACGTTTCAAAGAGGCGCGGCAGAATTGTTGCCCTGAATACAAAATGACTAAACGAGTCAAATAACGCGAGCTTTCGACCGACCGCTCGTGTCGTAATATTTTAATGGTACATACTACCTCCCCCCACTCCCGTTTCTCCTGACTAGTTTCTCCGTACGATTCATCGTACCGTGTTATGAAATTATACGATCCATACCGAAACGTTTCCATCATACGAAAGAACTTAATTTCATAAATATAAAATCTACGTTTTAATTCGTTCGAACCGGTAAATCCGACCCATTGTTCGACGGGCTGAAAATGACCACGGGATCGGTATCCTCGCAGCTATCGGCGAATGTCGCGAGTTTGGAAAAATAAAATCAATGGGAACGGTGTGTGTCGAATCTCGTGCGATTCGATGTGGAACGGCTCTAACCACACGAACAGTTTCTACTGAACCAGTTTCTCTCTTTGTGCACAACAATACAGCGAACCGTACGCGTGCATGTGCACACCGCGAGGAATGGCGCAGCACATCATAGTCAGGACCACTATATAGCGTACCAACATGTGCGATGGCTGTGTAAACATTGTAAACACTGATCGTGCCGTACAGTGACTCTCACACGAAGAAATTCTCGTTTTGCACGTTGTCATCGTAAAGTTCAGGGGAATCTCTCCGTATCGACCGCGCGACTACGATGTGCTACAGAAATACAGGTATCCCCCGTATAACACGGTAGTTAAATCCCGAAAAAGTTCCGTGTTAAACGAAACAAAGGACTTGTACGTAACGTACACCTGAAAAATATACTTTCTTTAATTCTGCCACTTTCCTATGCTTTATGTTACTTTGATTAATTGTACCTCTAATAACAAGACTAGTGTCAAATTTCTTCTTTTATAGATCCTTCTTTGTTAATTAACGTCAGATGAAACGGCCTGCATCGAACGCTGAAACACATCGAACAATTTATACCGGGTCCAGTGCATAGTGCAAACTCGTATCCACGAGAATGTTAACGCTCGCTGTAATAAGATACAGTTTTTCGGAGGATTGTTATTTTCCTCGTGGCGTTATCTGCATGACACGATGCGTATTCATTAATTATCCGTCCATGAGTCATTTCGCGCATGTACGCTTTGTGTTCGTAAACTTGTATCATCTGCTAATATTTTTCCTTCGCTCTTCGCTGTAATTATTTCCTGCTCGTATCAAAGGTTGCCCCATCCGTGAAAAATAAAAATAAGGCGAACGTACGGTTTACAGCATTGCCTGTTACGTTCAAGAGAAATGGTTATTTTCTTCGATTTAATATAACCGTGACGAAATATCACCGAGTATTTTTATATTAGTCAAGAGCTAGTTGCAATTTGATATTTCGAGAGAATTTCGTATTACTGATCCCCATATTGTACGGATTGTGGAGGTTTAAGTTAGGTTAGGAGGTTATAGGTTAGGAAGAAGCGCGCGGTTGGCGAAACGTTAAGAAGGCAGAACAGCGCGCGGAAGAAACTGGTTGGCTGACTCACCGGGGGATAATCGAAGTCCGGGGAGGACGAGACATCCAGGACATAGTCGACTTTGCTCTGGTTCCCCGAATCCTCCAAAGAGACGGGCGGCGTTAGCGTGCCCATCGCGCTGGTTATCGTCTGAAAATAATTACACAACGATCAAAGCTTTCCAAAAATATATCCCGCGGATTCTCGCGGCGAGACGCGTTTCACCGACTCGCGTAATTATTGCCCGAAACTTGTTCCCCCGTCGTCTGCGCCGCGCGTAGATAATGTCGCATTCGTAATCCACGAATGTCACGGACGGGGAAAAAATTGTCCATCATATTCACCTGACACGCGGAAGCGATCGCAAGGTTACGCACGATACGCGTATCTAAACGCGGCCTCGAACGACAAATTACCGACGATACTCGTCTCCCGGTGTAACGTCGCGAATTTACGGACGTTTACGATCGTTAAGACGGACATTTGCATGCCTCTCACGGTTAGCGATGGGATCGAGTGTACGCGCGAGCTAGTTACTCGCTCAATGTGTAATTTTTAGACTGGCTATGGTAGCGAATAAAGGTTTAAGACTACGTTCTTACTATATAATAGATCAGGGATCACGAATAACATCAAGTTTTTACACTCTCTTACCGTAACGACGCTCTCACCTAACCTCAATCTTAACGGTTCCCGCGGTAAGCTACGTATAAGGCGCCAACATTTGAATTAGTGGTAGAATGTCTTTATATTAATAATAATAATCGTAAAATTGAAAGCGAATTAAAAGAAGAAACAACATGACTAAATAATATCTACTTGGAAACCTTTTGGTTATACAATAATTATTATTTATGAGCGAAACAAGTTTTCGGTCGCTCGCAATCGTTATCGTGAACGGAAATAATTCTTCGATTACATTCGAACAACCAAACCTATTTTGGTATTATAGTTCATTTATTATAAATGTTTGGAAGAAGTTGGTAAGCTTGAAGCGCCGGTCACCAGTGACCACCGTGCCAGTCAACGTGTCAAACGCTATGTACAGACATTTTCAACAATATTTGAAATATATCTTAAAAAGAATTAAATTTGACATGAAAAAAGTAAAATAAATTTGTTCCGTATCTTCTCTAATAATAATAAAAGATGAAATCTTAGAGATTAATGTCTCGAGCATACATAACCTCGAATGCAATTTCGTCACTCTTTATTTTCGTCTTATTTTTGCCAGCGGAATCACTACCTAAAATATTTACCACCGGTAGGTAAACACGCTAAATAGAAAAGACTATATAGAATATAATTGCATACAAACAGATCTTTTGGAAAGTTAGCGAGAAGAATAGAATTCTTGCCGGACGCAATTATTCTTCGTTGAAGTTCGAAATTCCCCATCGTTAAAATCGATTGGAAATTGGACGACGCTAACTTTTTAACAAAGTTTCGCGTGCTCCGCCCTTAAAAATGTCTCCTCGTCGAGGTAAACGATGCCAAGCGTTGAAATTCATCCAAGTAAATACGTTCGCGGCGATTCAACGCCACGATTGCATTTCTAAAATCTCTGGGGACTGACCTGGGAGGGAAAATTGAATTTGCGGTGACGCACGATGAAAGACGGGGTGCCTGGCCACCCAAGAACTTTACATAAAGTGAAACGTTTGTTTTCACGAGAGCTACTCGATTCCAATGAAACGGACCGTGGGTATTGAATCGATCGATATATTCGTGAGTACGTATCGTACACGTTCACCGGCGCAGCCCGCGATGCAACACGAACCGGCGCGAAATCGACGAAGCAAAGCGGGATTTTTATCTCCTGACCGGCGAGAAGTTAAGAAGAATTTGTACCATCGCCAACCAAGTTCGAAAGAGTTTCGAGTTCACGTAGGGAGGCGCGCGTATTGATTCAGCGATAAATGGTCTCGTTCCGAGAATATCCAGCTCACGCCGATAGGCTCGCGTGTGAATTATTCAATGCGTTTCGTTGATATCGCTTCGTAGCGATATTTTCGGCGAACGATGAACGCGATTCCATAGATTATGAGTCCCCGTCGCGTTTTAACGATGCTGACCGCCGCGACAGCGACCAACGTCTCCACCAGACGCGAGAAACACGAACTAATAGGGTTTTCCGAAAAGACCGATGGGAACTTTCAATTGTCACAGCGGCCATATTTGCTTTTCACTCGTTCGAGTCACGCGACGTTCACAAATCATCGTAAAGAGATACAAAGTTGCTCAACGCGTTGAAACAATTAGAATTTATTATCAAAATTATTCGTTTCGACAAAAAAAAGATGAAGCCCGCTAACTGGCGGAAGCAATTCGATGTTATTTTCCACGATAAATTTCGTAACAATCTCGAACCTATATTTGGGGATCATTGTCTCGCTGCAAGACGTATTGTCTGGTATATTAATATCGCGGTGGTCCCATAAATGTCCGATGGGGTTTAAATCTCTAAAATAACTCGTGGAGCTAATGCTATTTTCTGAAACGATCTCGCTACCCTGCTTTGTTACATTCAATAATTAGGTTATGCTCCTTAACCTCTTCAGGGACGATTTTTTTTTTATAATCTAGTGAAAATTTTGGTCTATTTATTATTGACAGTAACTATAATTATGAAAAACTATACGTCCACATATGTGGCCAAGGGCGTGAAGAGGTTAATAAGTCTCCCTCGAATGCGATATTTTTCAAATCCACCCCTGTTGGTTCGTCGATCGTGAGTAACGGAAAACACAAACAACGACGCGCGGAAAAATCGTCGGCCCGCGAATTTTAAAAAGACGGGACGAATCGCGCGAATAAATATCCGTGAATGATTCTTACCAGTATCGCGTCTCTGATGTTTTTCTTGATGTCCTCGATCTTTTGCCGCTTTTCCCTGCGCAACAGAGAGAAAAAAAGTGTGAGAAAGGAACCGGGTGCCGGGTTTGTTCGTCGTTCGAGCGAATCGTTTATCCACGGCCACCGGAAACGCTTAATACGGGATGCGAGAAAACGGAAGATTCGATCGCGTTTAATTAACTGTCGCAGACGACAGGCCCGCGCGATCTATATGCGCGCATTGTCGTTATTAGCGGTTCTCGAGTCATTCGGGTAATTTTAGAACTTACGGCATCACGCCAGTTTTAGGTATACCGATTTCGTCGGGTTTGGAGACACTGGAAGTTTCGCAAATAATCGCGATCGATGCTGCTCTCGTACGTGCTCGCACAGGGCACGAACGGTGGAAACGGCGAGTTTGCGTTCGCGAGCGCCCGTGGCGTCTCGTGTTTTATGGTGATACCCGTGCCAGACTTCTGTCGTCGTTCGAAAAGACGTTGGGTTAGGTTACTTTGTGCCGCGTCGCGTACAGACGTATCGTAGATTATAAAACGACGACAGACCCGGCCTAACACCAGGTTCGCCCATTTTTATCGCCTACGTTATTCCAGTCAGGTTTTTTCGCAGACAAAACGATGCCGTGCACTATTTATTCGCTGTAACGCGCACGCGGCACTTGGAAATTCATCGTCCCGTTCCCTAACCCAACCGTGTCTCTCCTACTTTCGGTTTCGACTGTTCGTCATCGTTTTATCGCCAACGCTTTGTTTTTAATTTGGAAAACGAATAAATCCATTGCCTCGAATTTGTATTCAATTATATTACACGGACAATTATCGATTAATCGGTTATAGCAATGGGAGCGAGGCAATGGTAAAAGGGGTTTAAACGGTCCGATTGAATTAATAATTTCCACGGTCCACGGTCCGTAATGCGTTAAAGAATCGCGAGCAGCGACGCGCGGCCGATCAAATATGCTGTTCGGAATAATTGCAGGATCATCTGCGCGAATAGAATCGTCAACATGCTGTACGAGTTAGACGTTCGATAAAAATAGGACTGCGTTAATTTCGAAGACCAATAAACACAAGCCAACTTAGTATCTTCGCTGTTTCGAACGTCGCGTTAAACCTGATAGAGATACAGTAAAACCTCGATACTTGCACGCGAGCCTCGTTCGTTGCATTCTGCCGGCCAGTGGAAGGGTTAGTCGCTTAGCAACAAGTGTCGTATCTTACGTTTGAGGTAAATACAAATCTCTAGCAAGAGTTCGACTATTACAGGATAGGTCAAGCATGAGATATACACGGTGGGAATATAAGTAGTAAAATGTCGAGATTCTACTGTATTTGGTTTCGACGAGACGCATTGCAAGGAGAAACAAAGACCAGTCACGGATTAAAGAAATGTAATCAGAGTTCAGCTAATTGTATTTCAATATGCAATTTCATTACGCCGCCATTGAATTATATAATTCAATCTTTTCATCTAATTAAATTGCTGATTATTCTAACGATCATTGTAATTGAAATAAAGTGTAATTAAAATATAAGGTAATTCAATTATAGCCGTCAGATACGCTTTAATATTTTTACTGGTTCTCAACCTGTGCGTTGCGAAGGTTACTTCTAGTTGCAATTATTTTTACAGAAAATTTCGCAGAGACTTTCAACGCTTATTTATTTTGCTACGCGAAAGGAGGGAGTATTTAAAAAATATTAAAAGCCCTTCCGTGTTCGTTATTTTAATTGTTTGCCACGATGATTCTTTAATATTATTTTGTTGAATTTTTGTATGAACTTTATAGCAATAAATATTCTACTATCTATTCTAAATTTTGTATCGATCTTATAGTGGCATTCTTTAATTTTTATGAGCGACAAAATATACTTTATCGAACAGAGGTAACTCGGTACAAATGCAGCTCCACGTTAAATGCTCGCAGCTCGTTGCGTCACCATGTTTGGCGGTATTGCGTGGCGTAAACAGAAAGATAAACTTAGTTAGCTCGGAGCTTGATTTATTTCCACCTAAATGTAACATAAATAATACCGTGTCGAAAATCGTGGAATCTTTAAACCGTCGTTTCTATAAAACCACTAAGAATGGGTATAAAATACGAGTACTACTATTCAAAACAGCGAAGATATTAAAGCGGTCTGTATCTAAACCGCGCTGTATAGTTAATTGTTCACCTTTCGATTTACCTGGTCGAAATTATCGAAAATCGAAGTTGTTTCGCGGGACAAGCCACGATTGCCACTGTCCCGATCAAATATACATTAACCGCGATACGTATACGAAGATTACAAATGGATCGTGAAAAAGACACGAGACAACGTGAGTTATTCTCGGTGGCCGCCTTGTTTATATTTTACGCGCGACCGGGGTAGAATGGCAATCGAAAATCAAACGAAACGGATACGGTTACCGCCGGCCGTGCAAAATGCAAAAGCGTTACGAAGTTAGAGGGCAGGGGGGAGGGGGAGGGGAGGAGGAGGATCTAAAAATACCGAGATCCTACCGGTATGTTTCCATAGTAAACAAGCGAAATCTGAATCGAGCCCGTCGGACACGTAATGCTTCTTAGAATCGAGCGGCCAAGAAGAACGATCGGGTTCAAGCTCGACGATACAAACAATTCGCCGTGCATCTTTGCCGGGGAAATAAAAAAAAATTCCACCGATACGCGCGATGATCTTGACGGAGCGAGATGGAATGAAAAAAAAAAAAACAAGGTACTGTAAAGGAAAAAGAAATCACCGCAAAACGTAGTAACGAGGCGTGTTTTAGGCCCGTTATCAGCACCGGTGGCAGACAGAATTTACGACACACGCGAAGCGGGCCGAGCCGTCTGTTTGCACGTCGTTTCCGTCCTATCTGCTTGTTCCTGATTTTCCACGTATAGGTGTACCGAATATCCTTACGCGATAACGACGCCGCGTCTCGCGTCTTCCGCGGATCTTTTTCGCGCTCGCGCGTACTCGAAAAATTACGAACGAACGCGATCGAACGTTTCGGTTACCTTGGAGCCATTTATCCTCGCCGCGCGAAGACGCGTTCGGTTCGAATTCCCGCGGGTGTCGGGACACCGCTAAATCAATTTATCCATTCGGAGGTGTCTCGTAAAACCTCGTACTCGTGGTTATGTTTTATCGACTATTTGGAATCGTACGTGTGCAACGTTACAATTAACCAGCGCAATACTCGAAACGGTGAAGTACGAAACAGCGATCCAAGAGCGCTAAGATTTCTGATCTTATAGATCTATTCAGATCTTTAAGAAAATGAAAATAATTATACGAAAGGTTTAAAATTGTTACGACTTTGTAACTTCAACGTGATATTGATATTTAGGTCGACCATATTAAATCCGCCATTTTGAATATTGAAATTCTCTGATGCATCATAGGCGACCTGATAAACCAGCTTCAAGTTTTCTCGCCTAAATTCTCCTCGACTCCGCCGAGTTATGAAACGATTCGATACGATTTTAGAATAAAAAAATTAGCATGTAATTAAAAATGTTTAAAATGTGTATCGAGATGTTTCGGGGGAATATATTCGCGCGGAGGTTTAATTCCGGAACAAAACATGTTTTTCGTCTAATTTGACTCCGCTGCAAGGCCGCGAGCTTTATTTACAGTTGCGGAGACAGTACTATACTGTTCGCAAGAAAAGAAACTGTACTTGATTTGTCACGGGAATACTTCGTGACTCGGCGTTTGGCTATATTCAGGGACATCGAGTTGTTGCACCGACGTTCGCACCTCGTCGGATCGAATTGCGAGACTAGCGAGTCAGATACGGACGCAATTCCCTGAAATATATTTAAACGTTACATTTAAAACGACGAAACTCACGCTTCGCTGAAGCCATTAACGTGCAGTATCCTCATCTGTTTGACGATCGTGCTTTTCCCGGATTCTCCCGCTCCTGAAACACAAAGAACGATATTTTATTTTTTTTTTTTTTAAAGGAAAACGTGTTACGCAATCGTGCTCGTTTAATGGGTTTGAAACGAAGGACTACGGGAGCCCGGATCAACAAGTTAAACGACAGTCGTTTACTTCAAAGGATTCATCGGTTCGTTAAGAATCGTTTCGACGTATACTATCGACGCGCGACGGGCACATCAAGAGTTTGTCCGTTCCGTCCGAGGGAAATCGAACGAAAATAGTTATCCGTGGGCGCGGAGCGAACGGTTCCAATATTTTTTATTTTTTTTTACACGCGATCCCTCCTCGATCGGATCCGGAAGGTTCCTCGACGAACGCGCCGCGAGCAGAGTATTTTCGTTTTTGTTTCCGTTCCTCAAAAGGGATCGTAATTGCACACGACGGGGAAACAATACAGGCAACAGCTGTTGCTTCGTTGGCTGTAGGCTACGAGTCGGATACGCAATACACACAACGCGCGCGTCCACGGTCGAATTAGAACGACGACCTACATAAACGGAAGAATAGGAAGGTAATGGCTAGGTGTTGGGTTAAGTATCGCGATAAGTGGACGGTGTGCGTGCCCGTGTGTGCGAGACGAGGGCGCACGCGCGCACCACGTCGGTCGCCGCCGACGCCGCCGCCGCCGCTCTGTGAAAAAGACCGACTGTTGGGAGAAGGAGAAGAAGGAGACGAGGAGAGTGCACGAAAAGGGTACAACACGACGAGAGCGACCGCTCTCGCTGGATATTCGTGGGTGCCGCTGGCTCATACGATAATCGATAAAATTGAATTACGCGCTGCTGAGCATCGCGATAATGTTCGTGTGGCCTGTCCTCGCCAAAATTCCAGATCGAAGTTGACTCTGTCACCCGGTGTTCGTTGTTGGATATCCCCCCCCCCTCGGCACGTGCATACATATTTACGATTTAAAAAGTGTTGTCAGAGGACAGCACAGGTCGGCGAATTTAACCGGTTCGCGACACGCTCGAGGTTTACCGAACGGTTTGCAAACTTTGTGCAGTCGCCTTTATTGCCAAAAAATCAGCAACAAACACGATCGACCGAATCTGTAGGTAAACCTCCACGTGTATGGTTCATTGTCTAACCTAGCCTACGCGATCTACGAAACGAATCAAAGCACAATTCGAAAAAAGATAATTCCTATTAAAAATCTGCTTTTTTTTTGGAAAATAATTTGCAAGCTGGGATGTAGCAAAATGTACCAAATTATAGGGGAAGCAAGGTTCGCGCAAGAAAATTCAGTTTCAAATTTCCAATTTGCCTTTTCGACATATCCTGTATACGATTCTGGTATTAATGTTGGGTAACGCGTACTGGAAACAAAATAGTGATCGAAATCCGAACGTTTACATTGCAAATAATAATATTAACTATATCGACGAAACTATAATGAGAATTAATTCAAACGCCGATGCATGGGCAATACCCTTTTCGTACAGTGGCTTTGCTCAAAGATGAGGCGATATCGTTCGCTCTTCAAAGCGAGTGTGTTCACAGTATATGTATATCGTTCGATCTCAAAGAGCTCCTTTTTTTAATCAAGCATCGCATAAAATGAAGCGATATTAAATTCATCCCAATACCGCGTTATCGTTACCTGGCATTCTTCCCGTACACGAACGTCACAAGATAAAATGTTCACTCTCTTTTAGAAGAAACAGAATGGCCCGAATCGATGTACACAATGCACATTGTATATCGATTCATAAAGCTAACCGTAATTTACTTTGATGAATAATTACAGCTTTTCTGCATCACATTATACATAAGCGACTGTCAAAACGCATTCGACAGCGTGCGATACGATAGTGTTCAAGGTCGTACGAGGTCAAAAATTCATACACGAAACGAATATCTTATGGAAATCGAAAGCGCGGTTAACCAACAAACTAATATCCCAGAGCTCCGTTCAAACCTTGTTTAATCAGAATTAACGATCACCTTTATTAATTAAAAATCCCCCCGTAAAGAACACACGTTGTTCGAAAGTTCGTTTCCTTCTATCTCGTTCATACGCTGTTCATTTACGAGACAAACGCCGGGCGATAATAATGCGAACCCCCCGCAGGGGTCAGTACATGTTGCATCGTGGAACGGAGAGATTATCGACGGGGGGGGAAAAAATGTAAAGCGCTTTCGCAATCACTTACCGAGCAAAAGGAGCCTGTGAGTGGCCCGGTAAACTTGCTTGTCCTTTTGCAATTGCCTGGTAATGGCATCCGAGCGCCTCTTCTGGTTCTTGCTGTCATCCTGGCTGGCCTTGCTGCTCTGGCTGCCGAAACACCCCATGACACACCACGAGAGAGACACGCGCGGCTCGCCCTCTTCGCTCTTCCCTTCCACTTCTGTTGGTTCTCTGTTGTTCTTGCTTCAAAGAAATATCACCACTGATACTCCTCCCCCGAGCCCGAACAGCTCGCGGTTACGAGCACTACCGGCGCGCGTTGTTTATCTCGCGTGCGAATGCGACGTTCGATATAAGTAACACCCTCTCTCTCCCGCGGTTCGCGGAGATTCACTCCGTTTCCACGTTTACCTGCTTCGAGGTTCGTTCCTTCGTTCCGGCCGGCTGTCTGTCACTCGATACTTAATCTATCACCGTCGCGCTTACACTCGAGCTTCGTCCTTCTATCGACGTCTCCCTCTCTCTTTCCCTCTCCCTCTCTCTTTCTCACTTTTCCACCCGCCGCCTATCGTTACGGTGATCGGTCTCGTCTCGCGACCTTATAGTCTTTAGTTTTCTTCGTTTCTCCTTTGTTCTGCCGTCTTTCTCCTATCTCCCGTTTTCATACACCAACTACGTACACGTATATCTTGGACTCTGGTTTCGCACCTCACACGTTCACTTCACGGCTTCTTTCACTGCCCGCGAAACCATAGCTACATACACACTGTGTGTCGCGACGGTGCTGCTGGTCCAACGTTGACTTCGTGTTGTACCGTGTTGAAGTACGAGGTACAGAGATACGAGTAAGATGTTATTTCTTTCAGCGTAGACGTACAGCGTCTAATTTTCTAGTACTGACGTTTTACGTTTGCACAATGACACCTGGAGCACCGATCGACGAATTGATCCGCTCGTAGGAAGAACACGGGCCAGTTACGTATCGGACGTAAGCACGACTAGACGGCCGATACACGATGAGAAAATACCAGCGATATATCGGGGCAACGAAACCACTTCCGAATCTTCCGTTTAACACTGGGCGAGAACCGGCCGCGACACACTCGCGGCAGATTGCGATAGAGGGAGTACACACGAGGTACGACGAGCGACTCGAGAGAGTGGGAGCAAGACCGGGACTGGGATAATAGGTTGACGTGCACTGTCGTCCGATGCGCCTCCTGTGATGGCCCGTGAACACGAGACACACGCGAAATCGTTTCAGGAGGAAGGGACTCGCGACGCGTGTACGCGACAGCTCTGCCTCGCCTTGCCTCCCAGCCCCCTACCTTTCGAACAGAACAACGAGAAGTTAAAATAGATTGGCTCCGGTGCGTTGCTTGGCTCGTTGTTGTTCGAATGAAACGAAAAGGCTCGCAGAATCGACAGCACCTCGTAAATAGGGAAAATGATAGTGCGTGGCTGACCAGTTTGCTCGCTTTTCTATAGCTCTCGCGATTTCTGCCGATACTATTCCGGTGATCTTGTTCGTGCAACTTGGAACCGCGAGGAGAATCCTCCACGATCCGTTCCTAGTTTTTCTTCTTTCTCTGATTTTCGTTCCTCGACTCGATTTTTCGAGGGCTCGTCCGGGTTCCCCCTCCCCGCTGCTCGCTAGTCTCTCTACCCCTCTCCGCGAGCTTCTCGTCGACGACCACGGCACAACCACCACTCGGGGAACCCAACCGTGTGCCCTCTCTTCGCACACACCCTCGAGTGGTCTTGTTTTTTCACTCTCCACACCTCGCTTTCACCGAATTCGCTCGCTCTCCTCACTCAACAATCCCCGAGAAAATTCGCGGCCGAAACATCCGAGACGAGGTACTCCCTGCAGCCAACATGTCGTCTGCTAGGCCCATCAGCGCGGCGGACCACCGCGCTTCGGATGGATCAGGTTCGTAACTTGTGTTTCGGGCACCCTGTCCTTCACTCGCCGTTCTTCTCGCACTTCTGTCGAGAAAAAAATCGACTCGCGTGCACGACTATGTCCCGTGTTCGATTCTTCGTCCGTAATTTTTCGACAGTTTTGTATCAGGGACAACAATCTGTCGCGTTGAATGTTAATGCATCGACTGTTGCGCTGTCACGATAGTCGATAGAACTAAACCATTCTATGTGTACGTACGCGTTATGTAGCTTGCACACACGAGCAAATTTCGGATTACTCTGTTAGTTTTACCGGTACGACAGATCGCGCTGTAATCAGTCCATATATATATATATATATATATATATGTACAACACGCCGGTGTTTAAAATGTTGCCAACGCTTCAAAGATAATTTACTAACAACTTTCTCAATTCTAAAAGCCCTACAAAATTGAAAAAACGACACGTATAATTTTGTTCGATCGTAAGACTTGATAAAATATAAATAAGTATAAACCTAAAATTCTGATGTTATAATACAGATTATTATTAAAATAGTTAAATTGTTATATACTGTAATGTCATGTTCTGAAATTGAATTTAATTTAAAATAAATCACAGAAATACCATATAATTACGTTGTAATTATTGCTATAGTTATTTTCCCTATTGCTACAATATCAGTACTGTAAATCAAAATGATATCGCTTAAAAAGTAAAACTTAGATACATATTTCTATAGTGCACAGAAATTGATTTATCGAGGAGAATCGGGTTTAAGATAATAATTTCGTTTAATCTAGACCGCATAACAAATTTAAGATACTATCGCATAATTGATATTTATGTTATTTATGATATACTGATTTACAGTTGGAAATATTATTTTATGCAAAAGTTATGTAAAAGCTTGTAATTATGTAATAAGTTTTTCCCCACAGAGTTATACTCTGCAAGACATATTAAAACATTTACTATAATATGATTTACAATGCAAAAAGTGGTCTATGACCAAGAAGGCCACTGCATTCGCCCGAAAATAACATGTATATATAACGAAACTTAGACAAAAGGCTGTTCTGAACGTAGATGTACAATGAATATGCCATTAAGCAGCCTGTATGGTTAAATAACGTACTTCTAATACATAAAAATAGAACGAACAGCATGATTTCCTCAATACCAAAGGAACTTGGTGACAATGTAATGTCATGCATGGAGCTATGCACAAGTACAGATATTTTTGTCTTCAATGAATAGCTATGAGGCCTGACTCCAACAGTTTTTGCAACTTTGCCGCTATGTCCGGATTCTTTAAGTGACTGTAAATAGAAAAATTTACATTTTAGTAAAAGAATGATGTTTTCCATATCATACAATAATTAGAATTCCTTACTCTTGTAAAGCTCTAGGATCACTCTGCATTTGCTCTAAGATAAGTCTCATAGCAGGATCGCGTAGTATACTTTGAACTTCTGGATCTTCCATTGCTCTTTTTCTTACTTCCTCGGGATTCGAACTGACGGAAACGGCACACGATCGATATCCCTCTAATGCTTCGCTATTCGAGGGATCTAATTCCAATGCTTTCTGATAAACAGTGAGCGCTTTTCCTTGCTGTTGCATACCTTGCAATATCTTTCCTTTCCTTATCCAACCTTTGATGAACTTTGGATCAATTTCAACGCACTTCTCGCAATCTTTCAATCCAAGGTCAAATGCTGCTAATTTGGTGTAACAAGCAGCTCTGTTGCTATAGTATTTCGGATCGTCGGGATTTCTCTTAATGGCTTCTGTATAATGCTTTATCGCTGCTGGATAATCTCCGTCTTTATACTTTTGATTCCCAATCTCCTTTTCTTCTTCCGCTTTTACCGGATCGATATACGCTTTTCTCTCCCCCTCCTTAATGATTTTATCAATATCAGAGAGAAGAGTTTTTATTTCTGGCGTTCTATGCTCGGACATAGACTTTTCATAATACACCTTCGCTTGTTTCCAATCCTCCATCTTTTTATACGCATGACCAATTCTAGTAAATGCTTTTGCTATTAATTTAAAATCAGCTCGATTCTCTCTTCCAACTTCAATGGCTTTTTCACACTGAGCAATACATTTTTCGTACTCTTTTTGTTCAAAATTTACTGCTGCTATATTTAATAAGTAAATAATTTCTGTAGGATCTAATTCTACTGCCTTGTTATAATGTCTAAGTGCTTCCGCAAAGTTCTTCTTTTTGTAGTTATCATTGCCCAATTGTTTTTCGTTTAGTGCCTCTTTCTTTTCGGGTGGAAGATTATCCTCTTCTTTTTTCTGAGGTTTAGGTGGTTCTTGTTTAGGTTTTGGAGGTTCTGGTGGTTGAGGCGAATCTGTGTCCATCGATTCATACATGTCCATGCCCACACCTAGTAATACGCTAAGAGTTGTCATTACTCTGTTATCGTTAAAGTTCATAGGGAGCAGATGTGGCTTCTGCCGTAGCTCCTGCAATAGTTTCAAATACTCTGGATCCTGTAGGTAACCCTTGGTTCTAGGGTCATTAGCAAGTTTGACAAAGAGATCCGGTCTACTGAAAGGATTCATAGCTGCTGCTTGTTTCTGAGCCTTGACTTCAGCCAGGCCACTTTTAAGCTGAGCATTGTCGGGATCGAACTGTAGACCAGTTTCGTATGCTTTTAGAGATGCATCTAATCTACCCAAGTAAGCAAGCGCGCTTCCTTTGCGCGAATAACCTTTTCCCCAATCTTGTTTCAATTTTACAGTCATCTCTGCATCTTCTAATGCCTGTGCATAGTTTCCTGCATTGGCATATGCCGCTGATCTGTTACTATAAAGGACATGATTGTTTCCATCTAATGCAATTGCCTCCGTATAATATTTGATAGCCTCGTCAAATCTTCCTCCTTGTAAAGCAGAATTACCTTTTTCTTTTAACTCTAATACCTGTAAACGAATTTTCCGAATTATTCAGCTTGAAACTAACAAGCAAAATAATTTCAAGACATTTGGATCGTTTCTTTCTAGAAGAACGCATAACGTTAACGATAAATTTAAACGGAAGGTTGCGTACGAAAAGAAAGATGATGGTAAGAATTTTCAAGTTTACGCACGAACAATGGAAATCTTAAAACGCAAACCTCCAATTTAAAATACAGGAGTTGGCCGTGTCCGCGAAACGACCCAACGGAACGTACGAGAAAAATATCGCAGATTAGGGAGCAGGGAAGAGCACAACAATTTTTTTGTCGACGAAAGCGTGTTCAATTAACGAAATCGTGGACAGATACAGTGCTTACTAAAACTACAATTCCTCGAGCCTAAGAGATCCTTTACTACGATCGACTTTGTTAGAATGTTTACCTGATCCATAACGCTTGATCTGTGAGCAGTGATATTTCCGTCCTATTTTCTGTGACTCGTTCTTTTATGCTTGCAAATATACGCGATGACTCGTGCGAATGTTCCGTCGTTGAGCCGGCGCAGATTTTCAGAAAGCTCCAGAAATGGACAACTAGCGCCTCTCCTCGATTATTCCGAAACTAGTAGATATGCAATGTGCCTTCCCGCGATTATGACCCACAGTTTTCTAGCACCTTCGAGAACGCACCCTTTTTCTGTCTTTCTACGCAGGATGCAAATAATTGCAGCCTAGCTTCACGCTCGATCTAACCAACTCTGCATTTGACCAGTTAACTACTTCGTTTCGTAATTACATCGTTACCCGTTCACTACGTGTCGATTGTTGGTACATCGCGTGTTATAATTACGACCTACATATTGTGTTTTTTCTCTATACGTATGCATTTATGTAACCATATATCTTATAATTGATTTAATGGAATTAAATGTACATTTTAATCTTACAAATATATAACACTTAAATTCTGACTGATAAAATTTTTTCTCTCTGCTGATACGCTGCAACCAACGTTACTTTGTAAATTTCTGATTAACAAGCGTTCTAATTGGTGCGTTTAAATCGTACAGAGAGCTGTAAGGTTATGAACATTCTATGTACAAGTCGATAAATTGCAGAAGTTAAAATCTACCGGGTGGAAAAATGGCAATATAAATAAAATTCGCCAACGTAGGCGCATTTCGAATATGAATGGCTTTTTGGCGACTGACTTTGCTGCGCCCAAGGTTGCTCGATCTGGCAGCACTTTCGTTGCCACGAATCCTGGTATTTCCATCGGCGAACTGGAGTGACTGGGGAATCCCAGTTGTTCGTCGTGTCGCATATTTTTCTTCGTCCTCGAGCAGTTCGATAACCGCTATATTATCTCTAGAATCGTACGTTTTCCAGTTTCATTTACATATATATGTCTGGAAGGACATGCAATCTGTATCGAGTAAAAAAAATTTCACATCCAAATAAAAATCCCAAATCTTTTCCTTTCAACATTCCGCGACAATATATCATGGAAATATAACGTTTCGCAATAAATAAATAACGTCGATTCTTTGTTAAATACGATAAATTCCCGCGGGGCCATAAACGAACACATCTACTTGAACGCGAAACTATATTAAACCATCGGTACACCATCCCCTCTTTGCTAAGATCCAAATATATTCCGGAACCTGTACGCTTCGCAGACCAAACTCCCCCGAAAAGGAATAAGTCTGCGGGCTTCTTGGAATACCTAGACCATTACACGTCGCTGAACTCGAAATAACCAACGGCCGGTCCTTGCTCCACATTTTTACGTCGGCTCTCGCAAAATTAGCCACGCAAGATGTTTCGGTTCTCCTTCGTCGTCTCCCTCGCGAATTTCTCGCGTTCGTTATTCGATAATCGCAATTAAAGCGCAAACGTTCGTTCATCCGCGCGCTGTAAAAGGTCGTCGAATCGTTTAAATTCATTCACCGACAACAGAAACTCCGTGATTCATGGTCAATTATCCAAGGCCTTTTTATTACTAAAAAAATAATCGTAGACACGTTACGTAACAACGTTAATATTATCGTTCTATTATTATTAATATTGTTATTAATGTCGCGCAAACGACACATTTATTACACTAAGAAACGATGACTATTTACAAAAGGGCGGGGCGTGTGGGAGTTTATAAACGTTCACATGTGGAAACAGTACTGAAGTACTATTCGTAAGTAGTACCCGAGCAAACAGTTTTTAACGCTCCTCGATAAATAATCCTATGAAGAAGTGTTGTTCCGGTCTCTTAAATTCGACTAACATAAATATACGTATGTACAGCTTAAAACGAACGATCAAATAACGAATGTTCGATTACAATATATATATACTTCTTTTTTTTCCCTCATCTTTTCAACATATATACTCTTTCAATCTTAAGACGCTTCGAAGCGTACGGGCGTCACACAGCATTCTCACACAACGCGGAACGAAAATCGGTATACTTCGCGTATTATTTACATAACGAGATCCTCCGGTCTCCTTAAGCGTAAATTCTTCTTTTTTTCTTTTTTTTGCAGTCGTAATATAACGTTACAACATTCGTACTCGTTTCGCTCGTTATCGAAGTACTTGTTCCTCACAGAGGCACGTGTTCACGTTTCCGAGACTCTCGACTGCTCTTTTGATTTTGTTTCCATGTACAAACGTCAACATTGTCCTCTGTTCTCTTTCGTTTCTAAATGCGCTCGACGACGACATTTATGCACATATACATATTCATGTATATATATGTATCGAGAAATCGACCGTTCAGTTTCAAGAGAGTAACATGCTCGATACGGACACGCTAAATACTTGTACTCGAACGGAGTTCGAATCTCTCTGTTCTCTATCTATACGCGAAACGCGATTCGTACATCGCGCGTATTGTTTTCAACGTGATCATCGACGGTGCGCAGATCTGTTACGTAATCCGCATGCACGTCGATCGACCAAAAAAAAAAAAGAAGAGATGAAAACATGATTGATAAGCGTGTGCTCTGAGATCGATCGATGCTCCTATACCCGGACACCGACCACGTTTTGCCTGAGTCTCGCGATCGCGGGCAAGAAGTTCTCCGCCGCGCTGTCGTCCTCGTCGCTGCTGTCGGAGTCCGAGTCGGGTATCGGTTCCGGCGTCGCACCGAGTCTAACCAACTCCCTCGCGAGCTGACCGTCCAGGCACAGAGCTATCTGATAGGCGGTGATGCCCGCGTACGTCTGCGTGTCGAGGCAAGGCCTGCATTCTTGCAGCAGAAACGCGACCACCGATCGGCAGCCGCGTTCCACCGCGAGGTGAAGGGCCGTCTTTCCCGCCAAAGCCTCTCTGGCCTCGAGATCCGCTCCGAGACGCAACAGAAGTCGCACCAGCTCCACCTGACCCGAGGAGGCCGCTATGTGAAGGCACATCTCCCCTGAAACAAAAACAACACGCATCGTTAGGACAATTTTGGTCTTTAACTTAGAAAATTTTCAGTCTCTTCGTTTCATAATCACGGACACGCGATGTGTGATGTAACTTTTTAGCGGATAACGATTGCTAAAATTCAAGGTCGACGAAGATCGGGCTTAGATCCAAATAACCAAATATACCGAATTTTTTAGATCGAAATAAATAAAATAGATTGTATCGAATGCTTCTATCGGTCCATGCAATTTGTCTATTCATTAATGGTTTACATCGTTCGAGAAATTAGAAAGAAAGGTCGCACCGTAACGTGCTCGGATTTAGACTCGATTTCTATTTCTCGATCAAACAAATTTAACAGGGATGCAAACGTCGGGTTCAGAATGATGCGACCGAGTCACATGCTTCTAGGTGATATAGATAGAACTAGGAAGACGCGGTGAATCATTGTCGTCGGAGGCTTGGCTGGCGTCCCGCGGTCCAAACTAGGTTCGTACCGATCAAAGTAACAGCTAAAATTAACGCTGCCTCGTTACCGACAGCAGCATGTACATTGGCGGAATTTAATTACCGATCTCGTAGCGCTAGGGCCCTCTCAGAGACGCGGTTCCGACCGATCTAACGCGAACTGAAACATTTATGTTTCTATTCCCGTCTACCGAGACGCGTAAAACGCGACGCGTCGGAACCGCGAAGAAAAACCATTACGTTTCTTGGAATTTTCCGCGCGATCCAACCGGATACACCGACAATATGCAATTGCAACGAGGTTGACGACATTGTTCCTAACGATTTCCATTTGCAAATTTGTCTTTGTCAAATACCAAACATCCGACGAGCATTTCGTTGGTGTAAGATTTTTTTAAATTACGAACGATGATGAAATACGAAGACGGGAAAGGGTTAAGAAACGTTCGAAGAGTTTGAAAGCGGTCGCGCGCCCACCGGTCTCCGCGCCATTGTGGGGTTTCCCGAGTCGAATCGAGTCGAGAATATAGCGACACGCAAATAGTCCGGCAGGTATTTTTAAATATCAAAAACATCTGCTCCGTGGCTTCTGTCTCATCGCGCGCCGCGTGATGTAACGCGCGCGTGCACGCACGCACGCACAGACGACGCGCCAAAATTCCGTCGTCGCGCGTATTCCGAGACCCGACCGGAGTATTTTGCTTCTCGTTTTATTCTCCCCCCCCATCCGGCCTCTCGCGAAATTCTCTAGCGACGGTTTCACCGACGCGCCCGCCCGTCTTGCACCTTTGATCCATTCCCAACACCCCTCGACGCGCAGATATTTTTCATATTTGCGAAAATCTTACGTTTGACGCAATCTCGATACGGTGACCACATCCACGTTTATATGGTTTTCCGTTTGTTTTGATCTCGTCCACGAAACACTGATTCGAGCACCTTTCTAACTTCGGGACACCGAGTGCATCCGATAAAATTACACGCGAGTGTTTACGTTTTCCCGCCAATCGATACGCGGACCGTATACGTCACGGGTATGTACGTACGCGACACGTGTAATCGGTACATCGGGCACGCAAGCTTTCTAGTAATAGAGTTATACGAACGCGTAGTTTGACCCCCACAGAAAGTCGCGTCGAAAACGTTCTTTCATCGCGGAGTTGCTTACTACGTTATTTTGCCTCGTGATATTTTTATCTATACCCAACCGTTTTAAAAATACAATTCTTCCCTGACCATTTGTATTCGTTTAATACGGTTTTCACAATCGCATGCGCGCTTCGGTGTTGAGAGAAAGTTCACGGTTCGAACGTCGACGAGAGGATTTCCGAGCGACTCTGCCGTCAAAAAGACGGTGTTTCTTGCGAAAGAACTTAATGTTCCGTCATGGTCCAAAAGCGGCCGTTACGCCAGCTGCACGGCCTCCATGCTGTAAGCTCAGAATGGAGTACGAGGATGACGTTACGGGGGAATCCCAGAACTTCAAAAAGTAGTTAACGTTCGCCGGCTGAACTTTTCCCGCTTCGTTGTTTACCAGACTCTGAACGCAGACGGGACGGGATCGACGCGGAAAGACCACGAGGATCGAACAGAACGGAGAAAGAAAGATCGACGAATTACGATCGAGCGACTAAACCTTTCCTCGAGGAGTTCAACAGCTCGAATTTTTGGGTTTCGAACAAAAATTTTAAGAACGATAACGCTTTGAGGAAAAAAATTAAACTTCTTTGCAAATAGGGGGAAAAATGATACGAGATATCGTGTTGATTATAGTTTCGGCGATAAAGACTTGTTTACATTGTACGTGTACCAAATCTCGCGGAGATAGGTTCATTAATATCGGGGTTTTTACGGATACCAACTCGGAAAACAGTATTAAAGCGACGATTCCATCCGAGCAGGTAATCGCCTTTACTGCAATTAAGTTTATTATTCAAATTGAACGATTAGATTAATCACGTCGCGTCTTTCGTCAACTACAATTAACGCGTTGCGTTCTTTGATCATTACTTTCGAATTTCGATACGATGCTACAGGAATATGTTCGAAGATACAAAAAGGTGTTGCAGAGAAAAAACGTATTTGAGTCACGAGACAATCCGTAGAATGTGCTATTACTTAACAATCAGTAATTTACCTCAGAGATAAGATACAGTATATAAACTACCGAAGTACTTAGCCAAGTTAAAAAGTTATAAAAAGATTCTAGTAACTGGTTAAGTGGTTTAATCTAGAACCACAGTTTGCATACTTTGCATGGGAAAAAACCTTTTTCGACTGTTTGGCCCATCTAACATATATTTTCCTCGACATCTAAGCTTAGGAATTTGTTTGTTTAGTAACTCGATGGAAAGTTCTGTCGCGAATGTATCCGTGTGACGTGGCAGTCGACGTATTGAACGTGGTCCAAACGGAAACAGACGCTTATGACTCTTCTGAAAAAAACGACCACGTTCGTCGAACAATCGACGTCTATCGGTTGCAACGAATTGGCAATACCGTGCTTCGGCTCGCGGAATTTCCAACCGTACGAATGTATTGCGACGAATAACTCTCGGTCCACGATGAAATCATGGGAAAACCGCGCGTAATCGCGGGTTGCAGGATTGTTCTGTGCGAACGAACGCGCCTGCGATGCCCAATGACTGTTGCTTTGTTGCGGTAAAAGCTGTTAGGATTTCCCGACGTTTCGCTGTCCTCCGCGAACGATGCTGCAGGCGCGTCACGCGCGCTTCCTTCCCTCTTTTACGAAACCATCTAGGATTCTCTTTATTGTCCCCGCCGATGGGATTGTTCGATTCTAAGTATTCCGTTCCTCTTCATTGTTCGCCGATGGCGCTACTCATCTCCAAGTATTATCGTGTTTCGCTCCACAATGCCGCGCCGCAAGGTTCAATTTACGACGCTAAAAACTTTGGTAAATGCTCAACAAATGGTTCAGCTTGTCGACGTGTTTTAGCACACCAATTATCTCGTAAATGGTTCAAGTTACAACAAAGTTCAATGGGAAAACGGGGCGTATTTCGAAGATTATAATTGTATCAACGCGTTCACTGTCCGGTTTCTCAGCGGCGTATCCAACAGCACAGCGGTATGACCCATATACGAGGCATGGACAGCGAACGTGTTAACACTATTTCTACCAAAGGTGAAAAACACCTTTTTTTAAATTATGCAGCAGATCGTTCCTTTTTAAACAAACTTATACTGTCTGGTGATCTTTCTTTCACTCCCTCTGTAATTATTGTTTACTCGTGACAAACGGTGATCAGGTAGGAATAAATCACTGTTACAATGAATCCATAAATTAAATTGCTCACCGTCGTAATTTCGTTGCTCGAGATTCTGCGGCAGCGCAGGTATTTTCTTTCCAGGCAGAAGGTAGTTCCTTTCGAGCGGCGTCAAGGGATCGGTAAGGGCCTTCGCGCAGGCAATATCGCCAGTCGCGCACGCAAGGTGCAGGGCCGTGTTTCCACGAAAGTTCCTCAACGCTGGATTTGCACCTGCCAGGACCAGCCGTCTGACTATCCTCGGCTGTCGCGTCAATACGGCTAAATGCAGAGGGGACTGACCGTCGTCATTCAGGATGTTCAGAAGGCACAAATGCGGTGCCATTCTTATTAAACTGAACGCAGCCTCCAGGAAACCTTGCACTATCGCTATGTGCAGCTGCCTGAAAAAATACCGAAAAGGAAACAGTGAAACAACCGTTCCAGCACAGCCAATACCAACGTACTCTTTCATACTTCCTAACGAATTCTTCCATCTATTTTTTTTTTTAACAATATTATAAAAATAAAAAAGCAAAACGTGCACGGGTTAAATATACCAACATGATCGTTACTATTTACCGCATAATTTTCGCGTCTGGCAAAGATCTTCCCCGACTAACCGGGGACTAACCGACTAACAGTTCAATGTCACTTTTACGCTGATATAATTATTTTCCTTGTTTCGTGTGCGATCTATTTTTTTTTTTTCCCCCTCCGCGGTGCAAAGGTCAACGTTTCGTCAGCGACGAACGGACGCGCTTTTCGATAAATCTCCGATCACGCTGGCGTCGCGAGTTGCTACGGTTCTTCGCCGTGGAAAAAGCCGCGCGCGCTTCCGCGCCGGAAGCGATTCCGCCGGGAGTCATGGATCGTCCCGATCCGTGTCTCATCCTCACGTGTCGCGATCGAATGGATCCCGAGCCCGTGATAAATCTCGCGTTGCAACAGTTCAATCGGTCAACGCGCTTAGCAATGTAAAACACGTACGTTACCGCGCGATTCGCATGCACACGATGACGCGCGACTATATTCGCTCCGATCAACATGTTTTCTATGCGCTCATAAAAAACATCAATTGTACGCGATAATGGTATTTATCTTGAAACATTGTCCCGTATTATCGTTTCACGCGACGACGATACGATCGCGAGCCATTGCCCTAGATCTCAAGATTTCAAGTTTCGAACGAGATTCGCAAGTGTTTTTCACGCGGACTTGAATCTCTTTATAAAAACGTACAACGTAACAGTTTCCTCTTCCAATCCGTTAGCTATTGGGAAATTGTCCCGCGTAAGTATTCTTTACGTTAATACAAACGTCAAAACAAGGAAACTTTCTTCGTAAATAAGGAAGAAATTATTATTCGCGCAATACGTAAGTTTGACGTACACCCGGTGTACATTCACGACGATAGCAAATTTTCTACGTATTTAACGATTCGTGGAAGGCGGTTATATTTGTTTTGACGTAAATCATGAAGTAATTATTTCGTGGTCAGAAAGAATTACGTCCCTTCGTAGGTTTGCTATTATTATCCTAGTTTCGATCGATACGCTTCGAAACGTTAATGTCGCTTCAAAGCATCGCGGGCTACAGGTTGCAACGGTATCGCGCATGCGTCGGTCACGTTGAATTACATCTATCAAGTGAATCCCTCAATTCGTTTTCCCGTAAACAACCTTAGTCATACGCGAGATTTTGCGAAAAATGACGACAGATCTACGCGTGCATCGTAATAAATGCGGAAGCTATGCCTATGATAAATAGAGCGACCTGTACGAGAAAATTAACGCTTTAACGGACGGTTGTTTCAACCAACGTCAATTCCAAGAACATTTTTCTCAACTTTCGACGTAGTTTGGCGTCAACGGTCACTAATTGTGGAAATCAAAAGACGTAGTATACGCTACGTCATTCGCCGTCAAAGCGTTAAACAGATACTGCATATTATCGATAGATCGGCCAAACACGTCAAACTATTTTTTATTCCGAATATCGGTAAACATTATAACGGTAACCGCGAATCTTTTTAATACTGCAAGTATACTTTTCGATTTAACGACCGAGTTTACGATTTTACGAATCGCGTGATCATCGAGTATACATCGCACACTAATCTAGACCAGCAGGCGTTAAACGTAAACATTCGAATACGTTTGATTATAATCGAAGTACAATACCATTCTATAATGAGAACATTCGTGTTGAATTATCGATTAATCGATTAATTGTATCATTATCTCGGACAAGTTATTGTATTATTCTCATAAAACGTTCCTCGTGACATTCTTTCGTAACTGACAATAAGCTCGCTATCAAGCGCTCTCGCGTGAAAACGGAACCTAACCGTCCGTAACTGTCGAATTTTTTTCAGTATTCGCGAAACAGTTTGAAAAATTCACATGGTCGTACGAAAGTGCATCAATTTTCTACTTACGTGTCGCCGTCGTCGTCCTGTGTGTAGTACAGCTGCCAAGGTTCCTCATTGAGCGGTTTTTCGGTCGATCGTTGAGATTCGCAGTGTCGCAACGTCGACGTTTCGTGTTGACGTTCGAGTTTTACGGAGCTGACGGGAGTCAACTCGACGGTGGGTTCGACCTGAACCTTGCCGCTCGCAAGAGCGTTCAAAGTAACTTGCTTCAACGTAAGTTGGCTCAGGCTTTCGCTGAGCCCGAGATCCACGCCGCTGTCCGCCCTCATTGGTTCCGGTGCCACGGGCGCGGTTGTCCCAGCATTCGATAATTCGGAATCGCACAATTCGGAGCTGACTTGAAGATTCCCGCTGGACAGGAAACCGGAATCTGCGTGGCCCGTGTCGCGTCGCTCCTGACACTTTTCCTCCTCGCTACTCTCTGCAACATTTCTCTCCGTCGGTGTCATTCTCGACGGATGCCACATTTTCGATGTCGATTTCGATCGATCGGAATGGATCGGCTAGCCCTGCTCCGCGTAGGAGAATTACTAGCCGCGATTACAACACACGCGCTGACAACGAACTGTTACTCTTTTATATGAATCCCACCGCGACGCTTTCGCGTAGATTATCGATAAAACTTTACGATATATTCGTTCGCGTCGATCCTCCAATCGAAGGTACACGTTCGACTGAACTCTCTTTCGTTCGTTCGCGAGCGACGCCACTGCTACGGTTTACTCGAACTCGAATCGGTTCGATCGTTGTTCCACGTCCGACACAGCTGTGGCTTGCTTCTTCTATGTATGTTCGTTTCTTCGTTGTCGTCGTCGCATTCTCGTTTCGACTGGTTCGCAGGTTAGTCGGGACGATTCACTCCGTTCAACGAGATCTCGCGTTCAACGGGGAACCGTTTCTGCGTCGCGTTAGGTTGGAAGCCCGAACGTTTACGGAAGCAAGACCCGTTTGTGGTTTTCGACAACGGGGGGGAAAAAAAAACAGATGTGGACTCGTATCGTCGAATACACCACCCAACGCGCTGTCTAAAAACGAACTGACTGGGTGGCGTTCGGCGACGCGCGGAATAACCTTCCACGATGATCACAGTGCACAGCAGTGCCTCTGGCGGCAATCGAACGCACGCGCGTGCTCCGAAAGGGGCAGAGTAGGGGTGGGAAAACCCATCGTCCTCTGGCAGGGCCAGCTGCTGCACGTATACACTGTGTACTCGATTTTAACTTGGTATTCTTTAGATAACAAGTTTAGAAAAAAGAAAGCCGGATCGGAAAGCCCGCAAAAATTTCCCATAACTGCTCGCAGTGGGTCACGAACAAACATCCGAATAATTATTATCGCGAACTTTAACGAACAATACGGTCAAAACAAAGTAAAGATTTCGAAATATCGTCTCGACCAGGAAACGTATTTCCTCGAGGCTCGTTATCGAGAAAATTTGAAGAAAATCTGCTAGTTTTAGTAACGATTACGAAACATTCGCTAGAAACAGAAGAGGCACATCGAAGGTCGCACAAATGTTATGAGAAATTACCGCCAAAAGTAGCCCTACTAGATATCAATGTCTAAGAATATAATAATCTCCGTTTAAATTATACATACCGCAAGATTATCATAAAATTCTTCCGATACAATTCTGATAATTTTTTGATCGTAAATGTGCGTTGTTTGAAATTAACTATCGATTTATTTAAAATAATTATCCAGTATAAATAAATAAACGACCGTGCTATTAAATGAAGTCATCAACGTCTATTTCTTAAATTGTTTCCAACGAATCAAAAAATTACGTTGCGGAAGTACGGAATTTCAAGAATGTTCGTTGAGCCATTGCAAATCTAAACATTTAACCGAACGAATTTTTTCGTACACGAAACATCTCCTACCCAAGAGCTTCGTCGTATTCGCATCGTTGGATTTCCCTCGCAGGTATTTGTACCTGTTCGCATTTTACCTACCTGTCGTTTCCTCTTTGTTCCTTTTTCTTCTAAAGAAATTTAAATCTGAACGGCGGAGAATATTCGTCGCGCGACGGAGGAAAGTGTCGGTTTCTCGCGGACGATTGTTCAAAAACACGTAGTCCCTGCGCGAAGATGTGGATTTCACTGTTCCACTTTCTTTTCGAGCGGGCTAATCTTCACGGCGCGAAACTCACTGGAAATTCCGTCGGCATTTCCGATCTGGAAGCTAAGCCGATATTTTGCGGTAATATCCATCGGTCATTGCCACGTTACGATACCGGGAAGGTCCACAAGGGACGTTCCAAATACCCTAAACAGATTTTTCGATCTAATCATCGGTCGTTTGAACACGGGTTTTCCCAAAAAGATAGTTACCGACACTCGTTCTCAAACGAGGAACCTATACCTGTATTATCGTTCGTTACACAAACAAACCGAACGCTCTGATAATAACGGCCCATTGACAAAATCTATGCTCTCTCCTAATCCGACCGTCAGCTGTGTCGGTTCAAAAATAATGACCTATCGAAATCGGGGCCGCATAAATTGGGGGCGATTAGTCGTAAAAGTCGCTCTCCGCCGACGAAAAATAAAGTCTGTTGTAAAAGCATTTGTAAACGATAGTCTTAATCCTGCGCCCCTCGACGCAACTGAATTATATAATTTTACGTAATCGTTCGTCAACGATGAACGTTTCAACGGATGTCGTCACTTTTTTATCCGCGTTTGCCTACGTCGCGATGGCACGATCGCCTGAAATGCATCAACGAAACTCGTATCGTCGTGAACCGTGCGATTCGTTGTTAGTTGTCTCGAACAGCCAACAGAAGGAGAGACTGTTTCCCGCGGCGATAAATTATTGTTCACCGTAACAATATTATCGGTGATTTCTATCGTAAAATTACGAACGATCTTTGTCCATTAGAATAAAAACTTTTTTCCGTTAGAATGGGCGAGAGGGGCGCCAATGTACCCAAGCTATCTGGGAAAAACCTGACTGCGATAAGCTCAGGGTATTGTATTATCTCTGCATCGTTTACAAGAACCAATTTACAGATATACCTCACCATTATCAGCAAGTTAGTCGCTGCACCTTGGAGTTGCGCACTTTCTGACCATTGAACCTGCATTTCGAAGAATTAAGAGCTTAGAAGCAACAGATACATTTAGGGGATCCGCTAATTCTAACGTGGTACCTTTTCGAGGTTAGCTCGAACGAAATCACAACAATGGGAGTGATTTACAACGAAATCACGAACCTATCAACAAAGAATTTTCCCTCCTATTTAACAACTTGCTTTATTTTTGTAAAGTTCGACACATTGACTATACTTTGACTGCACAAGATCTGGGAAAGTACCATGACTCAATGGCGATGCAGAAATGTATTATTCGATGTATTTCCTCGCGATAGTTTTGATAGGTTCCTTTATTGTTCTGTTGAATGGAACAAATATAGTAATCTCGAAGAAACTGCAGGGTGCCAAGACGATATCAACCTTGACTGCAGAATGCCAACAATTCACAACCGGTTTAGAGCAGTCGTTTTTAGACACTGGAATACTGGATCCAAAAAGACGACCATGAAGATATTAAAAAACATAAATATCCTACTATATGCCCTCTGGAGTTACGTCGTTATTTAAAACAAAATTTATTATTACAAATGTGAAAGTCGAAACGAACCTAACCAAAATCCAATTAGTACGGCCCTGTAACCAACAAACTGCTACCCCACTGGGAAAAACCCATTCAGCGGCTCCGCACCCAACAAGGGTATCGTTTTACAGACCTCTTGAAATTGACTTTAAATCACTATACGTATTTGTTCCAACGACCATAACCGTAAGATCTGTTTCAGGCAAAATTGTGTTTACGTTGAAATTCGAAATTGCTTTAATTTACGATGCATGTTGTCCCGCGTGAATAGGCGTGCGCGATATTGTCCAGAGAAGTCTAACAATGAAATGCACGCTATTAGAAATATCACGTTCCTTTCCTTACACGATAAACTTCATTATTAGCATAACTGTCCGGATAGAGAGTAAACCCGATAGGGGAAAACAGTACAAGAGAATCACACGTATCGATTAAGTACTTTTTAATAACACACGATAAATCAAAAAATAAAATCTGATTTTATTCGAACAATTACTCTTCATAAATAACGTTTAGACGTACTACTTGATACCTCTATTAATCTTTCTAACAAATCTATAAATGGTAAGGTTTAAGAACCGTTGATAAAACTATGAATAATTTTGCAGAGAAAACCTGTTCGAATCAAACGATCATGCATATGATCGGTAAATTAAGATGATTTAACCCCTTCGGTGCTAGAAATTGATGACTCGGCATTCATAGACACGCGGAAGTTCCATAAACGCGTTTATTAAATTTATACGTCGTACACACATAAACGTTCATCGTGCGTAGTATATGTCCTGAACGCTTATAAACAAATAAAATAACGATCCATGTATACACCTTAGATCTTATATCGATCGCCATCAAGTAGAGCGAAATATTTTTAACTATAATCGATACTAATATCTGACCGAACGATAAACAATTTAATCGAACACGCGTAAAAATACAGGAAATATTGATAAAGAAGACAATTGTTATGCAAAATTTAATCAATCACTTTTTGAGCGAACGCTTACCTGTCAATAAGGGACACCTTCGGGAACGTGAAGAACAACGAACAACGTACTGATTTTATCGATGGGAAACAAAGTTGTTTGTGTCGTTTTCTGTTATAAGGAAAAACCTTTACGCGATGGTTATTTTGTGTACGAGATTATATATCGAACATGCAATAACACAAACAAGCAAGTAATTCGCGTTAACGCCGAGTGAAACGTAGCGCAGCAGTACGTAGCCGAGCTCCGAACTATTTGTAATCGACTACACGCTGCTGGCGCACGGAATTTATGTTTCTTTGGGAAATACCTAATGAAATCAAGTACGCACATGCGGGTTGACAAATTTTTAAACACCATTACGGGTAGGACTATGTCAGGACATTTCTCTAGCGTGAAATTAAAATGTAAAGGTCGATATAACATCATGCGACGATTTTCACGAATAACGGTCACGGATTTTCATGTCGCGCGGATAAATACGGCGTTTCGGAGAAGTTTTCTCTTGCCTCCAATGTGGAGAAGAAAAACAAAAATAAATTCAAATTTTATTTTAACAAAATATAACAGGAACACATTATGCACTGTTATGTTCGAGTATTCCTTGCCTTATAAGCGGTTCACATACAGCTCGTGGCAATAGATGATATGTATTCTTCTTTAATAAAATAACTTGACCATCTTCGAGCTCCAACTTTCCAAAATCCATCACACACTTCACCTACAATCAGAAGTATTTTAAAAAAATACCAAACAAATAGCATGATTGTGCTACTTGGCATACAAGTGGTTTGACCAGAACAAAGATGGATAATTGTTACTTTCTGTACCTCTACATAAGGAGTCTTTGGAGGCAACATATTTGCAGTTAAATTAAATCCTTGATCTTCTCCCAAAGATCTCATATATGTAGCCAATGATTTGTTATATGTATGAAACCACTGAACTTCTGCATTTAACAAGTTTGAATTTATTTCTGGGGGTAAAATGCTTCCTAATTCCCAACGTAGGTCTCTCAGTTTTTGCATTCTGTTATATATATATGCTAGAATGCATCTTTTGTTTCTGGTCAATGCTATGTGCCTAAGCTGAACCGATGGCAATAATGCCATATTGTCAGCATTTCGAATGGCATTACTGAAATAAATGTTTTCTATTTGCCAAGCAGAAAATTATATAAATAGCTGTAACTGTGTACAAACCTATCCAGCATATTTGCATCATAAAGAGAGTGCATCTCCTGTAGAACTTCCTTAACTACTACTTCCTAGGATTTAAATATATACATTTGGTTACTGGCTAATTCTAAATAATGTAACATAATATTATGCAACCTACATTAAATGGCTGTACATCCGTACATAAATCTAATTCTGTTATAAGCTTAAAGGCTTTCCTTCCGTACATTTTTTAGAGTAATTTTCTACCCTTGTTACAGCGGTTTATAAACATTTGAAGTCGCACGTTTATGTTGTGTTACGAAATATATTTTGTCGTGGACATAATGAGAAGTGCATAATAATATTCTTTTGCTATTCGAATTCCGTAGAATGAAAAATAAGAAGCAACGAGTATAACGGTGAGAAATATTTTGAAATCATTTGTTGCAACACGGTATAAACAAACTGTTAACGATACAAAGTAGAGACATCTATAAAATGGTTCTTGAGAATACCTTCTAGCGACATCTTACATGATATGTGTAAGTACTGGGGTTAAAAAAACATAGGCTTCTGCCAGGGCCGTTCCTGACGAAGGCTATTTAAAACAAAAATTAAATTTTCTTTGCACGATAATTGTTTAAAACTATGCGTGTATTGATGTCAAAATAAACATTGCATATCAAATTCTTAATCGAATAATGTTAAACTAATAAAGGCGGGAATATTGTTTTGCACCTGGGCGGGAAAGAACATAGGGACAGCCCTACTTTTATCCAAAGTACTGTGGAAACGAATCGTGTTTAGGTTATCGTTTTAATAATGTGTACCGCGTGAATGCACAACAAACAATAATATTGTTTATTAAAATGTCGACTATACTCAGAAATATTGCCACGAAGTTGCAAACATATTCACATCAAGCGGTAAAATTCTGCACAGCAGTTGTAAATGAGAAAACCAGTCAAGAAGTTACTCCGATCATCCTCAAGAACAACTACAGGGATGATAATTTCCTTTATCAAAAACAACGGCAAGTTTGGCTGGAGAATTTAGATACAGTCGAAAGGAAGAAATTAGGACTAGTGTATCTGCATCCTGAGATTTACGGAGCATCGCCGCGAATAGATATTATTCATCAGAACGTTAGATGGCAAAGAATGTATCGCTTCGTGGTAATTAAAAAGTTTTATTAAATTGGTTTAAGCATTGTTAGTAAAGGTGGCATGCTCGAAATCCATCGAAACTTAAAATATTCCGAGGTTCGAGAATTTGAAACTTTTCGTTAAATTTTATGATTTGACATGACTTTGGAATTCACCGATTATTGTATGTGTATTTGAAGGATTTAATTTGGACTTGTTTGACAAATGTTTGAAAGCAAAGGCTTTACAAACAACTTGTGATAAATTGAATTTTAAACTTTATTGTTTAATACAGGAGTCATCAAGGTGGAATTCATAACTCTGTATGCTTTCTAGTTTTATGAAACAGAAGGATATTTTTGATAGGATTACCTATGTAGCTAGCCCATGCAAAGTTACTATATCAGAAATTATTCTGTTAGTAAACAGTATTTCCTTTATTTTTATTATTCTCTAGAAGTATTTGCAACCATTATTTTCTAATTTTCTACCTTAGCCTTTTCTTAGATCTATACTCCAAAATCCCATACTTTTGTACATTTCGTTTTATTTAATAATGTTCGATAAATGGATTGATTTTCTATAAAAAAAAAATTTGTTATAGTTTGAACCATACTCTTGATTTAGATGTACGAAAGTTTCGAGTTTCGAGACTTCACAAAGTTCGGGATTCGGGTTTTACGAAACTAAAAATTAAGGTTTTAATTCACAGCTAATTGTTAGCTATGAGATAAAGATTATTAGCCTCTAAAATTGTAAAACACAATTATTGATATTTGATTTCAGTCGTACGCGCATACAAAAACTCGCGCGGAAGTAAAAGGCGGTGGTAGAAAACCTTGGCCTCAAAAGGGACTGGGTCGTGCACGTCATGGAAGTATACGTTCGCCATTATGGAAAGGCGGTGGCAAAGCGCACGGTCCCCGAGGTCCTACCCCTCATTTTTACATGCTTCCCTTCTTTTCCCGTGTCGCGGGACTTACATCTACATTGTCCGTAAAACTTGCTCAGGACGACCTATATATTGTTCCTAATTTGGAAATTCCAACGAAAGAACCCAGTTTTATAGAAGAGTTAATTGAAAATAGAAATTGGGGTCCTTCGGTACTTTTCGTCGATACCAACGATATTATGCCCACTAACATAACAGCAGCTACCGATTCTATCAATCACGTTAACTTGATGCCTGCGTACGGTAAGCTGATTGTTAAAAAAAACTTTAATGTCGCTGTATTTATATTATATTCGCTTCTTGTTTGTTTTTTTAGGGTTAAATGTGTATAGTATGCTGAAACACAATACTTTGGTTCTTACCGAAAGAGCTGCACGTTTACTCGAAGACAAACTATTATACCAAATGAATAGAATAGATTGTATAAAGCTGACAAAACCATTCAAAATTGGTCAACAATAAAAAAAAAAAAAAACAACAAAAACGAATTCAATAAATGTTTAGTATTTGCCAATGTATATTTAGTTTTATTACCAGTAAATAGTTCTCTATCCTTGTAAGAATTAAGCGAAAATTGTGACTATAAAATTTCTGTCCCTTACATCCATCCAATCCTAATATGAAATTTTCGAGTCCTAATTTAACAGAGGTCAGTTTTTTTTTAATGTTGGCATACTTGCAGATTTTTTGGGAACAGGCTGAAAGATAAGATGAGTACGATAGGCGTTTGATCACGATTGTACAAAATTCTTACCATGGGATGAGGATCCCCACCTAACATTTTTTCGCGAATTGCCCATCTCAGACCCGCGTGTTTAGCTTCCCCAGGAAAAGACATCTGTTTCCATTCTTGCTGATACTTCTGATAAAGCGTAACCGGGTCAGATTTCTTAACATTTAAACTCTTTTGGGCTTCAGGTTGTAATCTCCATGGTCTAATGACTACAACAATGAAAAGAAAAATTGTTTATCTGTACATCTTGAAGTTATTAAGGACTTACATGACTTTGCTCCAGACTGAGAGGTTTTTGTAGACAATATACTTTTTGTTCTACCACTTCCAATACGTTCGTGTTCATACTCCAATATATTTGGAGCACTCATTGGACGAACAGGTTGTGAAGTTGTTGGTTCATCCTGTTGCATTATTTTATCATCCTCTGTTTTTACTTTACATTTCTTTTTTGTATAAGAATCCTGTCTTATGCAATGGAGACATTTTTTTCCATTCTTCAAGCAACTATTACTACTTTCATCATCATAGGATGCACTAGTAGATTTAACATTGGTATGGTCAGATGTTTTCTTGGACGTTGTCTTTATAATATCTATTTTTTTTCTTGTACCTATACGACTATCTCCAGAATTTGTAGATTCCTTGTTTTCTTTGTCCTTTGATAAACACTTTACTTTCACCCTCACAAGAGGCTCATCGCCAAAAGAATTAGAAGTATCTGTAGATATTGTATTCACTGCTGAATGAAACTCCCTTCTCTGTTCTCTAAGAATTTCCTTGATATCGCTTTGCTGTTTACTCAGTATTTTCTGTTTGATCTGTTCTTTCCTCTGCTGTCTCTCGCGTTCTTTTATTTTCCTATACAACTTCAAATCTTACAACACCAAAAATAATACAAATTAGCACAGACGTTTAAAATATTTAAATCACAACAATTATGAACGAAGAAATAAAGTATTGCTGTTACCTTTCATAAAACCTTTCAGTTGTTCAGCAGTGATTCCAACGAACCCCAAAGAATTCAGAAGAGCGAGAACCTCTCTTGGATCTTCGTTCATTGTTAATAGAATAATATTAATTTACAACAATATAAAATGACAATGAAAATTATCACCGTTTGTTTTCGTACTATTTGAATGACAGAAACGTTGAAGTCAGTTATATATCTACGATCATAAACTAAATGCAATTGTACAGATGATTGTCCAAGTCGTATTTTATGTTGAAATATAAATTTTGAAACGAGTTCTCATTCTATGAGATGCATGTATTCAACGATACATCAAAATAAACGCTACGAGCCGCTGTAATTCAGCAGCGGCGCCATCTACCGGCGGAGACGTGAACTAGGAAGAGCGCCTGTTCGAATTTGAATCGGTGAAAGGTATTTTTTGTGATCGATTATGATACTGAAAAAGACTTCTGTTCAATGTAATTTTGTACAAATTGCAATCCGCTTTTGATAAACTTAAATGCCCGTCGGTAAATATCCTCCAAGTACAAATCGTTTCTCTCGTTAAAGAACATTCGTTATAAACGTGCACTCGGTGAACACTATAATCCCGTGGCTGCGCAGAATCTTTCGCCTGCGCTTGATTTAAGTTTAACGAAGCATGGTTAATTGTGCATCAGTCCGAAAAGAGACCTTCATTGAAAATGTTGTCTGTAACGCACACGGTTTTTCTAATGGTCGCTGCAACAATATCGAATCCATTCCCAGGTAAATCTATGCACCTTATTTCCCGAATTTCGCGTGTCGTTTTTAACAATTTCCTGCGCGCGTCTATGGCTCTCACGACGCGATTGAATTATTCTAAATATACACACTAAACGGGAGCGATACGGAGGGTGAAACACGTAATTTTTACGCCTCGATTACTTTCGTAATATCCGAGTTAATTGTCTATCTTCTTCGACATTTGTCTAGTCGTACAAAATCGACTGAGAACCGGAATATTTTTCTAGACACACAAGCATCGAGGATAGACGAGTTGGACATCCCGCTCGTAGTGCGTAATAATACCGGACCGATCGATCTATCTTGCGTTTATTACGTCGGATCGGACGAGAACGGCCTCGTGATAAAGTGGTACCACAACATGGACCAAATTTACCAATGGATACCGCCAAGTAATTTTGCATTAAGTTGTATAACAAGTCCGTTAGCGTTTCTTTATATTAAATACTAAAAACTTCAGCAATTTTAATATTTTCGTAATATAGTTGACTTATTAAAGTGACATCGTTGAACGGACTTATTACACAGTAAAGACTAGCGTTTATTTTAAAATTACTTTCTCTAATTGTGCGTATAGTGCCGCCTCAGGACGCGGGAGTTATAAACGGATTGGCCGAGTATCCCGATGAGAATCTGAGGCATCCCAATTTGAGATCAGTCATCCGTTTGAAAACTATCACCGCGCAGATGAGCGGGGAATACACGTGCACGATCAGTACCTTTCAAGAAACCAACTCAAAGAGATCGCGAATGATCGTTTACGGTAATTCTGTGGGTTGCGTCGAAGTCTCGATATAATTCTGTCGCTTAAATTGGATTAAGGGGAACATCGATACTCGAGACTCTGTTCCGCCAAAGACGATGCTCGATACCGTTTCGAATTACGATTATTATATTACAGTGCCGGAAACGGACGCAACAATCTACGTTTCGTCCTACAACGACACCCATATGAATCTCACGTGCGTGGCGAACGGAGCACAACCGCGACCGATTCTGAAATTTTACATCGAAGGATTAGAGGCTGTTGATTATTACGACAGAACAGAGGAAACAAAATGGTACAGAAAAGATCTATCCGTGAAACGCACGGCGTTAATTAGGAACACTTTCGATCCGATTTTACTGGACTGCGAGATTTCTATACCGCGCACGAATTACAAACGGAGGGAAAGGATCGTCTATTACCCCGGTTCGAGTAATTCTAATATTTAGTTGAACAGTGTTCGGATAACTGAAGTCTTATTAATAAAATGCAGAGTGTTCGGTCAACTCTGGGAAATATTTTAATGGGAGATTCTAGAGGCCAAAATAAGACGAAAATCAAGAATATCAATTTCTTGACTGAAGCCCCGTTAAAAAGTTATTAACAATTAAATTAAAAAATTTCAAATCGTTCTGGAAAAATTATTTTCTGTTGCGGGGGTCAATTACAATCATTTTTGGTCATTACACATACCCCAGAAATCCTACCCACTTTCTAGAAAAAAATTCGAAAAGGTGTGAAACTTTTCGACGAAATTGAAATATTTAAAATCATACTAAAAAAATTATATTTAGTTACAGGGGTCAATTACAATCATTTTTGGTCATTACACAAACCCCCGAAATCCTACCCACTTTCGAGAAAAAAATTCGAGAAGGTGTAAAATTTTTCGACGGAAAAAAGTTTTTCAAATCGTTCTAAAAAAATTATTCTCGGTTGCGGGGGTCAATTGCAATCATTTTTGGTGAATAGACATACCCTCGAAATCTTACGCATTTTCGAGAAAAAAATTCAATACGGGCGGAACTTTAAACGTTAATAACTTTTTAACGAAGCCTCCACCAATAAATTGGTATTCTTGATTTTCGTTTTATTTTGGCCTCTAGAATCCTCCATTAAAATTTTTCCCAGGGATGGCCGAACACGTGTAAAAAGGAGCAAATTAATTCGACCACTGTATCCAACAGAACACTTAAACTTTGTCTAATAACAAAGTTCGATATCGATAGTATTTATTATCGTGTAATATTTCTTTTTCAGTTGAATCTTTATTGCAAACGAGCACCGCGACAAGACATCAAATAATATCTTCCAACACCCACGCCGGCATCGTCGTCTTATGCATATTATTATTGTTATTGCCTTACTAACATTTGATGTTAATATTTTAATAACGCATAATCTCGTTCCCCCCTTCGTACTTCTTTTTTACTTAAATAGGTTCTTTAGATCCCTTACCGATTTTTTCAACAAAGTTGGTTCAAACTGACTGACGGACTCGTCTAATAGTAATGGTATTTCGACTTGGAAATTTCACTGAATATTATATCAAGGCAGAAAATGCGATTGCGTATGCGTTAAGGATGAAGGAGGCGACAGTGGCTGGTGGGGGTCTATATCTTGGGGTAGCGGTCCTCCGCTGGATTACCACTTGGTCTCTGACGCTCATCCGTGAAGGATTGGTAAGTTGACATATTCAAAATCATTATTGTACATCCAAGCACCAACGCTCTGTTGCAAAATTCTCTTTACAAATATTCTACAATGTACCCAAATTTGATTGTACACATCTTGAATATAACGCGTTATCCAATCGCTTCTTTACCCATTTTTATTAGAGTGCGTCGATTTCAATATCAAACACTGTGAAGAGCAATCTAACAATGCAATAGACTCTGTATAAAACAGAAAATATTGCACGAACAAAATTGATCTATTTTAGTAGAAGATAATAGAAAATTATGTTCAGAATTTACGTTTCGATACTCGTCAAAATTATTATTATCTCGGATAGCTACAATAATGCAAAATTTCTAACGAACGCAAAATGAAAATAATTTTATATTTCTGTTCAAGCACCTACTTATTGTACGTACACACTTGTTGCACCCAATAGTGGATTACCAATCATGAAGATGAATTGTACTTGCGTGATGCTGTTTCTTGCAAGTAAGCGTTATCACTTTTGTTAAAGTAAATTTAAGGCATTGTTTGACATATTCATTTAAAAGACGTCACTACATTTTCGAAAAAAATATTATTCTTTTTATAGAAATCTATATTTTGATATCAATCTGTATGCGGAAATATTAATTAGCAATTAATTTGTAATTCATGGGCGGGATAAATATATCTTTAATATCAGTAAAAACAGTAATATTCTGATAATTATGGAACGGTAGGTGCGTCAAAGGATTTTGAAACAGACGAGATCGTCAATCACACTATAATCTCTTCTTTAAGAAGATAATCCCATCAAACAGTGCATTACCTAAAGCAGACGCAGCGGTACTGTTCCATTTATCAGTGATTTTCCTTATTATATAACATAGAATCTCGCTGCCATAAATAACGATTAATTTTACAGAATTTTCTTTTTAATTACGAACCTTGAAAGAAAGAACGATCGGCGATCCTAGATTCTCTCTTCGTCGATAAATTCCATTAAAGTAGATTCGTGCGTCCAGAGAGCCGCATCTTGGATTGAAAATTCTGAAAGTTTACAAAAGTCTGATCGAGTTACGCGTTACTTTGCGCGCCATATAAATGCAATAACTTGTAATTACTTACTTAGCATTCATTACAAAGTGTTGGAATTCTGTTACGGTGCCCGTAAATGCGTTCCTTTGAGCCAAGCAAATTGCAAGAAAATGTGAGTGTAATCCGTGTGTTATAGTATGCGCGTTATGGACCTTTGGAGAAACATTGTCGTGCGACCAGTGTGGCCGAGAGTGTGCCGACATATGCGGTACTCGACAGTTTCGAGCTTGCTGTTTCAACAACATGAAGAAAAGGCAGTACAATATCGGATTAAAATTATGGATGAGGCCACGCCGAAATAGGACGCACTTGTACCCGGTTTACGATATGCAATAATCATTTATGGAAAACGGCGTAACATATATGCAACAATTTTATAAAACTGCACAGAATTCTTTTTACTTCTGTGTCGATGTGCTTCACTGAATTTAACGATGTTATAAAAAACTATATATACTCAGGGATAATTTTGATTTTATAATGTGAATTTAAAGTGTCGAACGTACTATAATTTCGCTTGCAGTTACACCATGTAACTTATTAAATATATAGAATATTTTCCTGCTGAATATCGTTGATTAATAAAAACCATTTTAATCGTGCATTATTTATGAATTTATGTTTACACCGTTAACATAAAATACTTTTCATAACATATACAACATTTATTTTTAGTCTTTCTTTATTCGATTTTTACAAATAGTCAATATTGTAAGACGTTTGCTGTAAAAGTATAGTAAATTCAATTATACTATATTTAGGCTATCGAACGTTGTATACGTTTAATCACTTTTTTAAATAAAATCGACTGATTTGTTTCGTCAGAACATGCATCCAATTTGTTCAGTAGTTTTTTGCTTTTATTCCTAATCATATTCCATTGTAATTTATCCAAACCTGGGTAGGACTCTTTGTTTAAAAGTATTGTCAAATCTGCCTTACATTTAACATTTTCTAATGTTAATAATTTCTGTGAGTCTCTCTTTTTGTTCAATTTCTCCGGTTTTGTGCCTTCTGCTGTTTCAATTTTTTTACTATTATCCTGAGTACAGATTACCTTATGTTTCTTTTTTTTGGTAATTACAGATAAATTTGTATGGTTGTTATTAGTGAATTCGTCCTGCTGTGCAGTATGTATTAAACTGAAAGTATGTCGATCTATAACTTCTGCAAAATAAAGGCTATGGTTAATTATATGTTTATTATAAAACCTAATATTCAGCGTTCAATTTTTATACCTCCCGCATCGTCGTTAGCAAGTTCGTTTTTGTTTTCATCCTTTGGTACAATATTAGGAATAACATTTTTCTCCTGTGCATATGTTGATATATTTTTAACTTTTATTTCTTCGTCTTCGTCCGACTCGTCATCGCGTGGAATGATTAATTTAAACATTGTAGTTGTTAATCCAGAACTATCAGGAACACTGTACATAATACAAATTTATTAATTATGAAAATTTTGTTACATAAAATCTATTGTTATACATTTTATATTCACCTTGGTGTAGGTTCATTTATCCATGGCAATGCTAGCCATGTTTCTAAATTGTTTGCAATTTCATAGTCTCTGGGAAGCCAGTCCATTCCTGAGGCTTTAAACGTTTTTAAATATTGATATAAACCATTATACCATGTACAAGACTTTTTAATTAAATGCCTTGATAAAATCCTATAGAAAAATATACCCATTGGATTATAAATGATTGATGAATTTTTATTAAATAATTAGAGAATAACACACCATATTCTACTGATAACAGCATATGCAATAATGGAAACAGACCAAGCATGACCCAAAGCTATTCTACATTTCAGGAAATGAGCTGCATGTTTTGAGACTTCTTCTACGCGTACCATAAGCTTTGCAAAGCCTTGAGTTCTGACCAAAACAAATTCTAACATCTGTTTACTAGGTAATTTAACATATTCATCGTCTGCTTCAATATAGCTTTTTAAATTTTCATATTCTTTTTCAAGGGACAAAGAAAGATAATTGAGCAAAGCTCTGTTTACTTTGGACATTGCTTTAACACCTTTGTCATTTCTAAATTTACTCTTCATACGATAAATTAATCTACTTAAAATTGCTGCTTCCTTGTGCAACAATTCTTGAGAACTCAAATCCTTTATAACCATTTCTAGGATCATTTGAAATCCTGTTACATCTGAAAGTAGTAACAAATAAGCAGATATTATATTACAATCTTTATTTCTAGAAAATAGGTTCTTCTAAATTTTACCAAATTTTTCACGTTCGATACGAAAACTTGCATTTGGTGGATGTTCCAACTGTTTGCGATTCCACATAACTTCCATGCTGATTATTTATTTTAGATATGTTCAATTTCCAATGTTAAATATACGTCGATCAAAACTAAACATAACCTTACTTTTCCCACGTGAATATATTCTAATCATACATGACCGTACAAAATAAAATTCGTTTTTCTGCATGTCCAAGAATACTTTTACAAATTTTATTTTACAATAATATCATACATTTTATTTGTTAAATCTTGAATAAACATGGATGTATTTAACATGGGAATCTGAAATCGAAATTACTTCTTTATCAGTAACATTGTTTTTGTCATACTGAATTCTTTAAGTATGATACAAAAATCTAATATTTAATATACATGGTATATATGTAAAGAACATGGGATACTTCGCATAACTGGATAATTTTGGCAAAGATATAAACCACATACAAGTTCTATATCCATTATTTTTTAGGTTCTATTAATATATGTCGTGAATATCTTAACATCTGTTCTAATTGTTAAGGACAGCAAATATTTATATTATATAAATTCGAAATCTAGTTTGCTCATAATGCGCGGGCAGTCGAGATTCAAAATTGTATGCCATTGAGGCAAGGATAGACAGATGGACTTCAGCTGTTCAAAAGCAAGAAGGAAAGGCTTCCATTCGTGTTCTTTATCGATTTCCCGAAGTTGCGTCAAGTGCTGACCCGCGTAACATATGGTTCGTATGGTAGGATATGTCTGCTTTCCCCACCACTTCGTTAAATGCTAAGGAAATTCATCGTTACTAGTGTCACCATCGATGCACTGAACTATGCCAAATCTGGCCACACTGGTCATGATAAACATAAATTTGGCAACAGTGAGAGAGTCCAGTTACGATGTACACATAACCCACTCAGTAATAACTTTTCAGTTTTTATTAAGTTTTTGTTTGTGCGATAAGTGAGAATAAACTGTGGATTAGGTATAGTGCAGTGCAATAAAATGTTTAATACAACGTAGATTTGTTCCTTGATATATTAATCACGTTGATTTTTTTTTTTTATATTTGTGTGCAGCACAGTTGCTTAGAATCTGAGGTCTAAACTGGTCTGAACTATCGTAACTGCCGATTAATTATTTTGTATTCTTTGTTGTAGTTTTATATGAAGAATTCTATAAAGTAACGATGCCACGGCGTTGCTGTGTTCCCGGTTGTAAGGGAAATTATAGTAGCACATTAAAATCGGATAATTACATTTCGGTTTTTTTATTTCCGAAGGACGAGGAATTGCGAAAAAAATGGATAGCTGCTATCCCTAGGAAACATTGGACACCTACAAAATATTCTGCTGTTTGTAGTCTTCATTTTGGTGAAGATGATATTCAAAGATGTAAGAGAGTTGTGACTTCTAATGGTGTACATAGAAATGCCTTAGTAAGGTGTCCAAAGCTTGTACCAGATGCGGTGCCCTCTATATTTTGCAAATCGGATTATTTTGAAAAGCTTGCACTGCTACATAAAAACAATTATGAAAAACGTAGACAACTCATTGTAGATTTTATTGATGTAGATTTCATTGTAAACTTTGTAGAATTAATAACTAAGTATCAAGAAAAACTTGAAATGCTTGAATGTTGGCACACTAAGTTAACAAATTCTAAAATTTATTTTTATAAACTTGATCATGATAATGATCTTTTAGCAATAAACACACAAATTGTAATTGATGACCAAATGAAAATATACATTTTTCATGAAGGTAAAGAAATTTCTATTACTAATTCAAAGAGAGTGCCACTTGTTAACAAGAAATTGTGTAGGTGGTCACAACTTCAAAATTTATTAACAAGATATAAATCTGAATTTGATGTACCTGCTAATGATGAAATAGATCTTATTGAAAAACATGTTAAGAAATCTTTAGAAGAACTCAATAAGGCATACACTATTGCAGACTCCATTGAACTTTCTAATGTTACATCTTGAAATAACAATAGATTAAATAAAACAAATTAAGTTTACAATATTGTTAACAATCAAATGATGCCATTTACATGTAAAGTTGTTGATTTTGTTTAAACATGGTTTTAAGGTATGCATTGTTTGTTTTATTTAGTTATTACTCTGTTTCAAGATCTAATATTTAAGTGCATAGTCATTAGTCATATCTTTTAAATACAATAAAAATAGTTACACCGTGACTTATGCAAATCTCCTAGAATTCGGGAGTTCAGAGTTGGTTAGTAGGACTCTCAATATTAGCAAGTCTTATTACAATTGGCAGCACTGTATAATTAGTAAGAACACGCCTTAAGGAAATTTAACAGCGAGCGTATGAATGTGTGTGTGTGTGTATGACCTACTATATATGTACATGCCCGCTTCCGGTATTGTAATTTTGTAATTCTATTCCCCAGATATATCCTCGTTTATGTTAATTTATCTGTATAATAATGTTTTATAAATACTGTTAAATATAATATATGCAAACTATGTAATTGTGTGTACAATTATTTTAGTCCCAATTCAACAGGCTATGGGCCCAGATACGAAAGTTTTAAAACTTAGTCATGGGGTTAAATGCCCACAGAAACCGTGAAAAAGGCACCACTTACTTATCTACTATCGCAGTATGATATTATTCCAGGAGAGTCGATCGGTCTGATAGGGACAGGTCGACACAATACAGGACAATTTGGCGGGGGACCAAGAGGAACTAATTTATGCACTCCGAAATATTTGAAACCACCTTGTACTACAGGACGATACATTAAATTTGTCCATGGAGTGAGACCCCGCGGCGAATTCGCTGGTTGTATAAATCTATAATAAAGAACTTAATTATTTTGACAAACGAATGAGTAATAAAATTAGCTTATAAATTCTCACCTCACTGCCTTTATTCGTTTAATGGGAGGATAATACTCTTGGCACGATTTGTGTCGTTCTGTGTTTAGTAAAGGCCAATTACATGTCGTTATCGTGCAGCTAGACCTATTTACATGGCCCCGTGGACAGAGATCGCAGGATTCCTTTTCCATTAGAATTTGCGAGATGTTCACTTACAAATTTTAAACTTAATGTACACCCGAGATCGCACAGACGTCTCCGAAATGAATAAAATGAAGTCAACCTAAAAGAAAGATTCGTTATGGTTTGAAAAAATTGAACGTTGCAGATTTACACCGTATTGTCTATGTAAACACGTATACAAACGTTCATCCAAACACACGCATATTCATTGTACTTGTACAAACTTTGTTTTTATGAACTAAATAAAACAATATAATTAAAGGAACTGTAGACATTTCGCTTAATTTATGTATAAGATTTGATACTTTTTTAATAAGTGTTCCAATAAAGACAAATTTAACCATTAATTTCGTTGACTGAATCTACATAAAAATTCTTGGATTTTCACAGTGTAGTATACTATCGAGAAGTTTTACGACAGAGTATACTAAGTACATTCTTTCGATTTCGCAGTAGATGCCAAAGTGATAGAACCATGACCAGGAAGAGACCAGATAAAGGATCAGCTAGGGACAGCAAACAGATGGTGCGCAAGGTGTACAAGGTGTACAAGGTGTATACTTTATGGTCCCGGTATAGAAAAGCCCGCCGGTGGTGACACGCGTTCTTACGACAGGTCCAAATTCGGGAGGGGCGGGTACCGACTTAGGTATGGGTGCGCAGGTAACGCACGGATAACAACAACAGGGGGGGCACGTAAAAGGCCGCGGGGGGCAGGGTAATGAAGGAGGACAGCAGACAGCAGGTGTGGGCGGTGGGCAATTTTGTTGGCTACATGGACTGGGGCACGGGGAACAACATATTATAGGTTCTGGGGGACATGACGGGGGGCACGGTGGACATTGTGGTTCCATCGGAGGACAACAACCGCAACTGAAACAAACAGCTGGTCAAGTAACCGTTATATGTACAGTTTGGGACACCAAACATTATCACGAAAAGAACAACGCTTGATCGTGCTATTGTGCCATTGAATTCTATTTGAAAATTAGAACTAGCCAAATTTTTTGGGTGATAATATTCAATGTCTTGTATAGACAATAGTATTTTCACACCTTTCGATCATTCTTTTTAGATCTCTTTTACCGTAAGGGCGATCGCACCTTACTATCACCGACATGCTTGATTTGTTACTAAAATTTTATGATTGCAAATTTTGTTGAAATTTCCACATGAAGAAGCAGTTTGAAGTGAAAGCATGGTCGGTGGTTAAAACAATAGAATGATCTTTTGATGAACGATAAATTCTATCGAATACAGACAAATTCAATTGGCATGCGAAAGTTGAATTTCACGTAGTTAATATATTTTATTTATATAATCGTTGTATAAATTGATTAAGGATGTCGGGGTTCGAGGAGTAATTATTGCAAGTGCTACTTTAAAATGCTCCTTGGTAATTATGGCTGCATTTAAGTCTTCTTCGAGTGCCTTCATGGCGGCTTCGTGACATATAGCCTGAATTTCCGCTCCAGAATATCCCTCCGTAAGCTCGACTAGATCTTGAATATTTACGTCCTCGGCGATCGGCATATGTCTTAGCTTTATATCGAAAATCTCTTTCCTAGTTTCGTCGTCCGGTAATGGCACATATATTATGCGATCTAAACGTCCAGGACGGAGGAGCGCCTAAGGAAAGACTAATGTTATGATCCGCTAATATTCATCGAACGTTAGGATTACACAAGAATTCGACTAACTCTATCGATTTTATCTGGCCGATTAGTGGCTGCCACTAATGTAACGTTTCCTAATACCGTGACTCCATCAAGTTCTGTTAACAACTGTGCTAAAACTCGTTCTTGTACGTTACTTCCTCCACTAGAGGATGAACTTCTTTCACTTCCCAGAGCGTCGATTTCATCGATAAACACTATAGAAGGCGAAACTTGTCTGGCTTTGCGGAATACTTCTCTTACAGCTTTTTCCGATTCACCGACCCATTTCGAGAATAACTCTGGGCCCTGTAAATAACTTCAGACGATAAAAGTGACTTTACTGGAAGATGTAGATGTACATTTTGACGTGTTACCTTTATGTTTAAAAAATTGACTTTACTTTCTGTTGCAAGAGCTTTCGCGATCATCGTTTTCGAACAACCAGGTGGTCCAAACATCAGAACACCCCTAGGAGGAGTAATGCCCATTCTTTTAAATGCTTCAGGATGACGCAGCGGCCACTCTACCGCTTGCTTTAATTTTAATTTTAAATCTCTTTGTCCCCCGATGTCCGACCACCGGACGTTTGGTACTTCTATTAAAACTTCTTTCATTGCCGATGGTTTCGTTACATTCAAAGCGTGATTGAAATCAGGTAGCGTTACTTTCAACGGTTCAGAAGCGGATTTTGTTTTTTGTTGTCGCTTTACGGCATTTAGAACTGCTTGGGTGCATAGGCCGTACAAGTCTGCGCTAACAAACCCGTGAGTAACGAACGCGATGTTTGCTATATCTTCCGGGGATAAAGTGTTCGATATCTTTGACACCAGTTTTTCAAGTATTTCAGTTCGCATGGTCGGAGTAGGCACATAAATTTCAAATTCTCTGTCTATTCTACCAGGTCTTCTAAGAGAACTATCGACCAAGTCAAGTTTTGATGTTGTAGCTAATATCACGATATTATTGTTCGTATTTTGTATATCGTCAAAAAGTGCTATTAATTGAGCGAGAACTCGTCTTTCTTGATCCGTGGTCGAAGTGCTCCGTTTAGGACATAAGCTATCAATTTCTTCTATTAAGATAATACTTGGAGCAGTGGCTTTAGCTTCCATGAAAATATCTTTTAATTTTTTTTCTGTTTCGCCAAGGGACTTACTGTATATATCTGAGCTACAGATAGTAAAGGAATTGATATTATATTCAGATATTAAGGCATTGGCAATGAGAGATTTGCCAACACCAACAGTTCCATATAATAATATTCCTTTGCTAATGTAAAAATCGCAGATACTTTTGCATCTACCAAGACCAATGTCAAGAACATCTTTAATGTCTTCTAATATATGATCGTATCCGCCGATATTCTCTATCTTATATTTATGTCTTTCATGTACATTTTCTTTGTTTTCTTGTTCTCTGTTTGAAATAGTCCACTTTGTCTTGTAAAGTGCTTTATAAAACTTTATATTACATATTTCGTTCTGTGTTAAATTTAATTGTTTAAATTCTTCAATTAAACTGTTATCTGTACATTCATCTGATATAACTTCAGTAATCTTATAAGTTAATTGTTTCCCATAAAAAGGTATGCTAAGTTTATTACCTACAGAAAATATTTTTCGTTCATTATGGTTTTTTAATACTATGTCAATTTCTGCAGCTACATCTGCATGAATGTGTTCCATGAATAATGAATGTTTCCCAACACTGGAGATTATAAATTCTTTAGCAATACTAACAGGGCAGTTCAATTTTGCGATCTTAACCGGACCTTTAAGATTATTTAATTCTATGGCTGGAAGAAACATGTGGTTAGAGAAGTTTATTCTTATACATATTATCTGAAAGGGTACTATATAAACTTTACCCTGTTGTATCAATGAAACGCTTGTTGAAGTTTTGTCTTTAGTCGACCATACTGTTTTAACAATAGCACATCCATTGGCTGAAACTATAACAGGCTCTGCTAATCTAATCTCACAGAGTTGTAAAGCAGAAAGAGATATAAGAACCATGTTGTCTAACTCTCTTTGAGTAATATTTTTTGGCGATTCTATACAAGAAATATACAAATTCCAACCATTAATTAGTCTGTTAATTCAAGATTTTATTGTACGTGCATCAACACAATGGCGACTATACCTTGTGGTGTACATGGTTCTATGGTACTATACAATGTACCATTGCAAATGAAATTATGATTCCACTTTTCTAGATTAGGTGGACAGTTAGTAGCATGCTCGGCTACATCTTTTTGCGTTAAAGTAATTTTACACTTTTCACACGTCATCCAAGGAGAAAGACTCTTTCTACCACTTTCTTTCGATTTCGAACTCATTCTAAACAAAATTGTAATATTACTTCTAATTTGCTACCTCGTCGTCACCAGATTTTGCAACAATCGTGTACAAAATATTTAAACGAAACACTTTACTACGACAATATAACCTATAAGGCACTCATGAGTGTTTCATGCTAAGTACCGTGAAAAATGAAAACGTACATTCTTATAAAATACGTAGAAATGCGGACAGTCTATGTGTTACGATTCTTATTGCGACACTACGTACAAGCTACACGATTATAAAGTTACACAGTATGCCATGTGAATCACAAGCTGTGAGTGCTGTGACCGCCATTCCGCACTCGCGTATGTGCAGAGTTTGAAGCGTCAGTAAAGTATCTAATCTGTTCATTAAACTGTAGCCCTCAATCTCTCCAAAGAAAAGTAGAATTAAATGGAAATTAGGCACTCTGATATCTAATAGTATAACATGTTTCATACAAATATCTATAATGGAATGACGAGAGCCTGGAGTCCAAGACTCCGTACTCCATGTCGTATGCCGGTTGATGTTAGTCAGATTCAGTTACGAGAGTAAAAAGGAAAGACTTACATTCGCCTTCTTCCTCGAATTCACGAAGCTGTCCGAAATGCAGGAACTCACATACACGTGGTGGTACATTAGTGTGTGAAGCGGAGGGGTAGTTTCCTTCAGGCACCGGTCGGCGACCTGGTAACACTGGAGGGGGGTCGTGTTAAAAGTTGAAGCAGTGATTGCAACGCCTCCTACAATTTCTGGGAGTACTAAAGTTTGTGTCGGTACTGTTCAATCTGCTTATCCCATCTGGGTAACATATTATACGAAGCCTGATTTTGATCTAGAGATTACTAGAGATCATAGCCTCCAGAGTATTCCATGATTAAGTATATTAAAACATTGTTTTGAATATTTGATAATTCGAAGATTCAGTTTTAGGTTCACAGGAAATGAGCACGATACTGTAATTGTCAAGAATCCAGTTAGAATAGAGCAGTAGCTATTTTATGCTTGTATGGAGGATTATTGATTTAATTCTATTGGTAGGAGGTATCCACTTACTCGAGTACTTATGAGACTGTAAAATTAAAAATTATCCAGGTAATGTGGTATCCAAAGATGTCTAAATGAACTTAATTTATCCCTGAAAATTAATGAATCACTAAATCATATATTATACTCTGATATTTCGAATATTTCGAGTATTTATCGACAGCATTAATAACGATCAAGAGATGCCTTCGTAAATTTTTCGATACAATTACAAGGACCGTCAAAGAACGTTACAAGTACGCTCACGATCTTTTGGGACTTCAGAGGCCCAATATATCACGATTTTTTGAAGCATCAACGTACCATCAACCAGTCACTATTAGGCTATCCGCCGTATAGCTTAAATTTCTTCCTATTGGATTTCTTTTTATTCGATCCTTTGGAAGACGTGCGTGGAAAGAAGTTTCGAAGTAATATCATTTCTTGAAATTCATTTTGTCATACTATCAATAATGAAACTTATGACAGCAATTTTTAATTCTTCTTAGATCAACTACAAGCGAGGCCAGCAATATTTGATCGTAATCTGTGATACGCGTTTACAATAAATATATTGTAAGAAGGTGAAGGTATTTTAGAATTATTTTCTAATTCCATTTAAGTGATCTTAGGATCTATTCCTCGTTACGTGCGATCATATTATATCGAATGTTTCAGTTCGACGCGTATATTTCGTTTACGATTTGCCGTCCACTGTAATTAGCGAATGGAAATCAGTATCGGCGACGTCCGATTTACGAGCCGGGTAACGTTATTAGGTGATACAATCGAGGGGGAGAAAAATGAGACACAAGGAAGGGCGACGAAGGGGGAGGAAAATTGGACGGGCTGGAATGTTGACGTTTGCATGGAGGCGAGATGAATCAGGTTCGGCGGAGCATAAAATCAGCATGATCGGTCGGCGCATCGGCGATCGCGGGGCAGGCAAGAGGCAAAAGACCCGATGGATGGACGGACGGGCCAGCCGTCACGGAGCGGGCCGACGTTCCCGTACCAAACGAGATTAATAGAGATCCGCCTGTCAGCCGGACGCCTCTCCGTCTGAGCGAGATCCAGCGGCTTCCAGACGGCCAGTCTTCTCGCAGATCGCAACCTGCGTGGGCAACAACCGATCGTGATCGATCGCACGGTGCGTCTGTGCCTTTGGACTACCGCTTTTGCATGCGTCGAGTACGTGCCAGTCCAAGAGTATTGCGCGCACCACGTATCATCTAGTCATCCGGGCGACACTAGCAACAAATGAGAATAACGACCGCTGTGACGAATTAGCACGATTAGTCCACGCGTCGACGCGACAACTTTCTCCACCGTTGCCACCGTTGACAGATATCGGCCGAGTAAAATAACGCCACCCGGTTTTCTTCACACCGACCGTCGTGCGTCTCGATTTGTACATAATAGTTGCGTTCGCCGAATTTCACCGTCCCGAACACGGTCAAGTCGCGTTCGAACCGATACGTACGCCGCTATTCGTACCGATGCGAATAAGAATCACGAGGGCTCGGTGGGCCGTATTCGGTGGCTTCACCCTAGTTTGCCTCGTCAAGTTTCCATTAGGTAGGCACTCGTCGCTCTTTTTTTCTGTCCTTCCTTATATCTGTCCACCCACGTTTTGTTTTTCTTGCCCTTCAAGTACCTCACGGTGATCGTGTTCATCGATCGCATTTCTTTTCTATTTTTTCTTTTTTTTGAAATCTCAGGAATTTCAAAACTGACCCTCGTTACGAAAGTGCGCTGTATCGCTGTTTGACCCACCCCCCCGCACGAGACGACGTCCTCATTCACCGTCGCCAAACGGGGCGTGTTTCTGTTTCAGCTTGCTGTGATAAGAATTCGGGCGACGAAGGGAGGGTGCGCAGAGAAGAGGTACGGCAACATGTGTGCTGCGCGAGACACGAAAGGATGATCGACGTTGGATACGGTAAGCGAATCAGCAAATATTAACGATGAGATTTCGTGAGGCAGGGCGCAAGAGACACGCGGGGACGTCGTGAAAATTTCGCCGCGCGGGTTGCGTAATTTTAACGACCGACCAAGTGCGAATCACGGTTCCCTCCGTTTACTCGTTTCGCCGCCCCACGTTCATGAGCGGTAAAACGGCCGGTGGCCTTGTCGCTGGATCCGATCCGGTGAATTAATATCGTGGTGTTCAATCAATTGACGCCGATTGAGAGGATGGAGCATCCGGTGGTGGACGTCGAGTTCCTACGTTCTAAAAGATCGGGTAGCCGCGACGCGGGGACCGTCGGAATCCGTGCACCGATGCCGGGATCAATTTCGTTGTGGTTCGATTTGTCGGGCTCGTAAAGATCAATTAGCGCCGCGACGGCACTGGGATTCGCTGAATCCTCGTCCTCCCGCGAGCCAAGAGTTAACGTTTCGCCGAACCACCGTTCCGCGAAACGCCCGAAGGAACAACCGCCCTTCGAGTCGGAATCAATTGTCAATTAAGCGACCTCGTTGATCGCCGTGACCCGCTGTCCGCCGATACCACCCAGAAACATTCCGTACGCGTACTTTTGATCTTCCGGAGAGACCGACTCTTTCGACTGGAAAGAATAGTCTTGGAAGAAATGTTTGGCTCTTCGACAAAACTCGTAGCCAAATTTGGATAATATTCGTATACAGAGACTTTTCGACGACGGCAAATAAAAGATCGCGATTTAAAATCGACTTAGCGTACGACAAAGGGTGTACTTTCAGTATCGGCGGTTTCTTCGATCGTCGACGGCCGCGGGATCGTGTGACTCAGCCAGTGTACAGGGAATATTCGCGTTTCTAGTAGATCTCGCGATAACGCCATTTATAGGAAGAAACGCGGAAAGGTGCGAGGGTGTACGCGAAAGCCCGGGGTAACGTGAATCACCGTGGAATCCTCGCATTCCGCGTGTCCCACGCGTTCGCGCCAAAAATAGCACGGTCACACTATAGACGGTTCTACCCTCTTCTTATATCTTGTCAACGTTGAACGCGGTACAACTCATAAATTTCGTAGGGAGTTCGCGCGAGCATTACCGGCGGCGCCATCGGATTTACACCGCGTCTCATTTCTCGCCCGGGAGCGCCGCGGCGCTCAATCAACAACACGTCGCGACGCGGTCGAAATTTCATTGAACCGCGTTGGCCACGCGTCGCGAATACTCCCAACATTGTTGCTCGTGCATGAATTTTTAGCAACAAATAACAATTCGACTGACGATAGTATTTTTTTAGCATCTTTCCCTTTGTTTCTCTTTTTCAGGAATATCGGGAGAGATTATCCAAATCGATGCCGGCCATTGTCGCAAATTGTGTCCGCGACACGTTTTGGACGATCCTGGGGACGCGAGCCAACCCGCGGTGCAGGTAAACAGCTTCTTTCTAAAGAGTTGATAAGTCGATTATATATTGTTTGCCATTTAACCATCGATCGTTACGTAGCGAAGAATTTTTTACCTCGAAGGCCCCATTGTACATTCTTCTCTGCTTCTTCGTTGCTTCGAAACTTCTTTCGCGTACCCCGAAGGGCCGAACAAAAATTGTCGACGCTCGAAAAAAATCGCAAAACATCGGGCCTTTGAAATTCAAAAAGAAACGCCCCGATGAAGATTTATTCGAATTTATTCCAAGTCTGTAATCAGTGACTCATACCTGGCGGGATGCACCTGGTGCAAAAACTTCGTGGGTCGATCCTCTCCCGCCTTTGCGAATCGGCCGTACGGGACAAAAAAGCCCGTCGTCGGCGAGAAGTTCGACGAACCGGTCGCCGAGGATCGATTCTTCGACTCGAAATATTCGACGCGTACGCGGATCGTTTTGTCGATCGAGGGGAGGGGAAAAAATCTCTCGAAAAACGAGCTCTCTATGCGGAATCCGTTGAAAAATCGGCCCTCGATCGCGATCCATGTAGCGAACAAACGCAGAAGAAACTCTCTGGACGTGGCGCGTCGAAGAATTTCTGGACGAGCAAAAAGTGAGAAGGCGAGAGGGGACTCCGAATTCGCAAAATAAAAAAAGATACCGCGATACACGTTGCCGCGGCAGGTTACGTGTGCCAAGGGCTATGCGAAGGGCGAAAAAAGGCAGGAACGTCATGTAGATTTATGACGCACGGGATCGACCAATCCGCCGGCTGGAATGCGGCCACGCCAGGCATCGCGCGATCGTACGATCTTTCGCGACTTTTACGGCGAGTGCACCCCGTACACCGTATCGAGACGCCCCGTATCTTCGCCGATGATCACGCGCGTTTTACACGCGTTTTAGGGCCTTTTCGGACGAGACGCCTCCCTGGCTGGGGGGCTAGCGATGGGAGTTGAACCACTTCGAATCGGTACCAATTTATGCAAAGAAAAATAGTAGTTAAACCACAGTTTTTAATCAAATAAGGGCCAATGACCGAATCAGTCAAAAAATCACAACGCAAAGTAACCTTTCGTGAGTACGAGGGTGCAAGATGAGCTTCGTTTTTTTGACAAAATCAAGATCAAAGCCTAATCAGAAAACTCACGATGCATACGATGGTCAGCAGGCTTTGGATCCCTGTATGCCCAATTCTCGAGAACGTCGTGGAATTTTAAAATGGTACTCTTATTTGTTACGATGCTCCTGGTGGTATGTATCCTAAAAACATGTGAAACATAAGTAATACAGTACATGCACATTAAAAGAAATTTATTTCCCGCGTGTTAATTTTGTAGAACACCTTCGCCGTCACAGCTGTTGCGATTGTTTGAAGAAACTACAGACCCAGTGCCTTTCCTTGCAAGTAAAATTCTTCTCTCCGGTGCACCCTTAGCGCGGTGACCTTGGAATGGAGTACGTGACTTGCGGGGGTGCGTCGAGGCTGAGGAACGTTCGAGAACAGCGCACCGTTTCCATCGTTGGCCATTCCCAGGTTTATGGCGGGGCTCTATTATGAATTGTACGCCACCCGAGTGCTGGAAATAACCGAAATATTGGTATTTAACTTTCGAAAACCAACGACGACTCTCAGCCTTGTCGTAAACCTCGCCTAACGGTGACTCAGAGCCAAATGACGCGACTCTGAACATTTCTTTTTATTTACTGGCATCATCGAGCCTTAATTGATTTTACCACTACATAATAACTATAACAAGTCGTACCGCGAGCAACGTTGTCTACAAAAATGCGTTCGAAATACGAAGGAACGAGCGAACCAGAAATCGAATAGCAAATTAATCGATTACTCCGGGGAAATCGAAGTTTCGCCGTAAGTTTTGCTGCGGTACACATGGGAGTTCTCTGGTCCGTTTGGAGTTGTTCGCAAATAATTCGGGAACGGCCCTCCGCGTACGTTCGTTCCCCGTTCCCGTGGACAGAGCTATTTTCGTCACGTGATGCAACCCGATCACTGGTTTACGATCTTGCAGCACCCACGCCGCGGGAGAGAAACAAGCTCCGAGAAGGAGAAACGTTTGCACGCGATATGCAGAACGGGAGGATATGTGTTTTGCGTCCTTGGAAGGTCGTATCGTGCCGGGTCACCGATCCGGCGCCGGCTTGGCCAACTACTAAATCCCGAATCGTGTTCCTGGGACCGCGAGGATGGATGTACCTGAGAACGGAATTTATTAGAAATTATTCTTAGCCAGAAATATCATCCCAAGGGGGTGGAGGGGGGGGATTAAAGGGACACGGGGAAGGGAGAGGCACGACTGGCCGCAAAGATAACGGTCGGTTATCACGCAGCGTGGATTATTAAATGGCACGCGTGTCGCGAAAGAAATCGAGTACCGAAGAGAACCGTCCGAACACGGGATAACGAACCGCGCGAATATTATAAATTCCATCTGAGACAGCATCGATAATGCCGCGACTCGCGTAACGTACGACCGCGATAAAGTGGCAATATTGTGAAGCTGCCAGCTACCTTTTCGGACAAGAGTCCCTTGACTATTCGCAGAGGATCAGCGTTCCCCCTAATTACACAATTTTACTTATCGAGCTTCGTTTTTTAAATAATTCTAACGCGTCGAGCGACCGTGTATCTCTAACAAATATGGCGGCCATGAGAGTTACAGGTTCTATCAGATTATTTCATCAATTTTTTGGCGGTGACAGGGTGCAAAACCCTGTTGCGGAGGGGTCACAGAGAAGTCAGGCCTGGAGACGATTTCTAGCGCCGTGGGTTTATGATACGGCAATCGTTGTTCGGGAAAAGGTGTACCGCGATAATTACGTACGCGTTTGAAAGTAATAAACGTTAACAATAAATCTTCCGTATCATAAACCTCGACTTACAAAAGACCTGGGAGGTATCCCCCCACCGGTGGACGTCAATTTTCTTTTTTATTACGCTATTGAACCCCCTAGGAAGTTTAGACTCGATACAAACTAGAGATCCAAAGGTCCAGCGATCCTTTTGAATACATTTAAAGAGAAAACAATTTGTTTGTTGCCCCAGAGATGCTTTCCGGAATCGCATTGTCGTCCAAAGGCCACGAAATTAGAGAGGGTCTCGACGATCCAAGGCGTTCGCGTGATCGAAGTGACAGAAGCTTGCGAGTGCACGAAAGATTCATCATGTAAACGAGAATCCTTGACGCATCTAGTACATTCCGGAACGCCTCATCAAGCCGTGATGGATGTCGGAGTGTGTATGGGCCATTGTGCTAAAGGTATCTTACTTTCCATTCTCCGCGTTGCGACGCGCTTTTGAACTTTATCAATAACAAGTGATTTTTGGAAGATCTCGGATGTAAAGCAACGAGGAACAGCACGTCTAGCATCAAGGGCCCGAATGGTACGTAGAAGACTCGTATCGTACAGAGCGTCGAAAGAAATCCAAACCGAGGAGAAGAGATTCGTAATATGTTTTATAATATTTAAAAATGTTCAGCGTCTCGATAGAATTTAAATCCGGACTTTGTCGCTCGAAAGAAAATTATTTTGCCTCGCGTCTCGGATCATTGTCAGCCTGATAGATCCAATCTGTTATGTCCGTCACTGTGTTTGCGTATCTCGTGTCCTCGAAGCTTGACCCCAATTTCTTTCAATGCTCTGTAACAACCGGAAGCGGCTCGACGGATGCGACGTACGCGTTAATTTTGTAGGGGACGAAGTGTACCAGGTGATCGAGAAGTGTGGCTGCGCCGGGGCGTGCCACAAAATGGACCACATGGAGACCGTTCTGGACTTCAGCGAAGTCGAAATTATGGACGGAACGAACACGACGGACGTCAGGCCGATCGTTCGTGTAAGTTTGTTTTATCTTTTTTTGGCGCAACGGCTTTGTAATCCACGTTACGGTTACTTCGTCAACAGCATATCAACGTCGGACAGTGCGTCGGGACGTGTCCGGGGAACGAGACTGAAATGTGCATTCTGCGGGACAAAAAGGAGCCATCGAGATGCGTCGCCGGTTTGTACTCGAATCAACACACCTGCACACCGGCCAAATTCGAAGTACACGAGTACAGGTACGCGACATCGCTTATCACAAATAATGGGCAAATTTTTATTCGCGAGCGATAGAATTTTTTAAGCAAATAATTTTCACGCGTTGTATCGTTACAGGACTCGTCGAGGTTCGAAGAGAGAGATCATACAAATCACTCAGTGTGCCTGCGTTTAAATTGGGCAGAGAGAATCAAAGGAGCCTCCTCGACCCAACGGACCAGCGGAACATAACGATTTAAACTATTTTACGCGTCGCGTAATCGCACAGTACCGTTTCAATGTTCCTACATGCACCGTGTATTGCTATGATTAATAAACATACGATGACTTTGTAGAAAAAAGATAACAACGGTTACCTACGATTGGTCCATGCTCGCCGTATTCTGGTCGCTTAAGGGAGCACTCTAAAAAATACTTGTAAACTGTACTGAAATGAAAAAAATCGATTTGAATGCTCCCTTAAACGGCCATAGAATCTTTCGGAGGAACGAACAACGAACGGAACCGCGGATCACGATTAGTTCCAGCGTGGTCGCTGGTCTCTTGAGACGCCAGACGACGAGTTTCGGTTCCACGGGAACTAAACCAGGATTAGACTTGGCATACGAATTCGCCCTATCGTTAAAACGCGACGAGACAATAAGGCGAGCGCATTCCGCGAATTCGACGCGCATTTCTGCAGAAGGCAGGCCAATTGGCACCGGGCAATTTCGCGGTAACAGCCATTGGCTCCGGCTCGTTGGTCTCATTCCGCGTTGCTCGTACGAAATAAATGCAACAAAAAGAACGAGGTCGAAGTCGCGCTCGATCTTCGAACGCGTGGGCGAAAATACACGGTGATATCCTCGCCGCGATCCGTCATCGTCCGCGCGTAGGAAAACGGCCGATTATTCGCGACATCTAAATATCGCCGCCGAGCCACATAACTCCCCACTTACGAATCCACGGAATTTAGGAAGCGTGAGCTTTTTTTAATAGCCCCGCGGTGTCATCATCTCGTTCCCCGTCCGTTTCGTTCGCCTTCGAAAGATATCGTATAATCGTTCCTACGCTCGCGCGGTCTCTCACGTCGCCATTCAGCACGCTCGTCTCATATTTATTTAAAGTCTTTTCCGTATTTCGAATATTCATTACCATGTTTACGCGCATATTTTCTTACAGCGATATCTCTCGAAGCGAAAACCGAAATTTACGCTAAAAATGAAACTATACGGAAACACGTGTTTCCAGCGACGAATAGAAATTTTTATATTTTTAAGCGGTCTAAGGTACTCGAAGAATATTTTTGTTTACCGTTTCGTATCGCGATATAAAAGCGCGTCGAGGGTTCCTTGGACGTTAGGAAAAATCTAGTTAATAATTACTCTCGGTGTATGAATTCGAGCCGATTCCAAAGCGCTTGGAATTCCATCGGTACACGTGGAGATGAATCCGTACGAGGGAGGCGAATCGTCAACGCGCGACGATGTCGGGCCGCGTTGAATCGTGTCGCGTAGCGTCGCGTCGGTGTCCCGTGAGAGAAGCCGATGTCGCTGCGGGGAGCAACGCGGGGGAGGTAACTCCCGGCATAGCATAAAGGTGACTCCTCGCAGCCAAGACCTCCCATATGCTACTTAGCGTCCCGTTCGGTTCGGCAAACCTCCTGTCCGCCAGCAGAGAAGAAGGTGTCCGCTCCTTCCTCCACGGAACCCGCAGTTTTCTTCGTCCCGTCGCCGCGCGACGGAGTCGTTTCTCGCCGGAGCTGAACCGATCGTCGAATTCCGGGGTATTCGCCGCGACCGGATCCGAGGATCGCCGCGTTCGGAGGATTCCGAAACATCCGACGAGCGCGATGACGGGAATCGTACCGTTCCTACTACTGGCGTTACTGTTCCTGTCGAGGCACCTCGACGCGGACGCCCATCCCGCCGACGTCTCCGAGGACCACGATGCCGACGGACGGGAACTCGAGGACAGCTGGTCCCTGGCCGACCTGAACGAGGGCAACGATCACGACGCCCGCCGGGACGAGGCTCTAGAGAAGCTGCAACAGGTCCGTGCTCCTACGCGAGACGCTCTGTTATTTGTACACGTAAACGTTTGCGAAACAATGGACATATTAGCAGTGCTACCTACGGTTAACCATTGCAGGTACTCGGTATTCGGAGTCACGGCGAGAAGACGGGACGTCGCAAGGTGCCGCCGCAATTCATGTTGGAACTGTACAACAACGTCGCCGATCCGAGCGGCGTCACGCGGGGTAGAAATCCGTACAACGCCAAGGTTGTCCGCAGCTTCATCGAAAGAGGTAATCGCGCCTCCCTCCGCGTAAACCGCCTCCGGTCTCGTAGCCGGTCCAAGTTTGCTCAAAGTCACACGCTCTCCCCGGCAGACACGTCCATGTCGCGGTTCTACTTCTTCAACATCACGGGGCTGGAAGTGAACGAGTCCGTGTTGGAGGCGGAGCTTCATCTCTATCGGAAGAGGACCGCCTTGCGAACCATGCACCCGTCCACCGTTACTACTCCTTACTACTTGGTGAGTAAGGCGAATCCACGGATCCATTCTTGGATCTTCCTCTAACGTAGACCTCCTTCAGATAAGGGTGTACCAAGTCATGGACGAGAAAAGCTTGGACGTCCCGGATCTCCACAGGCTTCTGAACGTCAGATACGTCGGGGCTCACGCGTCCGGTTGGCAGGTAAGCTTCGTGGTCGATGCTCGAGTCGGCGGATGTTCCGGGTGCACCGAACGATCGTTTGTTTCCAGATATTCAATGTGAAACAGGCGGTCCTCGCCTGGTTGAACGGCGAACCGAACCTGGGGTTGCTGGTGACGGCCACCACGCTGTTCGAGGACCAGGTGAACGTGGAGTTCTCACGGCGGAACGAGTACCATCACAGCAAGCAACCGATCCTGGTACTGTTCGACGACGACGGGAAAGGCCAGCTAGGAAACAAAAAGGTCGTTCCTCGTTACTACGCGTACGGCAACGACAACGAGGTGGAGGCGGAGGTGTCCTACGACGAGGACGACGAGAAGATCGATCTGAAGGACGAGTACAACGACAAGAGACACGACGGTCGGCACGGTCAGACGGAGGAGGCTCGATGGGAAAGCGGAAACGCGTCGGAGTATTTCCAAAGACAGAAGAGGACGCACAAGGAGGATACCGTGACGGAGGTGGCCGGAGGTAGCGAGGACGCGGCGGAAACCACCGGGCGTCGTCGCAGAGAAGTGATGCCCTCGACGAGGAACATTTTCAGGACGATAAACGTGTATAGAAGAGCGAGGCGACGGGAGAAGGCGAAGAAGAGCGTCCGTCGAAGGCTGACGTCTCGCACGAGCGTTCGCCAGAAGCGATCAACCAAGAGCCACGCGTCCGTCCAACAGAACGTCACCGAGTGCTCGAGGCACGAGCTTTACGTAGACTTCAAAGAGATCGGTCTCTCCTCATCGATCATCGCTCCGCTCGGCTATTCCGCCTATTATTGCAAAGGTATCTGCGAGTCGCCGTTGAGCCAGGACCAGCAGCCGACAAACCACGCGACCATCCAAGGGATCGTTCATAAAATGGGGCTGGTCAAGGGCGTGGAGAGACCTTGTTGCGTGCCCACGAAACTCCTGGGCACCACCATTCTGTTCTTCGACGACAACGAGAACGTCGTGCTCAAGGTCTACCAAGACATGATCGCGAATCGATGCGGGTGTCGTTAAAGGTATCGTCTGAGATCGTCGCGACGGGTCACCTGTTCTTCTCGCGGATGAAGAGGTGACAGACGCGCGTTACGCTTTCAGCGTTCAGCGGAGGAAGCAATGGTATACGGAAGATATCGACAGATAGAGAGAATGAGCGAACGTATGCACAAAGAGAGTGAATGCACGCGTGACGTAAAGAAACGATTTCATTGCGCGTTAGTTACGAGAGTCATTCCCACAGATTCGCTTCGTGATCGCCCGTTCAATCAATCGTCCCCCGACTTTTGTACATAAGAACATTCCTAAATTCGCGTCACGATCGTACGTATCAACGATCGGCACGCGTCCGTATCGTATCCTGTATTCGTCGTTAAATTATTATTATAATCACACACGCACACACGTAGGGAGTTAGTCGAATTGTGAACTGTATATAAATGCTGTATCTGATACGTTAGAGTTATTTATATTTTAATTACGATTGAATAAAACGAATATTTAAGCGAGACGACCGTCTTTTCTTACACCCATTCTCACGCGTCTATGCGGTGTTTATTAAGATTTAGCGGATTCTATATTCGGCGGGGTATCGTACCCGGTCGCGAATACGTTTATTTACATACAGGATCTCGCGCGGAATTATTTTCGTTGATAAGGTGTCGAATAAACCGAAGCCAGGTGAACGAAACGGGACGGGGGCGAGCGGCGGCGTGGCGATTTTTTCTTTTTTTTTTTTCTTGTCGACGGAGACGATTTCGAGCGGCGAGATCGAGGCGTAAATTTTACGAGCGAGCCAATAAAATAAGCGTGACGGTAACGGTGCCCGGAGACGATGACTTTGGCGCCGCTGGATGCAGAGAGGCAGTCGCGGAATGTCACTGCTACCGGTGTTAAATACTGTTTCTTTTAACTCGTTTTTTCCCACCGTCGACGATCTACGAGTAAATAAACGAAGCCGAATCGGAACCGAGAGACCAGGACCATAAACAGTTCCGTGCTAATGGTACGCGCCGCGAAGCTCCAAATCTCGTCCCACCGACACCCTTTGGCGTCTTCCTCCCTCCCCTCTCGCGTTTTACTTTTTTTTTCATTTCGTGACCCGATGACGTGTCGCGATTCTCGTTTTATCGCATCGCTGGAATATTTGGATCGTGGAACGTAAACAGATTAGTTTAACGACCCCTGGTCTTCGTTCCGCGCCCCGTGAATCGACGCGAGATTTGACGGACATCCTCGACTCGCTAATTTATCTATTTTACGGTAAAATAGAAGCTGATAATTCGAAAGGTATACTGTACTATAGGTGCGCAAAAGAAGGTCGAATAAGGATGTAACAAGGAACATCTGCGATATCAGATAGTACTTCTATAGTTAAAAATGAACTCGCAATTCGTCGTTCTGGACCACTACGTACTGGCATAATCGACGGGACAACGAGCGCGAAGAATCAAGGGAAATTACAGACGATTAGGCGGTATCTCTCGATCGTCCAACCACAGCGTCTTCCTGTTTTCTCGTTACCACTCCCCTTTGGAATCGTTGCACGGGCATAAATCTCCACCCACGATTCTTACAGAGCCGGGCCAATTTGTCCGAAGAATAATTTAAAGTATTTGATCCTCGTTCTTTCTAACTGTCCTTGCGTTTGTCACGGCGCTGAACGGAAAGGAGACGTAAATTGATTCACTGGCCCGGATCAGCAGCCGCGAAGGATCCAAAATAATAACTATGAGCGTCGTTCGAACAGCACAAACGTTCTCCTTTAAAATGTAATCGATATCTATTCTTTAGTTGCACCTATTTTCGACCAGCTTTTCGTTAAAAGTTTAGAAAAATAATTCCAAGTTTTATTTGAGACTTTACGAAAACGGAGTATCGAGAGTCTCTTGTTCCTAGTCAGCGGCGCCAAGAAAATGGAGAGAACGTGAGAGAGAGAGAGAGAGAGAGAGAGAGAGAGAGAGAGAGAGAGAGAGAGAGAGAGAGAGATTTAAACGAAAATACGCGGACAGTAAATAAGGCGCTCCGCGATGAAAGGGAGCAACCGTGGCGCTTTCGATATGGGGATTTGCATATTTGCAGGCGACCCGATCGTTCGCGTGCCATCGTACTGCATTCCGCGCGCGTGCATCTCCAGTTATATTTAATCCGCGGTGGGTGTATTTTCGAATCCACCCGGTTAAAAATAGACGGAACGCGTTCCATTGCATTCCACCGCTGTATTTAGATCCCTTGGTATCGTAACACGCGTTGTTCGGCCTATGACAAGTTCTTACGAGCTCACCAACGTATTCTCTCGTTTACATAATTATCGTACGCGACGGGCGGATTCCTCGAGGACGCTCGCGGGGGCAAGAACCACCACGATACACCAACATACAAGGAGAACGCAACACCTTCGGGGTCTCCGGTTTCTGTCCACTCGTAGATATCGTACTCCTGTGTACAAAAATATACAGTTGAATCACAAAATTATTTATATATACATTTCGTAGTACTAAATATAATTTTTTGGAAATACCGTATTCTTGTTTTCTCCCGTTTCGTTGATCCCTGTTTCATTTTTACCCGCTGCGGTCGAGAACTTTCGCCCAGATTCCAATTTAAGATCCTATGGTGGAAAAGCGAACATGTGAGAATGGAGTTCTCCGAACGTATAACAAAAATTGGGAATGGCTTTAGGGTGTTTCGTTGTTGTAATTATCAGGTCGGGTTCGTGCGAAACACGCGAGCGGCTAATGAACAACGATCGGAGAAACGGAGAAGAAACGAGGGAGAAACGATTAAAACGCGCCACGCGAGCCCGTACGCTGCTGGAAGGGTTAAGGATGTTGAACGTTGGAAGGACGTCGGCTGGAAGGAGGGAGGCTAGACCGACGTAGAGCAAAGGGAGAGCAGAGAGACGGAGCGGAGCAAAACGGATCGACGTAAAAAGAAAAGAGAAGACCTATAGGCTCCGGAGCTGCTGCTAAGTAAGAAACCCCGAGCCGTGAACTGTACGGCCTGTACAATGACGTAGTGTTCTGTCATCCGGCGCGCTACCTCTCCAGCAACCTCTCCGCTACCGCCACTTGGTCATTATAGTGGGACAGAACACTTCACCGGTTTACAACTATACATATAGTGGTAGGCCTTTGAACGGTACGCGCCTCGTGTCTCATGTACGCCGCGTTTCTTCTTCCTTCCCTCTTGTCGCGCGTTTTTTAATCGCGGGGTCCCTTTGCGTGCGTTGTCTCTCTTCCGCGCGACGCGTACACGGTATCGACAGTCGCGTTGACACCGACGGCCGTTCGCGACGCGTAACATTCGTGTAAACAAAGAGGCCGACGACACGGGAGCAACGTCTATCGCGATCGCGCATGCACGAGCAAGGAACCATCGTGGAGTAATCGTAGGGATGGACCATAGATCGCGTGTATCGATCGTATGGAAATCAGTGCCGCTAAAAAGGAACCATCGTTGCGTCTAACCATCCGGGATACCACGCGTTCGAACGCCCGCGAAGGAAGCATTATGACAAACGCGCGGCCCCATTGTCGGTGACAAACATGAAAGCGTCGGTCTTAATTTGCTGGATGCTAGTCTTCAGATCGATATTGGCTGCTTCTTTCGTGCACGCGGACGATCAACAAGTAAGTATATCGAAGTTGGGTCGCTTTGACATAATAAAACGTTAGTTTGTAACTTCGATTTCGATAAAGCGAAAGCAGAGTCGGGCAAATTGAACTTCCATCGATGGGTTATAATGTATAAATTAATCTAAAGTGAAATATTCGAGCAATGGCCCAACTCTGTTTAATAGCATCGCCGCGTAAACAGAAAATTTCGCCTGCTCGGCGGCAGGCTGCTACGCCATTGAATGGGAAACGATCTCGCAATGCACGCTTCCCAGAAGTAGAAACGTTCCGTCTCTCGGATCGCCGAGCGTATCCCATTCCGCTCCGTTCCATTCCAGCGTGTACCGCTGCGTCCCTTTTCCCTGCTCGATCCCCCGTATCTCATCCACGAGCCAAACACGGCCTCTTTTGATGTTGCGCCGACCGTTCACGCAAACGACCGCCGCTACCTTTCAGCCTGCAACCTCGGCTCTGTCCTCTGCGCCGGTCGATCGACCGATTCACGAACCCCTCTTTCTTTTTGGCAAATAATTAACCAGTCCGTTCGTCCGCTCGGGAAGCCGGGCGACGATGAAGCGAGCCGAAACTTGGAAGGAATCGTGGTCGAACGGTCTACCGCGAGATCCTTTCTTCCCCCGTTCGGAGACAGGCCGAACGACGACGACAAGGACGAGACGTTCCCGACGAGACACGCGAAACACCGGAAACGACGTCGTTGCAAAAACCGATCGAGCTGTTCCCGAGGGTCCCTCGGGGCAAGATTGTCACCGCCGCGGCGCAACGACACGAAGGACGATCGAGACGTCGCGAACGCGGTGTCGGAAGTCGAGGAAGAGCCGCGGGAACGACCGATCCATGGAACGAGCGATCGCGCGCAGGTGATTATCGGTAACGTTGACATTGACGCTTGGTAGACACCAATCTCGAGGGGTAACCGGGGCAAATATTGGCGTGTGTTTTCCTCGGTATATAGGGGTTGTACAATGAGACCAAGGGGGAGGAAGATTACGATGTTAAGGACAACGAAGAGAAGGATGAGACCGAGGTCGAAGACGCGAACACGCCCTCCTGGATGGACGTTCGATCGAGGAAGCAAGAGTTCGACGAGAACGACGATTACGCGGACATGGCGCGCCCCTCGGCCATTTACACGGCTATCGACGACCAAGTGACGTTCCACGAGAGCCTGGGCGTTCTGTTGAGCAAGCTGTTTCAAAGCCTGCGGAACGCTTCCGTCGCGAACGGCCGGGACATTCTCAAGGAGCTGAATTTCGTGAACGCGACGAACGAGGACCCCTGCCAGAAGTGGCTGAACAGCAAGGACAAGCTCGAGAAGGTTTTCTTAGGTAGGTATAACCGCGCCATTATTCGGGGGATCTATTGTCGCGACCGCCTTTTCCACGAACCGGACGATTCCGTTGCAGGTGGCCTGGCTTCGTTGCCCGCCTGTCCGTGCCAATACCCGAGCAACATCTTTTACGACGACAAAATTTGGGACGAGAGGCAGAAGCGGTATTTCAGGTGGCGCGACGTGAGCGGCGATTCACAAAGGCTCGACGTCTACAAACCGGGAGCCGCTTACTGCGTGCGCTCGTTGCTGATGCAAGGAAGCGGAAGCGTGGCCGCGCAGCACTGCTGCTATGACCGCAGGAGGAAACTCGTGACCCGCGGTTCCGGTGCAGGGACACCGAACTTCGTCAGCCCGGAGATATCGGCCATATTGCACGAGAGGATCGACGTGCTACCGTGGAGACTGTGCAAGGGAGACTTTTCCAGGTTCTTGAATCGAATATCCTCGCCACTCCTGCAATCGACCAGGGAGATTAGTGTACCATACGTCAATAACCGGGGTATCTAACAAAAATGACCGGAACTCTTTCATCCGCAGGTACAACGGAGTGAGACCGCCAAACAATGATAACGGCTGCGAGGCGAATCCCGACAACGAGGAGTACCAGCGGCAGATAGACGATACCAAGCACTATTAGCTGTTTCTCTTTTCGATTATTGTTCACGAAACGGGATACCTGTAGGGCATGCTTGCAGCGACTCTGTATTCAACGAGTTATATTTGAGCATTTAGAAGCGTTTCGTATGGCGTAATGTAGAGAAGAAAATATAGTACTGTTAATTTTATTACCTGCGTTACGTTTGTGCGTACTCCGATTTCGATACGACCCGTGTTAACGTAAGTTTTAAAAAGACGCGCCGTTGTCGAAAAGCGTTGAAAATCCGAAACCGGTTACGTGCATGCCGCGCGTATGTACGAGATTTCCAGTCACGTTTCTTGCGCTTCTCGCCGAGCGAAAGTGGGGGGAAGGCGAACCCATAGGACGAACGGCGAAGTCGATTCAACGGCGCATGGCGAAGCGGTCAGTTGTTATGGTTACCGTTCGCAGACACACAGGTTACGTCGACTATTGTATTCCTTCGTAAACTGAAAATTCGATGGACGAACATGGACTGGGCTTCGGATTTGGAAATCACCTCGAAGAAGGTAAATCCTGAAATTTCTATCCTTACGTCTTTTTTCTTTTCGTTTCATGAGGGAGACTTACAGTGTCTGACATTGCTTTCCGGGCATTTGATTCCTCAGCTTTTACCACGTCTCGGCAGACGTTCGACGCAGAACGTTACGCAGGAGGATTCCAAGTCGGACGATGACCTCCTCGAGAGTCCTATATCGGTGCCCTCTGGGAAATTGTCGCAACCACCTGTGGTACCTCCGCGCACCAGGAAAACGGGGTGGGGAGACGAACTAAAAAGCGGGAAGTAAGACGTTTTGTAATATCCGTTGTTTCCGGAAAGAAGGAATTTCAGCAGTAATAGTTATTTTCTTGCACTTCGATTCTAGATCACGAGGGGCCACTAACATCATCGAACAGTGAGTATAGTGAACGGAATTAACGAATCAGATGTCCATAGTCACTGATAGTCTGTTTCTTAGGGAACGTTCCCGAGGGACGGAGAAGGACGATCCGATAAGCGGTGAGTAAAAGAATCTTTCTGAACAAGGAATACTTAACTTCCTGTTGATCATAATGTTTTTAAAGCTCAAGACATCTTCAAGCTAATTTTTTTTTCGTTATTTGTAGATATTCCTGTTATACCGGATTTCGATGAAATACAAGAAGACAGTGTATTATCCGACATCAATGCAGCCACGTATGTATTGCCATGTGGTCTCGTTTTTGATATTTTCTATATTTTCCGTTTAATTATTTTACATTAATAATTACCTCGTAGGATCAATGTGAACAGGGTTGCTGCATACAAAGAACTCGACACAGATTTGGTAAAAAATGCTGCATTCACGTCTCTAAACGGTGTTAGTCTTTCTCTTCTCGCGGAGAAATTGTACACTGAGAATCTGACGAAAGAACCGGATGAAGTGTGGAATTGGAATCTTCTTTTCACTCAAGTTTCCTCTGAAATCAATAGCGAGGCACAGAAGAAAATTCATACGTAATGTTTATGTGCTAATGTTAAATTTAAGTTAAATGTACTAATTTGGTAATATAAGAATGAACCGAAAATCATTGGCTTACTGCTTTCTTTACCTTGCATTATGTATTCGTAATTTTATATAAAAATTATAAAAATTGATGGCATATTATAAGAACGTAGTGTAGGAATAGTAAAAAAACATTGATTGACAATTTATGTGGAAATTTTTTATAAAAAACATGGCATACTGCTTATCTGCAGTGCCTGTATATGGAAGCGACAAATTAACCTCGTCTGACCTATTCGATTTGCCCCCCAATTTGGAAATCGCGGTAGTTCGAGGAGCGACGTGAAGACTCGACCGTGCAGGCGTGCAAATTCGAGGTTACTCGAACCACGAACTTGAACGCGCAATCGGGAGCCGAACACAAGCTACTTGAAGCGACCACGTGACAACACCCACTGAGCAGATCTGCCACCAATTTCTACGTTAGCGATCAATGTTCAGTTGTGCCATCACTAGCACACACTTCCGAGAGACTCGCTTCGGTCCTCCTATATAAAGGAACATCAGGCCGTTCGAGCACTTGCGAGAAACACGCCCCGTTGACTGCATAGCACAGGAAATCATTTGCTCGTGACAGTTATTTTTTCTTCTTATCTGTATAACATTGAAACATTTTAAAAGATTATTTAAACGATCAAAACCTCTATAAAGTAGTTATTTAACGCAAATATAAATAAAATACTGTAAGGTTTATCGCGCAGGACATCTGTTGGATGAACGTGAAAACTGTAGTACTGTCGTACTACGGGGGGCGCGACGATCGAGTCATCGAGACTCGAGTACGCCGGCGCTACGTGTTTGAAATTGGCAGACGCGTGAAACTATAACCCGCTCGCGTTAAAATCAAACATTATCCGCATGTTCGCGCAAAATACAAAATTAACAAGCGCCGAGAAAAAGTTCACCGACAGCAGTTTTAAATGTTCTAATGTGTCGCGATGGGTATGGCCCACGCGTCGGCGAAGAAAACGGAGGAGCCAAGCGTAATATCAAACGAGGAAGAATGCGTACCGTGCGTGGAACCGCAGGACAGAGGGCCAGGGAATCCAGGAAGTTTCGAGGACCTTCACATAAAGGTGAAGGATCTATATCCTCAGAATTTCGAAGGAGCACGGCTGACAATCAACAAAATACTCAGCCAGCACTTCAACGTAACTCATTCGATCATACTGAGCTCCGTGACTCCGTCCGGTTACAAATTCGGCGCGAAATACGTTGGCACGAAAATGGTGGGCCTGAAAGAGAAATACCCTCTAGCTGTAGGCGAAATTTCACCGAATGGGAACCTGACCGCCTCGCTCGTAAACACTGTAGGTTGTAGATTCAGATACAAACTGTCAGCGCAATTCGACAAACAGAAATGCGAAGCATCGAGCTTCAGTGCGGAGTATCGCGCGAATGATTTCACGGTGGCGATGACCGTGGCTAATCCACAAATACTTAAGAAGCAAGGAACGGTGGTGATACATTTTTTGCAATCGATCACGTCGAGGATTGCGTTAGGAGCGGAGATTGCGTGTCTTCGTGGTTGGAAGATACTTGGGATCCAGCAAACTATCATGTGCATGGCATTTAGGTACAGCACGGGACCCACCACGTTTTCTGGTACCGTGGGCGAAGCAGGCTTGCATTTGTGTTATCATCGTAGAGCTAGCTCGCAACTGGAGCTCGGCGTCGAGCTAGACACAAATTTGCGTACTCATCATTCGATCGCCACTATTGTTTATCAGGTGAACGTTCCGTACGCGGATCTCGTATTTCGCGGGATCTTTAATTCGGAGACCACCGTCGGCGGTGTTTTCGAGAAGAGATTATATCCGATACCAGAATCCTCACTGCTTATTAGCGGCCTCTTAAATCACAAGAAGCAACAATTTCGTGTGGGTGTCGGCCTTAACATCGGACAATGATAACATTTATTGTCACTCACGGGAATTCGATGTATGTAATATTAACGTTGTTGTCTCACATACAATATCGTCGTCTGAAAATACGATAGAAACGAATAGTGATGATGAAATGAAATTAACGTAAGAAGGTTTTATTATTTTTCCAAAAGACTACAGAGTGAAAAAACCTTTTATATATTGCTACAACAGCCGTCGTACAACAATTTGTGGCAATATGCGTAGAGCGCGGTTGGTCTGAAGAATTCCAATGGTTGCATGAGAAACATATTGTAAAGAGCACCCTGTATGCACGAGAACTTTTATGTATTTATGCCTGTATACTGATAAAAGTAGAATTCTACATGAATGAAATTTTAATCTAATCAGATTGAAGCTAAATGCAAGTGTCTGGCACTTTGATACTACTACATTTACCATCAAAACGTTTTTTTTTTTTTTTTTTATAAACCGTTAATCAAATATATTATTCTAGTCGTCTCCGTTTGCTATTCTCTCGTCCAAATCGTCGTATTCGTGGAAAGCGGTGGTCTTCAACTTATCGAAATTAACTTCAAATTTTTCGTTAAGAAGTCCATTTTCATCGGCGTATTCTAAAATATCACAGATCAACGGCGATTCGACTCCCAGAATGTATTCGCACGTTTTCGGTTCAAGCAGAAACAGAGAAACACTCGATGGACTGGCCGCGTGCTCGATGCACTTCAATTTCACCTAAAAATTAAATGCGCGTTTATTACGTTAAATTTTTTACTTATTCTTGTTTTATGCGACATACCTCCGTTTGTCTTGGATTACCCGTTTTGTCGCAGATATTTCCGTCGCTATAAAAGTGGGAAAGTTGTTTCCGTAGCTCTGGTGACTTTAGCTTTTTATGTGGATGAGCCGCGATCCAATCTAAATGCTTCTGCTTATCGAATTTACCGAGATTTACGATTGTTTTTGTACTATCACGCTCTACGTGATACTGGACTACCGAACGTCCATAGCAGAATTCATACTTCCACCATCCATTGCCCTATTTATACACATTATATGTTATTCCCTTAAATATAAGTAGAATACGGTATAAAAAACAAAATACTTACACCATGTAAACAATTTTTTCCGCTTAAGAAATTTTTCACGGGACTAACTTCGGCCGGACTGATACCTTGGTCTGCTAATGAATTTATAGCATCATCGATATTATTATGCTTGTCTATAACGTCGACTGGATGTATTTCAACTCTAATACGCGCCTCACCATCCTGAAATGGATATAAATGCTGATTAAATTACTATTTGCTGAATACTCTAAACGAATATCCTTGCGACAATTGCAATCAATGTTAATATCAATTTGATGAGATTATTAGATACATGAGCGCTATATTATTATTTCTTTTTAATAATGAGAGCGAAAAAAATGAAATTTTACATTATATTATATAACGATTATATAAACTGATTTCAAATATCAAAACATGTTTAATTTATTTTTAAAATACATGCATCATTTGGCATCGAATGTTAAAAAATTGTTGGTACTATCCAATAGCTGCTTGAAGCAATGTGAAAAGCAACAATAAAAAATGTAGAATATACTATAAGTTTGGTTGCAATGAAGTAAAGCATGAGGACATTGATACAAAAGATATAATAGCAAGTAGCAGTCATAATATTACTGTATCATTGCTTTGAAAGATACGTAATTTCAAAAGAAACAAATATATGTAGAAAAGGAAGGGACAGAATGAGATATACGTTAATGATAACAAATGACAAGAACCATCAAGCGCTTGAACCTGTCCCCAAAATTACGAAATATTCTGACCTGGCCCTCCTTATCTACATGCAAGGTCGCATAGATTTTCTGCAGCTTGTCATCCTGTGCAACAAAAATAAATTGAGTATATAGATAATAAACGAACAAAAACTGAATTATTTAATATTAAGATAAAACAAGCCATAACGCGGCTTAATTGCAGTATGCCAGACGAATAACGCGTGAACAAACTTAAAATTTATAAAAAACAAACAAGTGTTTTATATTAAAAAAGTGCAGTGCACAATATTTGAGAGTATATAGAATCTTCCTTGAAAACATATTGCATGTGTTTTGCAAAAACCATTAACAAAATTTATTACTACCATGTACAGGAAATAAATAACAAAACATATTTTATTTCAAACAATAATATTATATACATACGACACAAGCATAGTCAAAAATAAATGATTGAAAATAAAGTATCCCCAAGAGGTGATTTTACCGTCACTTTTTGATGCCGCAATGTTAAACTTTCCATCTCCATTGCCATAAGAACTCTTGGTTTTGTTGGTGCTGTATCAACCGGTAGACAATTAATTTCGTTCTCTCTTATATCTTGTGGTTTGTAGTCAGGATGAGCACATAATAAAGGAGAAAGGACAATGATCTCATATTCACAGCTAACAGTTTCCTTCACCGAAAATAGTTCATGTTTATCATGTTGATAACAGACATAGAGAACTTTAACCTTTCGTGGTTTATTATTTATATTGCAAACTGTGCCATCGGTCATCTCTATTTCCACGTAAGGCATATTGATACCATCAACTTTCTTAATTGGTATATCTCTTTTCCTATTAGGATTTTCTTGCTGCTTTGCATATTCTGCTATAAGCTTCAGTTCTTGTAACTTATCATAAGATCCCAAATAATATTCTTGCGTTTTCACCTTTTTCCCATCTCTATCATCATGATATTGGCGTACAAATTGTCCATGACATAATTCGTATGTCCAATAAGATTCAACCTACATAAATCATATTAGTTTTACTTAAAGCAAAATGCTTTGCAAGTTTTGATGAAAATAAGTTTTTTGATACATACCCTGTAGGAACAAGTATCATGTTTAAATAAAAATGATAAAATTTCCATTGGATTCAGTCCATGGTATGGTTCGTTATAATCTTGCTCTTGATTTGTAGTATCAGGAATCAAACACTTGTATCGTTCATTCTGTGCAGTTGTTATAAAATATGGTTCTACATTTGTCCGAGATTCCTATGAGAAATGTACATTTAATCACTTTACGAAGGTAACATAATATTTAAAAGCATTTTAACTTCTGTTTTATACTCATACTCACTAATAAATCGGACTTGGCTTTTCCTGGCCAATTAATTTTAAAGAGGTCCGTGTCATCAAAACTTCTAAAATCGTGCCCATTTACAATAGCGATTATGATAAAGAACACATTGCAAATACCACAGCGTTTCCACATTTTTATAAAATTGTAATTAAATCACATATTTTTAGTCAACGTATACATGTAAGGTATCTATGAGTATGTGACAATGGTAATTTCAATGTTAATAGTTTACGGACACGGCGTAGTTCGGAAAAAGTACTTCTAACGTGTTAAAAGGAGGCACTGTAACGTATGTCCGCCATCAAAGTAATTTAAATTTCATTCTTCATGGAAGAGAATCATTTCGTACGGTCTTCTTCTATGAACAATTTTCACGTGCGATTGACATTACATGTACGAAATTTTCAACGTTTGCCTAACCTCAGTTACGTTCAAATACCAATAACTTTGTTCCACGTGAACAGTATACGTGGTCAGTCTTCTGCGTAATACCGTTCAATGTGTACAATACAATGAAGAACAATTAAAGATAAAAACATGTAATCATTTGTCAGGTTTTCAATTTCCATTCACGCAATACTTCGTTCGGAAACAGTACGATAGAGCAATTTCATCCGTAGAAATGATTAGGGATTCTAAAAGTAGGTATACGGCCCTGATTTAGAGAACACCGTAAGTCCGTAACCCACGTAAGTATAATGAACGTACGTAATGCAAACAGTGGATTAAAAGACTCGCAGGTGGCGTTTACAACGCGTAAAAATTCGAATTTCCGCGGCAATCAATTATATCGTATTGTATGAACTCTGTTTAATATCCTCAAGTAATTCCTCTTTGAATAATGTTTATTAATTCACGAGGAGGTGGCGTTGTTCAAGTCTATTAGACGAAACCACTTTGATCGAGTATCGTAATCGGTATATACAGTACGCTCCAGGAGGTCGGACCAGCCTGGTGTTCGAAAGTTCATAGAACCGCCATTGCTAACGAGTATCAATCTGACAGCGCGATCCGACGAAATCGTTTCTACCAGAAAAGTTTCACGAAACCTGGTGTGCCTTCTCGATAGTATGATAGTCTAGTCCGTGATTCGTGACCGAGAATCGTGATCGAGGACTCGTCCAAGTAGAAACAGGCACAAAGTCACAAACTAGTTCGACCTTAAAAGTCATCCGCCGTTGGTTGTTCTGTTCGCGTTCTTGCGAAAAGAAACCCAAGATAATTCGGGAACGTGCAGGAACGTCCGCCTTCCGGTCGAATTAACATGTCGGACACGAGACGTCGTCGAAAATCTAATCAGTCGTGCGGTTCCGACGACCTCTCGGACTCTTGCGAGGAGTTGAACACAACGAAGGAGATCCAGGTTAGTCGATAGAAAAATGTTTTCTTGACTAAATATTTCGGAAACTTTCGGAGGAACAGTTTTCATTTGTTTCTTTATTTAGTTTTTATAATCTTTCGAGCTCTTGTCGTTTATTGAAATTATGTTTTTTGCGTTTAACTGGATCAAAACTTCGGCCGAAGGCCTGATTAAGCGGATTAAATAGACTGTTGTAATACTTCTGTATGTAATCGCGAACTAGGGAAACTTTTCTTTGTGCTCGATTTACCGGCAAACTGGTCTCGCGGACTGTCATAATTTTAATCTGCACATTCAATTTGTATTTCAACGCCTTATTAAAAAATTCTAACAATTACTCTACTTTGTAATGTAAATATATTCATGTACACTCCAACGATTTTTTACTCTTTTATAAATTACATCGATACAAGCAAAGATAACATGCATATACCCTTGTACTCCTTTTGTATATTTTTTCTACAGAGCAGTGAACAAACTGATGGACACCAAGATTCAGAATGTGATATTTACCCATCAGATTCTGATGTTGAATCTCAAGATGGTGCACTAAGAGAAAGTGGAGATGGCCAAGAAGAAGAGAAACCTCAAAAAAAATTAGATGATGATGAAGACAGACGCAATCCACAATATATTCCTAAAAGAGGAACTTTTTATGAGCATGATGATAGAACAGCAGATGAAGTGACAGATAATAATGCAGAGCCACAAAATGAGAGAGAAACCAAAGAGAAGAAAGTATGGAAAGACAAAGAAGATAGATGGGATCATGATAGATACAATGATGAAGAACAGGCACCAAAGAGCCATGAAGAATTGATAGCAGTTTATGGGTATGATATAAGGAATGAAGAAGGTCCACCCAGAGCTAGAAGAAGAAGAAGATATGGGTCAGTATATCTTTACCAGTGTCACAATTTTTTGTAATGGTTTTTTTTACATATTTTATTTGTTGCAGACGTGGCCCTAATAAATATACGCGTAATTGGGAAGATGAAGATGCATATGGGAAACCAGGAACTAATGTTGCCGTTAGAAATAAACGGTTTAGTAGAAGTGGTGAAGATTTCCCTGCTTTAGGAACTAATAAAAATTCTTCCCCACAAGTAGAAGAACCGGTAATCTCATCTGCTTGGTACAGTAGTAAAAATAAATCACAGAATAAAGTACAGAACTTTCCACCTCTACAAACTCAGGGTGATAGCCCAAAAACGAAATCTAGCAGCACGTCTAATGTTCACACGTGCGTAACGTTTTTATAAAAGAATTCGTGTTATTCTCCTAATTGAATTGAAAATGTTAATTAAATGTTTTAACTTACAGAAACGAAAATAAGGCTCCCAATGAACCCACAAACCCAGCCTGGAAAAAGGACACGAAGCATACATCCCATACTCAAAGTAGCAACGGAAATAGCGGCGCTGGTGGTGATGCAGATAAGTTGGTCAATGCAAAAACATCTCCAAGAGATAATAACAAGAGGAACGTCCAAGAGTCTGTAAGCTTGGCAGCAAGTAGAACTCGCGGGCGAGGAATGAGGATAAACGTTAATAACAATATGGTCACTAATAGAATGGTTGAGAGTAAACCAAAGGGACACGGAGCGGGTCCGATCACCACCGAGAATAAGAGAAATAGTACTATACAGAACGACGATGAACAACAAATTACAAATGACATGAAACGCGTTAGTGTTAGCGATGGTACACAGTATCATCAAAGTGGAAGACACAATAGTAAGTGTTTAATGAATATATGTATTTATTATGTGATGCTATATTTCGTATTAACCTTTTTCAGAGAACTTCTATGGACAGTCGTCCAATCAACAGAGATCTAACGCAGTACCTCCGAGAATGCAACAGCAGTCTCATACGCAACAACCACAACAATCGCAACAGCAACAATCGATTCAGCAGCAAGATGGTTCAGCTAATAGACCGAGACGATATTCCAGTTTGCGGCAACGTCCTACTGTGTCCGATACTCCGGGACAACAGACTTATCCACCGCAACATGGACAACACGGACAACATGGTCAACATGGATATTTTCCTCCTCAAGGTAAACATTGAGCATTCTGTGAAGTAATCAACTGGATTAGAAACATCTATTCAACGACATTACTCATAAAATTTATTTTTTGGGTTATCGTTTGTAATTTACATTTGATATTAATATGTGACTTTATGTACATGTACCTAGCTGGAAATTCAAGAGCTGTTTTAGAGTCACAAGGTAAGACAGAGTACAGTATTTTGATCGATTGTGTGAACAGTTTTCTTGCATTTATGTAATTGTTTTATTTTTTAGAACTAATTTTCGTATGTGGATACGTACATTGTGTGACATGTCTGCGTGAAAATGCGTTTGTGTGTGTAAATATATGTCGCTTAATATATAATGGCATATACTTTATTTTGATAGGATATCCACCAGGTCATTTTGAGCAGACTACCCCTGTTGCTACCGCAGCAACACCTATGGCTGGACAACCTGTTATTCCTTTGCCACCCAATGGCCAACCTGCTAGTTATGCTCCACCGCCATTTTTGGTACCGCCGCCGCAGTTTATTTCCCCGCAAACTGCTCCGCCTAGTATAATTAATTATGTTTCCGGCCCGAATGGACCAGCATTTCAACCAAATTATCAAGGTTATCAAGGATATAGCCCGCCGGTGCAGGTATAATAGTAATGACAGAGAGACTTCGGTGTTTTATTATACCCAGGTTTTCATGGATGTTTGTAATTTGTTAGCCTCAGCGTCCCCCACCGCCGCAAGAATTATTCCAACCGCAAGGTTGTACTTACTATAGTCCAGCGCAGCAGCAACAACAGCAACAACAATCGGCGCCAATGAGACGGCCGAAAGCAGCTATTCCAATTCTCCCACCACCGGACAATCAACATCAGGGCAGTAGAGGGAGAGGAAGAAGTACACAGCAACAACAAACGAGTCAACCCGGTAATATGCAACAGATTGAACTAGAGGTCAAGGACAATTTGTTTGAAGATGAACAGAATATTGTACCAGAGCCGTTTGATAGTACGCCAATCGAGGAGACTGTGCAGATTCAGGAAATGCAGAAAAATGAAGATTTAAGTGCAATAACGGATACTGTGGTTGAGGATGAAGGAAAGAATGTTAAAGACATTGATATTGATACAGCGGTGGACTCGCAAATTATTACGTCGGACCCCATAAATGAAATAAGTGCTGACGATTCGATAAAGGTCACTATAGATGATCATAATATCATTCCTCTGAAATCTCTGGAGACAGTCGTGGAAAAGACTGAGAATGATTTGAGCGTAATTGAAAACACTACATCCGAAAGCACAGTAATCGAAGAAGCAGCAGCTTAAAGGGACATCGCACAGGCTTTAATGTTTTTCCCGAGAGGACATAATTGTGAATCTTCGTGAGTACGAGTACGCATTATATTATAATGATACCGTGTAATATTAATGAAATTACTATACAGTACGTGTAGTGCATTGGTTTTCACAGGTTGCTTGTGAAACATCGTAGGAATTGGATGTGTGTGTCTAATACATATTTCGAATGATTTTATCTAATTCCAGCATATTGTTGTATATTTCGTAGTTCACATTTGTAATAATGTTTCGCTACGAATTCCATCGATCTGCTGCCACTATTAAAATCACATTCTTCAATATTGTTAAATTACTTTCATGTACGAAGTCTACTAATGATCGATTATTAGTGGAGGGGACTAGTGTTAAATGTACTACCGCATATCGAATATTAACGCATGCAGCATCGATTGGTAGAATGATTAATAAATCGATATATCTTTTTAATACAACGGCTATTGTAAATAGACTATAGTCAGGTCAGTAACGTCAGTATGTAATTATGTCTTGTGTGTACAAACACGTTTGTACTGCGATTTGTTGAGTAAACTGTGGATGAATGACGTACGTTTATTTAATAAATAATCACTACTTAACCTTACTTCTGTTACGACAGTGAAGGAAAATATTTGATTTTCATGTACCACAAAGAAGATGGTCATTATTATGGTTTAGCTTATCTACAAAGTGTATTTATGGCTAACATAATACTAACTACTAATTTTGTCATTGATTACATCTATCGAACTTTTTCGTAATAAGTACGAAAAGTTTAAACCACGACAACTCTTTTTCTTTTTTGTTTACTACGCTTACGACAATATGCTTTGTTATTGGCAAGATGGAATGGAATGATAAGATATTGATAAGAAGTTTTTTCATACGTGACTAAATTTATTTTTCCTCTTTTTTTTTTCGATTTGTCGAGGTTTACGGAAATCTGACGCAAAACTTTTATCGATCGAATTAAAAATCTTCCGTTTAAGAGGATAGGGCAATGAGCGATCGTACAAACATTGGAATTGATTCTTGCGTTAAGTGATCTAAGCACGTGATAGAAATGTAACATTTAGTGAATTAAAGATAAGTTCTATCGAGATTACGTAAAATTTTAGGAATATTATACACAGTACGAGATTTACATCGCATTATATTTATAACATAGTAGTAGTAATTATATATATCTTATTAAACTTTTTATATAAGGTTCGTCGGCGCCTACGGTAAATAGGTGGAAAATTATATAGATACAATAACGATCATGAATGTGATTCGATTATAAAGAATTACATGCAAATGTGCATGCGTGCCTATCATTTTGGTTCACGTTTTACGTTTTTTTTTTTCCCCCCCAATAATGTTCATTATCGTAACAAACATATTTGAAATAATTCGATGTTTTGTTACATCGAGTAAAATACCATATTGGAATAGATTTCCAGTGTTTACCAATTTTTATGAAAGTAGGAACAAAATACAATCAATTTTCCAAGTTTCATCTGTTATTTAAATACTATCCGACGGGACGCAGCGTTTTTTCTTGTAATTATCAAGTATCGTATATCTTAACATTACAGCTCGAATGACATGTAAATAAATTATACTTATGAATCATACTACGCGTTTAACAGTCACAATTCACCGAGATCTACTTACGACGAGTCGTGTTTCTCGTTTTGTTGAACGCTCGTTATAGCACTGAGAGGTATAATTTCGGTGTTTCGTTGAACGTTATTATTATTTTTTAACGTTGTTCGTATCGTGGTCCGGGACTTCGTTTTAGGATTAGATGAGCTCGCGAGATATCCACGTTGAATACGAGAACCATTTTCTTGGAAGCAACGGAAAGCACGTCTAAACTCCTTCCGAAATTTTCCTGTAACGTGAAAAGTTTCGTTGTGTCGTTGAACGGTTCTTATAGAGTATATTGCTGTTCCGCAGTAATATATTATAATGAAAGCAGAATAGTCCGGGTTATTAAACGAAAGACGAAAACCGTTATAAAATTCGAAAGTAGGACGCACGCGATTAATATTGGCGCCACTGTCGACCGACTGCAACTGACGTAATGGTAAACGGAAAGGGCAAGCCATATAATATTTCGTTATCGACCTTTGTTTTGAATTCTTAACGCAATGAATATTAAATCGAAATTAATTAGTTTCTTACATAGCTCGATATTAGTGTCCAGAAGCGAAATAATCAAGCTCATTTGCAAATTACTACTGTAGTTCCGTTTTTTACCGTTGGTATCGAGCGATCGATCTAAAGAATATTTCGATTCTCGAAAGCGTCCGTTAATCCTGCCAGTTGCGCGCGCGAAATGGCTAAAAGGTCGCCTCATAGCAGCCAATAACTGTGATATAATATAGCTCACACTGAGCGTGATCGAGTCCGAGGAGTGCAATATTCAAGACTACATTGTTCCTGCGGAGAATCATTTCCGCCATGAGGTCCCTCCGCGACGAAATTAGGAGCTTTTTTCACCCAAGAGACTCGCATCTCTGCGCGTCATAATTGCTCACGACGACCTTGAGGAGCAGACCGGCATCCGTTTGCCGTGTTAGCGTAGCTGAGCTGCTGATTTGGTCTGTGATCGTTCGGGGGTGTGCATTCCCGGACCATATGACGAAACTCCTGCCGGAACTTACCTGCAAACCACACGCTGAATGTCTCCGTTTGATTTTCTCCGTTACCACCGTTCCTATTCTCCCTCTTTCAGCCTTCGTTCAAACGAACACCCCGGTACGTATAACGTCTTTTCTCGTCTCGCAAAATGAAAATCTTTGTCGAGACAAATTTTCGACATATATTTATACGGTAACGTTTAAATCGAATATTAAAACATTAACTTACGAGGAGTCATCCCCGTTAACTTTTACTTGCGTTGGATTGCAAACGCGGCCATCTTGTCAATTATTTCCCCACGAATGAAACACGATCCCACGCTTTAATAAGGGTGTTCTGTCGTGTTTATATATAATAGAAAGCTCTTCGACAGCGAATGTCGATAAAATTTCGAACAAAGTCAGCCCATTGTTCATCAACTCTATCGCGAGATCGGATAATCTTTCGCTTCAAAGAATTGCGTCCGAATTTATCGGAAGAAAGACGCGTCTGGTCGATGTCATTGGTCCGCGGTACAGATTGTGAAATACAGTCGCGAAAATGATAAAAGCAGAGATCGTTTACCGCTCATGAAGTTGTAGATCAAAGGATTAACCGCGCTATTGAAGTAACAGAGGCCGTGGGATATTAAGGCCCATACTTTTGTCAAGGTGCTTTCCGTTAATCCACTGGTGTACCTGTAACAGTAAATGACACGTACATCGATTTTTCCCGCGTAATAATAGTTGTCATTTTCTATGCAACTCTGTACACATTTCCATTCGCGTCGAAACTGTTTAAACTGCCTGTTGCATTTTTAGGAGTCGTGTATAGTATCGACGTGTACCTTATAACAGAGAGTAAATGGACCGGAAAGTAGCAGATGGCAAAAATGATGACCACCGTGATTAACATTTTAGCCGCCTTGCGCCGGTATCGCAGCTGCCCATCGAGATTCCCAACGTTGGCCGGAGAAGTCTGGCTCATCTGGGAGGCCTGTGCTGGCACTGCAAATCCGTGCAATAATTAATCATCCCACGGACTTAATGCCCGATCTTAGCATCGTTTCGAGGTAGAGTTTGCAGATCGGATCAAATTAGTCGTTTTACCGTAGCAGTATAAACGTTTTAATCGCCCACGATATCGCGGGGGTTAAATGTCGCGTTAAACACGACTGTTACGATAAGGTGTCGGCAAGTAGAAACAATCAACAGTATCAAATTAGGAATAATAAACCGTCTGTTTCCTTACAGTTGTGTCCTGGAATGTTGTTCTTCCAGAGGACCTTGACGATCTGCCAGTAAGCAACGCTCATGAAAAGCAGGGGCCCGGCGTAAAGGAAAATAAACTTCGCGATGACGAACGTTAGTTGACTGTTCTTGCTCCAGGATACGTCGCAGTCGATACCCAGGATCGCGTCTGGATTGCCCTCCGGTACGATAACGTGCAGCACGACCAGGTCCGGAATATCTGCGCAAAACGGTGAGTGTTTTTTCATGGTTTTTTTCTTCTCAAATACTGCGAAAAGTTCGGGACCGGAGTTTTCCACGTATTCGGGATTGGGACGTGAATTCATTCGAGGAATCGACCTTTTTTATCTCGAGCTGAGACCCAGTCACGCGAAAATTGTCCGACGAACAGAGCGAGATATATCAGGAATGGGCGCAACAGCGAGGCGCGTTTCAGATTACAGGCGCTAGCTCGTCGAGTTAAAATTCTGTGCTACGCTCGTATCGAGCTATAGGCATTAATGGGAACTGAACATTTCTACGCTTTTTATTTAATCCTCGCAAACGCATTATCAATGGGTTGGTGAAATTTTACCGTGAAAGACAAGTTAAAACACGACTCTATCCGGACTGGTTTTATATGTACATGATTGAGAGTTTTTCAGAAACGATTCGACGAATGTGCAACGAACAATATTCCCTCCAAACTACAAACGAATACATGGATCGATCTGATATTTGTACAAGGTGCGTTCAAAAAGTTCTGTGACTTCATTTCTCTAAATCATTGTAATCGTAATGCTTATTCGTAAGCCAATTGTGGAATTCTCTTCTCCCTGCTGATTTCGCTATTATATTTTGTTCTCTAATTGGAAATCGATGACTTCTTTGCAGACAGGATTCAATTTCTTTACGTTGGTAGTGGAAGGACATCACCGAAGGCACATTGCAACAAAAGTCTCTCCGACAAAGTTTATAAAACCAACGATTGTTATGAAACTTGGCGCGCATATTGTTAAATAATTACTATGTTCTCAAAGACCGGGAACTCTTTGAACGCTCTTTGTATTTCGCTGGAATGCAAGAGGATAATGTTACCAAATAGGAGCGCTATCACCCAGATTATGAGGATAGCGGGTTTCACTCGTCCTGCGGTCGTCTTGAAAGCGAGGGGGAAGCATATCGCGTACCATCGGTCTACAGATATGCATGCTAGGGTCAGTATGCTCACGGTCACCGACACTGTCTGAAACAAACACAACACTTTGAATTACGACTTTCGTTCGTCGCGGTCGTTGACTGAAAACGTAGGGAAATTAGAGCTCAACGTGCATTAAACAGGAGTCAAAGAACCCTTATGCCGTTTCGATCACTACCGCGGAATGTCTAAGAAAAATATTAATCGCTCTTATTTGCAATTCAAATCCCTTTGTTCCTGACATTTCCATAATTTCCGTTGCGCGTAGAATTTCCATGTTGCCTCGGAGATCGGAAATAGACGATACAGCGAGGATATATAATAGAGCTTTTAATAGTTTACATCAGTGGTTCTTAACCATTGGTATTTCTGTTCAACATAGATTCTATTAGGGGTGCAGGACTTCTAACGTTGGTTCAACTAATATTTAAAAACGTTATTCCACAACATGGCTGTCTATCGATTTCCTCATATTTCAATACGCATCCAATAGCAAATTTCTTCGATACGACGCCCTTTAAAACATAAACGGGGTTGTATCTCGAAGATGAGGTCGTAGAAATTTATTTTTCATGGTTTTTGGTATCCGATCCATGCTAGATTCCCCACTTATTAAGTACCGCGCTGGTACATGTACGGAGGGGATGTACCAGGCACATAACTGGACGTTTACGCACGCTTATGTGGCACGTGGGCACACATATTCTACCTTTTGACTTCCCATCCCGATAACTTACTCACGGTTAGCTAGGCAAAGAGACGCATCATGAATATAAAACGAACGCCTAGAAAATATGGGCAAATGTTTCTGTCCCGTTTCTTGGTAAAACTGATAAAACCGTTGGCCTCGCCTCGACACATTTTTCTTCTGTCCCGTTTCATTTTTATCCTTTTTTTTCGTCGACAGAAAATTTACTACCGCGTGTTTTCGGGTTCGAGTCGGAGGACTCGTTGGAATTTATAAAACCGATCCGCTCGCGACCAGGGCTCGACCTACATTTCTTATTGTACTTGTTCGTAAAACGACGTCGGACAAGCCGGCTGAAAGATTCATCGGGCAATTACCGGCTTATCCGGATCTCGAATCGATCATTAAGTAAATTGCATTTACATAAATGCGTCGAGCCCGCGTCCGTGCGGGTTTTTGCGTCTCGTTCACAGACGTAACGTGAATTTACGCGATTTAATGCCACCGGACGTTTGCGTGACGCCTTTTCGCGTGGGCCACGCGTTTAAGAGGCCGCCAGTTGACGCTGTCGATTGAATTTCGAAATTGTCGTCAAAGGGCTTGTTACGAAGTTTCTCCCGTGCACGTCGGCGTATTCGAATTGATCGACGGTGGCTGGCCAAGTCGCAAGTGCAACATAGACGTTCTCAACCTTGTCACCATGGGACACATTAGCCGTCCCTCTGACTAAGCGTTCTCCACAGACCCTGCCTTCGACCAGTTCCAATCGAAACCGGACTTTCGATCTGTTACGCGATAATCTGTGATTCACGATCCACCAGGCACCCTACCGCAAGCAGCGCTAATTCGAATTTATGTACGAACCTCCGACCGAACGATATCTGACCGCTTGTGTTTGTAAAACTGTTTTAGGAACTCGATTCTAATCGCTCCGCCGACCGTCGACGTTTCAAACTGATGGATGCAATGGATAGGTATACCACCGAGGATATCTTAAGGCCACAAACTTCATTTTGTAACCCTCGGACACGAAACTATAAAATTAATGCGTAAGTGAAGTAGACTATAATTTACTCCGAAGTTTTGGACATGCATTGACCATTGAATCGAGTCATTTAGCAAAGACCAAGATGGACTGAAAGTCCGTTGGACGAGGGTAATTAATTTGTGGACATTTTCTGCCGACTGTTCGCGTCGAGTGAATTGTAACGAACGGTTTGCTCGTTAAGCTTAAAAGAATCCACGTGGGAATTCGCGCGAAGATCCGATATACGCGGCCAGTCGTTCGTTCTCCTAACGGGGGGGGCGTTTTATGTAAATGGGAAACAGGAGTCGTTTCTTTTCGTTGTGTAATCTAGACGCTCTGTTGGAAATTAGTCGAAGAACTAAGAATCGTTTATTCCAAGGTAGATAGCAGCGTAGTATACCCCCCAAGCCCCGGGGACACTTCAATTCCAACAGCAAAAGGAAAAGGTTTGAAGCAGCTAGCGAACTCTTTGTACAATGGTTATCACGAGTTGGTAGCGCGATGCTGATACAACGGGATTACGACGACGTAGCTTTCTCACGGCGAACAATTTATCATTTTCCACCCCCGAGTTTCGCAAAAATAAAAGCTACGAGTAGATGATCTAATTCTCGTGGCGCGTCGGACAACGTTCCCCGGGATTATTTATCAACCGTTTTCTTCACTCTCGATATTAGTTTACCTGCTTCGCACAATTTTACAGCGTAGGTACCTTCGTCGTCAGGAATACAATATTCATCCTCCGTGTGCAACTAATTTTTCTCCATTTAAGGGCAACCAAGTCGTTTGGATAATTTGCTAAGTAACTAACTCTTCTAAAATCCTCTGCAACGAAATTTGTGAGCAATATGGCGATTATGACGATCGAAAGTTCTATTGGAAAACCCTATATCATAGACAATGCTTCAGAACCTAATTAAACTGATCCTCCGTGTGCAATCTTTAACTGCGACGTCTCCGTGTACTTTGAATTTCGCCGACATAACGACGAATAAATTAGGACGTATGTATCTCATTCTCAGCGTTGAATCTCTGGCTTAATTGCGCGGAAACCATCCCCGGATACAATAACGACCAGCGAAAGCGCGCTTTGGAACAATTTGCCCTGGCGCATTTAACCAACGGTCTCAGTTAGAGGTACCACGGTATTCCAGCGATCGATTTACATTACACCGTGAATATCTTCTCATCGAGCGATCCTTGACCGACTGTAATTATTACGACCGCGGCTGGTAACGATCGATCTTTCGCCTCGCACGAACGTCGGTGTAAAAATTTTCGCGAACGGCCTTTGGACCGATTTGCAACGCAACAATGAAAGGGCAGGAACAGGGACTAGTACGAAAAAATTATTTAACTTTTGTTCGGTTTCACCACGAATTATAATGTTTCCTACTCCTGTATAATTAAACAAAAGGGACTTCGTAACGATTTCAATGGCGTGAAAAAATAATTGTCCCCCCATTCTTCGTTGTCAAGATACAATTGTTACAAATTATGTATTGTTTTGTAAATAGATTATGGCCAGCTTGCACCGTTTTTCGCTCCGAGGTGGGAGAATTGATCGCGCCAATCAACGGATACGTCACACTGCCGGGTTTTCTTAATAATTGCAACGTTCCCGCCCACTCTGCAGCATGATGTCCAGATAGATTGCGCGGGGGTGAGACGAGAACGAACACGGTCACCGGATCCTTGGGGAAAAGTGGCTAACGGTTCACCGCTCCGTTAATCATCTTCGCGACTGTGCGTCAGACGTGGGCTTCAAAGTCGGGAAGAGACTTCAAGGTTCCCTCGTTCTAATTGGAATTTAAAACTTTTCCTGTTCACGATTGACCATGAATCAGAAAATTCCACCACCTCTGTATGACGAGCCCAGGATTCTGCAGGATCTCTTTCGAATCCTCTCGAGTGGCATAGGGTCGCGGAGGTGTCAATGGAAAAGAAACACGATTCGGATCGAGTAATTCCGCTTGGTACCCGTGGCATAACGGATGGCTTCAGCTCGTCAGCCGAACAAAACGCATTGCTTTTTTCACACCGTCCTATCTGACGCGAAACGATCTCACGATTGTTTGCCGGGCTAGACGGCCCGGAGCACGTTTTAATTAAATCTCGGCTATCTACTGGTCGCACTCGTAACTGCGTCCGTCACGCCAGCACGCGCCTAACTTGTCGGCGATAGCGACAATGCCACTTGCCGCTTTGCGTCTCGTTCACCAGCGATCACACCCGCTATCATTAAATTAACGAGCGGTAGGTTAGTCGCGATAACGGATTGATCCCCAAAATCGCTTTCCGAACGCTTCGGTTCGCCGCCTCCGTAACATTCAAGGTTAAACGATTCACTCATTTCGCCATTTACGGTGCCATTGTTTCCATCATTAGGCTCTGTTAAAATTTATGGGGTCGTACTTCTATCACGGTCACGTTTCACTTGTATTTGTTTACCAAAGTTTAGAAGTGATACGAACTACAAATTTTAGCACTCTCTTTTCAATAATCGCTGGTAGTTGAGTTTTGTCGCAGTGTCCTCCCCTGATCGGAACGATTATCGTTTGCTGAAAAGAGAGGGGGAGAGAACATTAGGACGTCCTTCTGAAAAATTCATGCGATCGACGTAGTCACGAGAAAGAGTTGTTCCAGGTGAAATATCACCTAGGTAGAGTAGCTCGCTGAGTACAACCGACCATTTTACCGTCGCGATAGAGTTCACGACACGCAAAGCTTTATATCATTAGCTGTCTCGTGTCTTTTGGGTCATGTCCCGACATTGCGGATCCACGGATCGCAAGGTCCGTCTCCTTCAGGTCGAACATTAACTCTTTGGACGAAAGAATAATTATCAAGTACAAATTATAACTTTCTTTACAAGAGAATATAGAATTCTTTTCGTTCGGGGCTTCTTTCTACAAGGACACGGTGGTCTCCGTTTGTATTCAATCCTTAGATCCGTACCTTCTATCGGGCGCAATCACGAACCGCCCATCGCGTGTACGTTCAACGATTCGCTTGATCTCCAAAAAGAAACGAACAGTTTCGGCGGGGTTGGCGGGGGAGTTGAGTAACGAACGCCGTTCTACTTTTCTTCCCCAAATGCTTGAGATTCCGAGCGAGTTCCGTGGGAAAAAGCCCCGGGGCGCTCGAAATATTACCATCCAAACCAACGACACGGAATACGTTTACAAGCGGAGGAAACGAAACCTCTAGTCGTCGCGTTACACGGTTCGCGAATCATGCAATCTGCGTAACTCGGCCATTAGGGTTCCCCATTTCGCGTGTAACGCGCGGACAATCTAACGCAATGTTATTTGTTACGCGTTTATACACGTG